TTATATCGTACTTTTCGTTGCATCATTTGCGATGTTTGAGCTCGATATTTATCGTAAAAGTTTCAAACGGATCAAACTTGATGGAAACTTCATACAACACAACTTGGACGTGATTCTGAGTAGCTGCGTCACCAGAACAGCGCAGAAACTAATCACCGCTCATTTAACCCTTTAAGCCATAGGAGTCTGAATAGTGATGAGCATGAAATTTCTCCATATCGATCAATGCTTTATCAACGGAACAATTTTAGGTTTCTGGGAAACTGCTCACCTACCCCTCCCTAACCTAACATTTTGCCTCAAGTGAGAAGAAAATGTTCACGTTGGGTTAGGGGAGGGGTAGGTGGACAGTTTCCCATAAGCCTAAATTGATCCTTATCAATTACAGTGGTAATGAGAATTAAGGACATGATCACAGACGATGAATCTAAAACTCGCAAACTCCCTTCATGACCCTCCTGTGTAAAAAAGGTTAGGCCCAAATAAGACTTCACAATAATTCTTTTAATACCAGTGACAAAGAAGCGTACATAGGAAGGTCTGAGATGGTACGCATATGGTAAAATCGATTAACATTTTAGAGAGATTTGTCATTAAAACTACACAAGAGTACAGATACGGTTTAGTTCAGTGTTGAAGTGTGGGGATTAAAGATTCGTTTAAGATTAGTACACCACCTCAGGCAATCTAACGCAAACTGAAGGCAACATGAATCAAGATCCTTAATGAATCAGTCATTTACTGACAAATAAGCCACCTTGACCCAGTTAATGTAAATTTAGTTTGCAATGTCTTAGTTCATTCTCGTTATGTCTTCGACCCTTTAGTCCGAAGCCAAACTTCAGTGAGAAAACCATGCACGAAATTACAACGTTTTCACGAGGGTAGAGTACATTTGTCGAAAACGATTTGCGTAATAATTTAGTGTACGGTAATTTGTTGTGATTTCAAGTCGAAGCTATAACTGAGATGTACCTAAGTTCGTTAGGTTTCAGGCTTAAAACGCGAGCGCTCTAACGATTTTGCAGATCTTAATCTGCAAATACTACTGAAAGGTACGAAAACGGTAGCATTGTGCTGCCACAAATTCTCAACCTCTTGACGAATATTCAATACCATTTATAAACAGCAAAGAGAGAATTTATTTACAAAAGAAAAGAGAAACTGTCAAGCTGTTTACCAAGTTGATCTTTATTTTAATCATCACGGCGTGAATGTATGACTTTTCTGTTTATCCGGAAAGCAACTGAAGCGGAGATTAAAAAAGATCCTTCGAGATTTTCAGAATTGAAAATCGTTATTTTTTCTTTTGTGATGGACTCGACGTTGCCATACAAAAGTAAATTTGAAGTTGGCGAAATAAAGTAAAATACCTAGGGCACTATCTAACATTATGTAAACGAGTTTTAGGTTTTTAAATACAATCTTCACGCACTAGAAGTATTGATTGCGTAACATTCAAAATTGAGAAAGTTAAAATACGGACATATTGCTCAAAAAATATAATACAATGTTTATATTTCCTACGTCTGTTTATTGAGATCATTATTGATAGTAATCACAGCTATTGCACAACAGTTAATGATGTGAAATAACAGAAACTGTAGAAACTGCGTACGTCGTAAAGTAGTTAAAAAATACCCAGTATTTTTAATTTTCGTTTTATTGCACGATCTTTCTATGAAAAATCTTATAATTCGTTGATTGTTATCGAAGCTAATATAACGAGTTTCACGTTCAAAATCGGCGTTTAATCTGCAAAACAATTGTGGTTAATCTTGTCCATTTCCTTTCCTTAAGACATTTGGACTTTCTACGACAATTTTTGATTTATTGCTTCGCGAAGGGACATACGATTTATTTCGAGAAAGGAAAAAATTAAAACAAGGTTTGACCCTAAGCGCGCTTTATTAAAATTTGCATAAACCGGTTGTTAGAAATAGAAAAACAGCTAGCTTTCTTAACTTCAGAAACTCGATAATTTGTATGTACCACCATAAACGTGAACCGGTCGCCATTCTTTGGTACCAGCTGCAAGAAAAAAGGTTTCTTTTCGGCTCTTAGGAAGTTCTAAATTAAAGAAATTAGCCCATCCGTCAAAACCAATAAAATCATAAACAGAAAACAACTAATCATTCCATTTTGACGGCTTAGTTCTGTAAAATTATAAAACGTTGGCCAATGTAAAAATATCAGTTACTAAAAAAGCGGAAAAATTAAGGTGACTGTATGTCATGAACGATTTAGTCCCAATTCATTTGACCTAATTTGTAGCAGGAAAGTAATCTACATTAGGCTTGAGCAAAGGGCGTGCAAAGTAGAAAAAACAAGCCACGCAATATTATTTCTGTGAAATTATTGTTCGAACAACAATTTAGGTGACTGCGCTATGAGATAAAAGCTCGTTAATCTTCATTTGTCGTGTAATGGGGAACACTTCGTAATCTTCTTGCCGAATGAGCGAATCCACCATGAGTTCATGTTGAATATCGTACAGTCACATGAACGACTGACGAGTTGAATGCGATTTTTGCAGAAGCTAGAAAGAAAAGCGAAAAAGAAAGTTAATATTTGTAAGTCGGACTATATTGAACACATTTTTCTCTTCCAAAAATATAACTGAAACGATTTGTGTTCATAACTCAGGTGATTATTTGTTTTTTTTTTCGTCTCTGATCCTTCAAATGCAGAGGATTCTATATTTTGGAAAACATCGGAGGCAACGAAATCCAAAAACCGGAACAAGAAGCAAGCGGGAGTGCTTAACAGGACCTGTTAGATTTCACCATATATAGTGCACCCATATAAAGACCTACAAACAGACCGGCTTGGTCTTGAATTAGAGAATTCCTTATCGCGACACTGTCAAATATTATAGCGTAAGCCTGTAAGCCTGTGTTGGCATAATCTTTCGTATGAGACCTTCCGGGCGAAAAATTGCCTGTAAACATCTGGTTCAGGTGGCAACAACCAATCAGAAGCCAGCATTCGCGGCCACTCGAGTTCGCATGCATAATCAGGTCAAATGGAATACAAACACCGGTGTGAGTATATGGGCTGCATTTGATAAAAAAAAAAAAAGAAAGAAACCATTAACAGATTGGCAGGATCGCGGCGCGGTGATCCGCTCCGTTGAGCAAACGTGCGGCTCGCGCCGCAGAAAAGCAAGCGATGAATTAAAGCGGCATAAAAGCATGCGAGAGCGCTTGACGGCCGAAACCGCGGCAACGGCATCAGCAGGCAAGAACGGCTTTTAAATGACTTAATTTTGTACTTTGCAAAGAACAGTCCTGGGATGAGTGGCAGAATGATTGACAGCCAGCTGGCGGTCTCTAAGCACGTGGGTTCTTCACTGACCCCTCAGTGTCAGCTGGCTGTTTAATAAATCAAACTCGTCGCGACGAGAAGACATGACACCTGTCTCCGAGTTTTCGCGTACGGAAAAAAGCCGCCATTTGATTGGCCCAAATCGATGGTTACCAAAGCGACCATTTTTATATCCTCGAGGCAGGTTGCCTCGCATTCAACAGGTTGCTGGGTTTATTTTCTGTTGGGAAGATAACTTGGGTGCTTAATAATCTAATATGCGCGGTTTTTTTCTCTGATTTAGTGTCTTTTCCAAATTTGAGGGGAAAATAAATTGAGAGATTGTTCCCCACAACAGCGAGAAGAGCGACAGCCCTCAGACATCCGGAGGATCAACAAAACTCCTTCCACCGAATTAGCATTATTAGATTTGCATTGTTTTGGCACTTTAAGCGGAATGACCAATACGGTTTTAATTGACGCAGTCCGTGGGGACTTCTCAATGGCAAGATCGTAAACAGAGATAGCAACCTGCGCTCGGCTCACTTTGCAAGAAAAAAAATCATCACAACCGATCTGCGGGGAAATCACCCACAAAAATTCATAACTCTATAAAGTTTTAGTTTTCTGGTAGCTAAGAAACGGCTCCTTATCACAGGTAAGCAAAAACTGGCCCCCGCCCTCCGCAATCTTCCCACGGTATCCTTATTAACCATAACCGATATTGTGAGATGATCTTTATTCTAATAAACGCCAACGCAGCTTTTCCGCTTGTTTGCTTGTACTTTTTAAATCTCCGTAGTATACTTAAGCGATAGTTCTGGAAAACTGCTTGGCCGCACCTAATACGACTACGCCTTAAAAGAGAAAGAAAAATAACAGTTTGACTGCACCGAAGAAACTACTATACTATGGCAAAAAAAATCTATTTCGATCAACTCTTTATCATTCAAAACAGTCCAAAAATAAGATGCAAATTTCGGAATGTTGTGACAATTCATTGACAATCCCTTAGTGTCGTAAGTCATTACCGATGCGCTGTTCTATTGTTCAAAGCACGTGGCATGAATTCGAAACAAACTGGACAAAATTACCGCGCAACATCCACGTTTTGCGCTCAAAATCAGTCACGCGTGAGAAAAAAAAGGAGCAAAACTCCCAATTTTTGCCTTGATATTTAAGCAATTCAAGGTTCAACGGACGATAACACGGTAATTTATCGGATGAGTCAAATACCGTGTCAACTTCGTGGCTCGGTTCAACACTTGGCGCGCAAACCCATTTAAAAACACACACCGAAAACGACCGCAATTCTATAGAACGGACCAATCAGAGGGTCGTGCGGCGAACCAAGGGCGGGGCACTGAGCGGGTTTTGCTTCCCTTCATTGGTTCTTTTGTGTTCGGCGTGAGGTGACGTGTCACGGCGTCACAGAAAACCAACGCAAGTTCAAACTCGGATGTAAATTAAAAATAGAAATTGCCACGATCAGTTTGAGCTAGTTCACTCGCTGTTAACGTGTCGAGCCGAGCGCAACAGAGCTCGAACTCCCGCGAACCGTAAATAACTCCATACACCTGTGGCTTCAACGCGCAGCATTAAGCCAAGTGACTTTGATCTCGGAGCGCAAGACGCATCTCCGCAAGTAAAACAGTACAGGTAAAACTTAGCCGATTAACTCCAGCCGCTTAGTAATGATGGTGTTCCAAGGAAGCGAGCTCAACTCGCCAAGTCCTCCGCCTCAAGTACCCACGGTTGACGAGCCCGAGGAAGAACCCAAAAAGTCCCTTCAGCACGTCAAGCGTCCTATGAACGCGTTTATGGTCTGGAGCCAGATCGAGCGAAGAAAAATGGCAGAAGAACACCCTGATATGCACAACGCGGAGATCAGCAAACGCCTTGGCAAGCGCTGGAAGCTGTTATCAGAGAGCGAGAAGAGACCGTTTGTAGAGGAGTCGGAGCGCCTTCGCATCAGACATATGCAAGCTTACCCAGATTACAAGTACCGACCCCGCAAGAAGAAACAACCGAACAAGCAGAAAAACGGTGGAGGGCAAGAAAGTAAAAACTCGTCTTCCTCGTCCGAGGGAAACTCGCGCAAGAACCCAGCAGAGGCAACAGGAACGAAGCGCGAAGCCCTCCCCGGCGCACACGCATTTCCTGGACTGGGCTCTTCCAAGAAACACGTTAACTCGCACGCAGAACCGCCTTTCAAGAAACAGCGGCGCGATTTCGTTTCGCCGATCACTCCACCGCCAAACGTACCTGATGCAATCGGCACGACGCCCGAGGATCCTATAGATCAGCTATCCTTGTACGATGATTTTGAGCAGGCCTTTAAACAAGATCAACAAGTTCCCACGATGAACCCTAACCAACAGATACCAAACTCTTGGCCGAGCTTAGAATTTGGCAACATGAACTTCAATGGATTGCCCGTGTCTCCTTTACTTGATCTGAACGGGGCAAATGGGGGACAATTTGATTTTCCCGATCTATATACACCGCCGGAGGTGTCTGAACTTATTCAAGGCCAATGGCTAGAAAACTCTCTTGGACATTTGTAGCTAGCAGATTTCAATTTCTGCCGTTCACTACTCTACAAGTGAGGACACTCTTTCTAACTTATGGAATTTCCGCTTCGAATGATTTTTTATAAAAACACTGCAGCACACGAGAGGGTTTATTTGGACCCTACGATTTTTCTAACAGCTAAGGACACGTTTTTCTGTGTATATTTTTTTCGACCGAAGTTTATTGCGTTCTTTTGTATCCATTGATATCCATTCTCGTTTTAGAGAGCTTTTATTACGATAATTGTACAAAAAAAGGATTCTAAATAATTTAACAGTGTTGTATTTTTACTAAATTCTCTCTTTCCTCGTCGTGAGGAGTGCGTTTTAAAGTGAATCGAAATTGAAGAAGAGAATATTATAATACTATTATTATGAAAATTAAAACTCCGTGTGTTTATTCTCATATACGCGCGCGCTCACCACACATGGTAAAGTGCAGCTCGAGAATATAGACTTCTTAAACCGAAATGTGAAAACCTCAGCACGCTAGTAAACTTACTGTTAACAAGACGCGAGTTCGCCGACATCAGAAATTCCCGATTTCGGCAAGAAATTGCAACATGGTGTTTGGATAGCTGCGTTCGACGCATCGTTGAGCAAACTGAATTTTTTATGACCGAAGAATAGACACTTGCGACGGGTATTTCGGGTTAAGCGACAAGTATCGAAAGAAAAGACAACTCGATACGGCTTCAAGACAATTCGAATACTCCGGCGGCGGACATTATTTAGTGCAAAGAAAATGTTCGGGTGAAAATGGCGCGAGATTAGTGCGCGTCTCTTGCCGTTTTGGGTGGGGTATGACGCTGACTGCATATGTTTTTCACACCGCATATTTTAAAACTTAGCTTTCTAAGCCATTTAAATTTGAATTGAAAATGTTAAGCTGATCAAATTAACTCTTATAACTCAGTAGTTGGCGGAGTTAAGAAAAATACGCTACGGAGTGCGGTTTCCTTATTTTTCAACGAATTTGATCACGTTACGGGGAACTCGGGTTTCCCCCTACTAAAACGTGTCCACTTAAAGTTTGTCATAAATATTTTATGCCATCGTAATGGATCATCGCTAGAATCACGGGCCAGATCACGTTTCTGATTTCAATAAACAAAATGAAAATAGCCCTTGAAACTAGCAGTTCGCCCAAAACATTGCAGAACATTCCGCGCACGTTTTCCTATTTTGAATTACCTTAAATTTATTTTTTTGAAAAAAAACTGACGCACGAGGTTTTGTTTACAGAATTTGAAAAAGGCATCACATTATTCCTCGTGTATGCTTCCTTTGGCGGATGTGAACTTATTCAACTGCTAATTTACAGTTATTTGGAGCAAAGAAAAATATCTCGTGGGGTTATGAAATAGCGTGTGTTTGCGATGGACGCGTTATTTTGCTTTTCAAATGTTGGCTTTCGCAAGAGCGCGCGTACAGTGGGCACGCGTCGGGACGCGAGTTATTGTTCACGAACCAATCAGCGCGCTGAATTCAACACAATCGTCAACAATAGGAAATAATGGTTGGCGCGTGCGATCAAAATCCCACCCGTCGATTGGTTGATCCTAGTTGATCACACATGCCACTTGCAAATTGCTCTGTCGCGGGGTTTTCCTGTTTACAAATGGCCACTTTGCACGCTACCATAGAGTGATTGTTAACCGTAATGGGCGAATCCAGTAACTTCGTTTTAAAAAGGATTGGCACGTACGACCTCACTGGAAGTAAACTGGGAAAGGGCAACTTCGCGTACGTCGAGCTGGCAACGAACCGCATTACGAAAAGCAAGGTTTGTTCCATGAGCTTGCCTTATGATTACAATGCTATTTAGAAAGGATTGTTCGTTGGCTTAACTACTCCCATTGTCAGCCATTGTCACGCACTGTGGGTGTGTAGAATGGGTATTATTCATCGGTTTAATTACGCGAGGTGACCTGTTTTATTACTTATCACAGTTAGTTTTGCCGCCGCTTAACTCAGCTTGGTTACATTATTAAAAATCCATCTCCTAGGTCGCCATGAAGGTTATAGACACGCGGAAAATTAAAGACGAATACGTCAAGAAGAACATTCTACGGGAGGCTTTACTGCTCAAGAAAGTCAATCACCCGAACATTGTTCGACTGTATGAGACGCTCAAACAGAACTCAATTTACTGCATCGTGACAGAGTACGTTCCCGGAGGCGAGCTGTTGAGCTATTTACGAAGTCAAAACGACTGCAAATTGAGCGAATCACAGGCCAGGCCTTTTATGAGGCAGCTTATTTCAGCGTTGTACCATATGCATGAGCAAGGCATAGTACATCGGTAAGACACTCAAAACAAGTGCAATTTTGATAACATTTAAATAAAAAATGTATTTAAAAAAATTAAAAACGCCGCGGGAATTGCTTCTTGATTCTTTTCAGTTCATCTCAACTTTAAATTGTGGGATTTCAGCCGCGTACTTGAAAACTAGAAATTCACCAAGCCTCAAGGTGTGACTCGTCCAATGTTTTGCAGAAGCGATGAACCTCGTGGGTGTTATGTTGTATCATAATTGATGCCAAGGGTTGTTAAGATATTAACAACAAGCCTAAAATTGTACAATTTTACTCGGAAGGGATAAGAATAAGAAAAAGCGAAAAATTCTGTACACTTTCACCGAAAAACTGCTGGTTTTAGGATGACAACTGGGTAACAGTGAGCCGATTTTTATGTTAATCTGAATTTGAAGTTGCTTAGAGATCACAAAAAAGCCAGAAAAATGTTGTTTTTTGGAAACTGTGATAAAAAACTATTATAGAGGCATACAAAACAGACCTTGAACTCTGAAGATATTTTACAGGCGCTTAAGGATCATGCTGAAACCCTCAAAACTGTTAACAAGCTGTCAAAAAAAAAGAAAACTTCTCGCGGTTCGCTTCGTGTTAAGTGGCAAAATCTCAATTTTGTCGAACAGCTTATCTGTTAATAAGTTTTTCTTAAGTATGAAAATCATAAGAAAAGCTCGGAATGGCTACATTTGTTTTGCGTTATACAATACTCAAAGCCTTTGTCTTGTTATTTGGTTCTTTCTGAATACACGGCAATTTTTAATTACATAGCTGCGACCTGTTTCCGAGCGACTGAATAAATTACCGTTTCTAAGAGGGGTTTTGAGAGCGACGGAAATTTACGATAAACGCGCAAGGAAGTTTATTTCCTTTGGTCTCACTTTAAATCAGACAACTTATCTTTTTCAACAATTACGTTAAGGAATTGAAATACGAGATCCAATCACTATTCAAAATTGAAAATTAAAAGCCTTACTCAAAACTGTACATTTTGAGCGACGATTACAAAAAGGCCTTTTTAAACCGGTGTCGAAAACATTAATTAAAGGTTGTGTTTTCTGCTCTCTTTCTTAACGACGGAAATAGAAATAAGCCCAGAGTGTATTTCATTATGAGGTACAATAATCGATGTATTGAAAAAAATATGACTTCCGAAAATTTTAGACACAATCGTTTCAACTTCTCGCGTTGTTTCTCCAAAATGTTTAGCCAGCTGCCGAAGTGGCTTCTTATCTACACTATACTTTCAAAAATGTATTCATTTGCCAGAAGCTTAAATCTCCAGGCACCTTATTATTTTGTCTGAAATGGGAGATAAAATTAACGTGTCTGTTAATTTCTGAAATTAGTTGACCATCTGCCGTTTATCCCTAAGAGCGTCATAAATTATTGACGAAGATAATTTTTCAAGGGAAGAAAAAACACTCCAAAGCCGACGCAACAAGTGTCAGAACCTTTTCCCCGTTTAGGTTTTTGAAAAGATTTGTCAAACTCTTCAAACAGACCAACTCAAATCACAGTATGCTCACGAGAAATAGAAAGCGAAACAGCTTGTATGATAAGTGACAAACGTTTTTCCAGTGGAAAAAAAAAAACTCGCGAAATAAAATATCGATTGAGAAAAACATCACACCAATATGAATATATTCATGTAATTAATTGGGCGAGCCAATAAATTTTTGCAATTGTTTACGTTGAAACAAACGTAAAGACAGTTTTGAAAATGCGCAAAAAAGCAAGATAAAACGCTTATTCACTTAAAAAAAAACATGTTCGTTGAGCTCTGATAAATCGAGGGTGATTTGATTCAAAGGAACAGCGTTTTGATCAAATAATTCTTAAATAATTTAAACAAAATTCATGGTCGCCTTTTTGTATTTCAAAGATTGTAAAAGAGAACACGCCCGTCGATGATATCAAAAAAATATGCCAATCAATGTTTCTCCTAAAACACGCCCATGTTAGATTGCATCCCCACTTAATATACAGCACCTCCGGCAAGGGACGAAAAATATAGGTCCAAAATGTGTGCATAGGAGGTGCCTGAACGGGCACCAACTAAACATACATTTACATCAATAACATAATGAAAAAATAATTATGTCGAGGGAATTAAGATCAAAGGATTATTATGAACACCCATTACATCAGTCATCGTTCTACAAAATGTTGTTTTACCTTATTTGCACATGCAAAATTCAGAGGGAGTTTAACATTACAACACCCAACGAGAAGAATTGCTGAATAATCTGGAATTAGAATGCTTGCATTTATGCTTTCTTGCACAAAAGTTACTAAGACACTTTTTATTACAGTATGCGTAACAGTACCTTACTCAAAGAAATGCTTAAAGGTTTTCATTTGCATCAGCGCAAAAAAGGAGGGTGTTAATCACATTCAACCAAAAGGGCTCAACACCATACTTATATATATTTTTACACAGACAGGTGATAAGAATCCTGTTGATGGAATCCTGTGGTGTGAACATTCAAATTAAACCCTTTCACTAAGCTTCAGTTTTTCAAGGGCTGGATAGCACTATTTATCCAGTGGGTAATGCAATTGATTTCCCTAATACTTATCCACAGGATTGTGATTTATCCGGTGGATAGTGCTATCCATTGCTTGAACAGCCTGGGCCAGTACTTTGAATTATATGTGGATCTAACATTTGAGTCTGTTGACCAAATCCTTTGGTGTAACCATTGAAATGAAACATCTTCATTTGTATGTTCACATAGTATTATTTATTTGGCACGAAGTTCTAGCTTTCAAGTCTGGGGATGTCACCATTCAGATGAAACCTCTCAGGCTAGTATTTTACAAAGAAGGGCCATAGCAAGCCTTTAAAAACTAGGTAGGGGGACACAAAGATTTTAGGTATTTCATTTTATTTGAAAAGCAGAGGGTTTTGGGGTCCAGAGGTACCCATTGGACTGATCTCTGCATCATAAAACCAGAAAATGTTTCACCTAGCTACAGAGACATCATTGTTTCAAAGCTCTGGGAGATGAATTGTTATTTTCAACTTTAATGCGTGCGTGTTTTGACTTTTTGGGGCAAAAAAAATGGTCCCTCCACACGCTACGGCCCTGCAATGTACCATTTGCTTCACAAAATTTAAAACAAAAATCACTTTTGTTTTGTGTTTTTGCTTATTTCAGATCACTCTTTGGAGTGAATTGAAGGTTTGGCACTTCCTAAGAACTTAACAGAACAATCATGCATTTGCATTTTAACAACTGTAATGTGTTAAAAACATATAATCATTTGCTTTGTTGTGGATTAAATAATATTATAATGACATCACAGACTGTTGTTGAAAATAAAATTACTTAATTAACCCTCTGGAACTGACAATTTTAACCATTCAGGGTTTAGTTCCTTGATGGCTGGTTAGTCCTAATCCAAGGATAAAAATTCTAACCAGCAAAAAACTATTTATTTCATTTTTTTAAAACTTTTTATACACTGTTTTGGCCTGGTCATATTGGGTTAACACAGGAGCCATGAGTTAATGTAACTGGGTATTTCATAAGCCTTAGTTATACATGTATTTTCATTGAAAGAAACATTTTAGTTCAAATTTCATTTAAACAAGGGTCTGAATTAACAGCCTTTCCAGCAACCAAGGCCTATTCATTTCTCCTCTAAACAATATAAGCAACTTACATCAAGCCAATGTAACATATTGTAAAAATCAACATATTATTGTCTATAATATTATTTATTTTTATTTATGTCCTGTACATTCTGCACAAATATTTATTAGTCACAATATTTGCATGTCCTCAGTTAACCATCCTCCTTTACATCATTTATCAAATTTGAATGACATTTCTGAAGTAAGATTTACTTCATTCAGCATTTTTACTACTGCAAGCTGTTTTTCTCGATAAATTCCGTCATAGAATTATACAACCTTATTTTGTTCTTCATCAAGAATATGGACCTCCCTACTTCAAGACATCATCTTTATTACACCTCAGTGTTCTTTCCTCAAAAGATCCCTTACCTATTTATTTAACAATAATTATGTTTTCTTAAATGTATTTTTTAACATTATCATGCCAGATTCTTTTCAATCTTAGTTTCTTTCTAACCAAGGCACTGAAAACATTACATTAACATTTATATTAATTATACAATACTAAAGAATTTTAAAATATTTCATTATTCTTAAAAGTAACTAAATTAGTATTATGAAAAGGAGTCTTCTCCAGATGCAAAATAACCAAACAGTTTGACTTGATTTTCTTTAGAGATCTCAAAATGGAAAACATTCTTCTGGATGAGAACAAAACCAACATAAAAATAGTAGGTAGGAAATATACAAGTCAATTTACCTTTTAATTTTCATACAAACCCCTGCGTAACAAACCCCTCTATTGATTAGACTGAAGACCCAAACATAACAAACACTCATTTCTGTCCGTTATTGTGAAATGTAAAGAATATACCCCACTCAGAATGAACATATTATATGTCTGCATTTGCAGGCTACAGGTGTTTGTTAGATCATTCAAGGTAAGCTGAAACAGCAATAATGCACTTTGCAATGTAATATGCTTTTTTATTTGTTTACAACAACTTACCACTTTTCTTGTAGACTTTGGTCTCAGTAATATCTGCCGTGGAGACGATCTCCTCAAAACACAGTGTGGCTCTCCAGAATATGCTGCACCAGAACTCTTCAAGCGTGGCTGTCGATATGGAACAGAAGTTGACTTGTGGAGTCTGTGAGTAAACGACAGACTATTTTGCCTTAGGTCCAAACTGATTCCAATATGTTAGCTCTAATCTGGCACATAGAGAATACAGTTATGTAAAAACTTAGAATTTTAGACCTGATTCATCTCCATCAAAAATAATTATCACATGTGAGGGAGATGAATCCAGTTTCGAATTCTGTCAAGAATTTTGGGGAAGATGCTGTGATTATAGGTCCTAAAAACGAAACATATTTTACAGCTAAATTTCTCCATCTATCAATTAATTAATCTGGGAGCTGGGTTGCCTGGATGCTGTGGAATTATTAATAAGGTATGATCACCCTTGAGAGAGCAAGGGTGGCACAGTTAATAAGTGCGTGGACTTCGGTGCGCAAGATCCTGAGTTTGATCCCCGACGACATCACATCCTTGTTTCAACTTCTCTCCTTTCTGTGCTTTAACTAGCTTTAAATACCCTTAAAACAGAGCACTGATGGAGAGAGGGGGGTAAAATGAGCGCACCATCAACCTCAAGTTAATCAGTTTTAGATACTGTCATGAGTTATTGAAGAAAAATATTTTTGCTTTACCCTTTCAATTTACCAGGGACACAAATCAAGTGATGAAACAAAGTAGGCTCAATCTACACCTTCCTTTTTTTTTGTCTTTCAGTGGTGTCATCATGTATGCCATTGTAGTTGGAAGGCTACCATTTAGGTAAGGGTTTATCCCATTAATGGAGTTGACCTAGTAATGGCTACTCTCAGATTTCCCAATGGTTGCAGACCAATGCACATAGGATCTATTGTTGACATGTTTTTTCCTCATTAACGGGGCGCGGATCTAGGATACATACTGACCGATTTGCTTAACGAGTGACAAAGGCTCAAGCTTCAAGCTTCTAAGGGGAATCGGGGGCATGCTCCCCCAGGGAATTCTTTGGATTTTAATCCCCCCTTTCCTTTCCTGTGTTTCTGAGTCATTCAGACAGGATATTGGCCACTTCCATTCCCCTCGGGTGAAGCCCTGCAAATTAGCGAATTATTTCATCTCTCATTTTCAACTTGGACTTGCTTTTTTTGTATCAAAAATGCATTATATTTATCATGAAAAATCAGACCAATTTCCATAAAACAATGGAAACGGGTGTGGATCTGCACCTGTTAACATAAGTGTCAGCTCTGAAAATTTAAAGACAATGGCACAATAATATATTAATGGCAGTCGCTGAAAATTTCAGTCCAACATATGAGAAATTCTTTTTTAAAATATGTGATCAAAAATACGCAAAAAAAGAATAAATGTATGGACTTCTACCAGTGGTAAATTTTGCATTCTCTGGTGACCATAATAATTTCTTAAGTGTTTTGTACAAATAGCTTAAAACTGCCAAGGCTACTAAACTGAACATTAGCTCTATCACTGATCAGCTATCACTGAGTGAGCTATCACTTCCTATTTTTATGAATTGCAACCCCCCAAGTTAAAGTTTTTGCTCGGTCACCATTTGGCAACCAACCCTTTTGGTTCAGGGAAGCTTTTTTACAAATCAAGTCGCTGGCTCCAAAATGTTAGGTGCCATAGCGACCAAAATGGTCACAACTTGAAGGGTTGAATTGACCCATTTTGTCTTACCTCAAACAATCCGAAAATGTGCGATCCCATTCTAGAAACTCTATTGAAAATGTGACACCATCCAGCGCCACATCCCCATTAGCCTCTCGTAAGGAAGTACACCCCCCGGGATGCTGAAGTCAATTTTTAGAGCGTGATGTCTTTACTGAGCTTTAGTAAACGTAAGCTTATGCTAATGAAGAAAAATTCAGACAACGAGTCAGCGACTCCAAAAAGGATTGGCAAATATCATAAATTTTGAGCTAAAAACATTACATTTCACTCTTTATAGCTTTCAGGGACAGAATTCAAACTGGCGCAAACTAATTCAAAATAATTAAGTGCAGAAGTCGAGTGTAATTTGGTATAATTCACTAATTCAGAAGTGAAAAACAAAATTTGTCCATGTTTGGTTGTGTAAGAGAGAAATTACAGCCACTCTCAAAGAAATGTAACTGAAATCTTACCTCATCTTGCCTCAGGAGAATCGCTCTGTTATTCCCGCCAGGCGTTCCAAGAGCCAAGCGACCGCGCATACCAATACACAGGGGGCCGTTTCTCGAAAGTCCCGAAGGGCCCGGTAAGCCGTCCCCGTTTACATTTAAGATCGAGGTCTCAATATTTTTGCATCTAACATGATGAAACTATCAGTTAATGAAACAAAATGGAGTAGTTTGCTAGCCAGGACCGGCGCTCTTATTCTTTATATTTCGATTTGAATATTTGATTTCGGGCCCGAAAAGTTACCGGGACTTTCGACAAACGGGCCTCTGCAGGCCCGGTGGCCACTGCCACAATCGCGGGAGCTCATGTCGTCACGCAACGCTCCATCCCTCATATCCTTCACATGAAAACAGAAATTTGAGCGATAAGCTCGCCCCCCATTCCCCTGGGGATGACTCACATAAGATAGAAGGGGATGGAGGCAAGCTTAATACCATAAGGAAAAACCACGTAGATATAACTGACTGGTTGGGGGGTCAGATCTCTTATTAAAGAGATGCTGTAGCCAGACGTTACTGGATGTGAAAAATTATGATGATGATAATACCCTTTTTAAAGTGTCAAAAACTGTAATAGTGGTGTATAACCACTAAGTGGGGACACTAAAATAAGTTTAAAAAGAATAAATCAATAAATTAATTAATTAAAAATGGAAAAAAAAAACAGAATATTTAAAAGAATACAAATCAAATAGAAAATTTAGGAGAACTTTTTACAAAACTGAATGGCTGGAACTACGACAAAGGGCAGAAAATTTTTAAATTTAACAAAAAACCTTTTAGGGAAAATATTTTTTAACGGCTCCTAAAATTTAAATTTAAAATTTACATAAGTGGTTATTAATTAACTACATTTATAAATACTAATTAGAATAATATACAGTTAAAAAAGAAAAAAGAAATTAAACAGTTCAATGTTCAGTCCTTCGGTTCAGACCGTCTGGTGATTGGGTTTTGCCTCTATCTATGAGGTACGCTTCTCTTGCCTTACAGCGTGGCGCGTGACATGCTGAGAGTGGGTTGCAATTCCAGAATGGAATAAGTTCCATATCTGCGATCGAGTGGCCAGTTGATTAAAGTGGGGAAGGGACTCGGCTGCTGTGGTGTTTGCGTGGAGTGGATTGTTTGTTGCCTGTCTATGTTATTTAAAGCAATTAATGCAAACACAAAGTGTGCGTTTAGTTTCACCTATATATTGTTTTTTTACATCTTTTACATTGGATCATATATGTTAGGTTTGTTTGTTTTGTTGTTGTTGTTTTTTCATTCTTCTTGGGCTCCTGATAACATTTATTTTCTTGCAAAGGATATATAAATCATTACATCAACCGAGTAAGACCTACCTAAACCGACACCAAAGTAAAATTTTGATTCCTGGCCTGATGTATCCTCGGAGACCCAGGGGCAGTTAGTCCATGTATAAGACAACAATAAATGACGCTTATAATAATAAATTGCTCGCATTTATTACTAGAACAATGCAGCGAAATTTGTTACGAATCATTTTTCTTCCCAGAAGCCCTCACTACGGTAGCAGAGGTCGGAACGAACTGATTGAGCAAACATCTCGTGGACTGTCTTGCATGCACAACAAATATCTGGTGCGTCTAACCCATCGTAAGTACAATTTTATGCCTTACCGTTTTCCTCGAATCTTTTGTTTCAGTTCCTCCCACCCTCCCAACCAAAGCAAGAACAACGGTTTGCTTGGAAACGTGCTCTTTTTTTTCTGTTCGTTTTCGATGTTTGGCTCATGGTGGAGAGGCAATACTATAAAATAACATCAAGATGAATAGCCTTATGGACGTAAAACTTCGTGTTATGAGACACAACCCGCGTCACCATGGGGTATGCAGTGAAACATTGGTTCCCAGTGAACTCGTTTCTTGATTGGTTCATTTAACTCATGTTTAACTGTACCACAAAGCAAAAGATTTATCCAAGAAACAAAACAGGCTTTCAAAAGAGTTATATTTCTAATCGACAGATTGCCGAGATTTACTAGCAAAGCTTCTCAAACCGAGGCCTGAGCTGCGCTTGCCGCTGCTAGATGTAATGGTGCACCCCTGGGTAACTGTACAAGGAACCTCGCCTTTAGTACCTTTCACAGAACAACCCATTGACGAGAAAATACAGGATAAGGTAAGTCACTGGAAAAAAAAAACTAAATACAACAATACTTTTCCCAAAAGTGTTGCATTTTTATTTTATTCTATCCGGTCAGTTTTCAATTTTTCGTCACCTTGAACTCATGAAGGAAAACTACTAAGAACGGAAACAGCTCAACCTGGAAGACGCTTCTGGAACTTTCAAAAACGCTGTCCCACTCTTGAGTATTTTTGTATTCAAATTTACTAACGTCTAATTTTCTAAATAAACAATACGTTTACTTTGTGAGTACGAAATAAGTTTTCAAGAAAGTTCTAGTGTACCGAAACTTACGATAAACAGTTCCCGTAGAGCGGTGCACAAATACAATTATTTTAAGTCACACTTGAATATTTACATTGCCTCAGGTTTTAGAAAAAGTCTCACAGCTAATCAAAATCCACAAGTCCAAGATTGCTCTACATGTTCACCAGAAAAGGTACGACGCCATTACAGGTGTTTATAATCTTCTCCTTGACGAAGAGCTGAAATGCGCCTCCAAATCTAACAACGAGAGACGAGTACAGAGAGAAAACACTCGGGCGAATTCTGTGATCAAGGTCTCTATCAAGTCTACTGCAATTGAGACTGCTAACCAGAAGACTGGTGACCAAAATAGATTACAGGACTCTGAGAGCTCGAGTAGGTCTGAAGGCCAAGACTCGCAACCTGAGGCAGAGAAAGACTGGGAACAAACTACCACGCAGAAACCAATAATTTCCAAGCCACAGTAAGTTGGATAAAAATAAATGTCACGTTAAAAGTACTAGCAGTCGTCCTGAGATGTGTTTCTATTTCTGTCTTTCTTTATTTAAACATATTTTACAGGCGAAGGTTGCCCTAAGAGCAGCTAAGAGGAACAAAACTCATCGAGAGGGCTCACCTCTGGTGTTTAAAAGCGTTGTATATGTAATAATTTTGATTTTTTCGTTTTCCTCTTTTAGGGAAAATCTCGTCGAAAGACTGCTTGAGGTTAGTGGATCCATCGTTTAATATTCAGTAGAGACCATTAAGATTGTGAGACGAGTACTATTACGAGTACGAGATTTTCTCAATACTAAATAGTGCTTAAGAGTGAACCAGCGTCATTTTGGCGGGAAAACATGATTGCCGTCGTCATTCTACGACGAGTTTTAGCGAGAATGTCTTGGTAAAGGAAACAAGTTATAAAGTGTTTAATAGAGGTTTTATTATTTTGCGGCCGGGAAATGGCTTAACCTTCTTCAGTAAAGATAACAGTGCTAATTTTTTTGGTGAAAAAGAAGTGCAATGAAGCTTCCTGGGGTGTCTGTTATTTGAAAATACGCGAAAAAACTTTAAGTCAAATGGTACTCGTAGTTTTTCTCGGCTTAGAATCTAAAGGTGTCTAGTAATTCTTAGCCTCATTACTTTCTTAAAATAAAGAAATAATTGTGCCGCCGACCCGGCTGTACAGATCCTGTCCTACTTTGAGGCCTCGTTTATATGGAGAAACGAGCGCTGGTTTACACAATCAGAGCATGCGCGAGGGCTTTTGGCTCGGGCAACAGGCAAAGGGGTCAACTTTTTCCTCATATTTACTCTCGCTAAAGTTGACTCGGCCTTAAGGGTGACTCTCCTACCCGGGGTAGGTTTTCCCCCTATGAGAGAGGCCTAACTGATCACAAGAATTAAAAGCTAATAGTCGCAACCTGGGAAACGGTATTTTTGCTTACCATTATTCTGTTATAAATCTAACGGTTCGTTTAAATTATAATAATAATAACAATAATAATAATTGCGTTATTTTTACCCTCGGCGGTATATATAGCACTAATGCTAGCAGGGCCGAGCAAATGACTGAAACAAATATTCAAATCAAACATAACGGGGTTAAGAATCCCAACTGGCCGGAGGCAAGCCAGCTGACTATTTACAAACGTGGTCGAGGATCTGAACTCGGCACTTCCTTGAACAAATCCAGTTAACGGTCAGGGCGGAACGTGAACTCGGGGCCTCCAAAATACAAGTAGCGCTCTTACAGCTCGGCCACGCTCCCTTCTATTTTATTTGAAAAGTATGAGGCATGTAGTATACTACTGATTTCAAACGCTTCGTAGCAAGCATTAGAATGAGACGGCACAAAGTTTAGGACACCTTAAGTTATTTGCTTGGGCAACAAATGTGCACAGATAAGAGACACTATTTTCAAAGCCATTTAACTCATAGTGTCGTTAGCCTCCCACGCAAACGTTCTTAGGGGTTCGTCACGCGTTCCTACCCCACGAGAGAGGAATGATTGCGTGACGAACCCGTAAGAACGTCTGCGTGGGAGGCTAATAGTGTCGTCTGATTTGTTTATTTTCTCAGGGTTTGCAGATCAAGGCTATAAAGATGTGCTCTTTTGAGGAGCGCGGACTATCTAACAGCCACACCCACGCTAACACACGCCCTAACAGCGCTACACCTGCCCGGACATACATAGAAAGCCCTTTGAAACCAACGAGTGGGCCACCTCGAGCCTGGAAAAGAGCAAATAGGGCAAGGTGTAACTCATGTATCCCTCGGTTTGCCCCGAAGTTTGACAGCAAGTTACACGGAAAGCGTGTTGTAATGTCCCCACGAAGGAGACAGGAGCCCGAGTGTTTGGCTTCACAGTGGGAATCTAAATTGAGCGCACTGATCACTGAAGTAGGCGAGGAAGGATGTAGCCATTGTGAAGACTTGAAAAGTACCGCAAGTTCTTCGGGCGAAAATTCACCAGAAAAAAATTCTACCGAAGTTCAACCCGAGAAACCCGATGCGCAACTCGAGTTCGGGGAGAAAACTGAAATCATGAGCCAGGAAAACTTGGGCAGCTCCTCAGGACGCATGGGCCCAAAGAACTGTCATTTAAAAGATACCCCTGGGTTGAAACCAAGCCCGGAGACGAGTAAATCCGAGGGAAAACAGACTGCTCAGATACTTCAAACAAGCCCCAAGTCTGTGACCTCGAAAAGGGTTATTTGGTCGCACAAAGGAATGCCTCCATCTTCACTGGCCTCACAGACAATTAATCGAGCTGTGTCGCCGCTTAGAGCAAGCCAGTTTGTTGATCTTACCGATTATCACAAACACGTCCCTCAGCCGCCGAAGGCTCGTATTGCGGGGCAGCTGGGCTGTGGTACAAAACTGGGGTGTAAAGAAGGTGAAGACGAAGGACAGATTAACAGGTAAACTCTTTCACAACGGGTCAAACCCAAATAAAAAATCAAAGAAATAACTCCACGCGTATCAGGAAAAGGGGATCAAATTCATGAAAACAACAGGATTTGTCGCTCTGGTGTTGAAACGGCTATATCTGGTCATTTTTAAAATGGCCAAAACAATGGCGTAGCCTACACCATACAAAGAACAATTAGAACTCCATGCTGCCGTTAAAGGTGGGGTAAAACAAGAAACAAAAACGTGCAGCTTGTTTTGTAACATTGCTGCAAGACGAGTCGAAAAGGAATGTTGCACGTTTTAACACCCACGTTCAAACCCGTCTGGCAGCAAACCAGGTTGTTTCAGTTTGCGAAAAGTTGTTGCAGAAAGCAGAGAGTGAGTTGCCTTTTGCAACAAAACCTGTACATGTTGCGCGTTTTACCGCACCAAGGTAAACTTGTTTTGCGGCAAGTGACGTAAACCCCGTGTAAGGTAAGACTCTCGGGTAATTTCATCCAATCAGACGACAGTGTTAAAGCAAATTGAAGCGCCCTGATTTGTCTTGGGTTTGAACGCGGGTGGTAAAACGCGCAACTCCGTTTTCAACTTGTTTGCAGCCATTTTTGTTGCCTGATTTACCGCACCTTATTAAGGGCGCGGAAACACGTAACGGTTGCTGAACGCGGGAAAGCTGTGACGGCAGCAAAGCGTTCCTCAGCGAGATTAGCACGAACGTTTGAGGCACAAACTGAGAAAGTATCACACAGAATTGTTTGCTATTTACCACATTAGCTATGCTTGGGGGCTTGAAAAAGGTCTTATAACTGAGCCAGGTCAATGAAGAAAGTAATATAGTAACTTAAGATAAATTTGTGATTTTCATTCGCAGTTTCTCTGCAGCATACAACTCTTACCTCAAGATCAGCAAACCACAACACCGTCGCCTGTCAATAATGCAAGCGCAAGAAATTCTCCAACACGAGTCTAAGTTTCAACTCAAATATGGCAGAAAACTGAACGCCGCAGAAATTTCTACCAGTAACACTGACTCAAACAAGTCTTCCGATAACCAGGTGTCACGCCTTGATAACGCAAGCAACAGCACGCATGCGTCCGTCCCTGTTGCAAAGAAATCCAATAAACAACAGTACAACATTCCTAAGCCTGGTTACCTCAAAGGAGTAAAGCTTCACGGAGATCAGAGAGAAATTATCCTTGACGGTGTGAAACAAGAAATAATTTTCGAAAAACAAGCTGCGCCAAGCCAAGATCGTCTTGTAGGACCAAATCTGTCGGCTGAAAGAGGTTACAACGAAGAAAGCAAAATAAAGAACGAAAGCGAGAAGGGTAACGAAATCCAGGTACATTCAATTGATATTTTGCCTCGACCGACTCGGCCATCACCCGAGGCCGGTTTCAATCATCCGACGCCCGAAACCCGACTAAACCCAAAACAAGAAGAATCCCTGAAGAGACAAAAGGAAAAGGAACAAACGGAAAACCACGAGCGAGAAAAAAAGAAATTTCTAAAAGAACTGGAGGACCAACAACGTCAAAAAATGATCACAGAATATCTTCAGCACGTTTATTCACAATATGGCCGATCACAGCCCTCGCCTCGTGCTGTGAACAAACCAGAGCTCAATCCGCGCACCTGTAAAGTATCCAAACGAGGGCGCGTTTATTCGGTGACCACTCGTCCCGCGGAGAAACCGGGCTCCGACGCACCGCGGGTCATCACCAGGCCAACGTCCATTCTTCACCAGGCCTCCAAAGGAGCTCAAGGGGATAAAAAAATCGTTTTCAAAACTCAGACGGGAGTAAAGGCTACTAATGGTGTGAGGTTTGTTAATGACTGGAACAACAGCGTGTTTACAGAGTACATAAACAGCTCCGACGTCGACACAACCGACGGGAAGGAAAACGACAAACTTCAGGTACCGTAAATAATTTTGTAGTCAGATGGATGGCAGAAGAGTTCGTTTTTCAGCTAATTTATATAATTCAATACCCAAATATTGATGGACAGTATTAAAGAAAAACTTCTATGGCAATACACTCCGCATTTAGTGTGATATACCGTAGAATTTATAAGTTAATCTTTTCAAAGAGAAAGTCACAAACCAACCTCGTCCCCAGGGCTTTTCCCTCAAAAGGGAAAAGCCCTGGGGACGAGGTTGAGTCACAAACGTCACACATGTGACTTTCAACAGTGTTAAATTAGGAAAAGTTATTTAGCTTTCAAAAAATTTCATACAAACCATTGAACTTTCCAACACCTGCACTTATGTAGTTATACGGTCTCTAACAGTACGCTTGAAGAGTTTCTTAATTCATTAAGTCGAAAACGTGAAAACAGTTTTCAAATGAAAAGTGATACAGAACCTCATCTCTAGCCTGAGAAAATACCGTAAAATTCCGAAAATAAGCCCCTCCATGTAAAAGTTCCTCCAAATATAAGCCCCCCAAACCGGTAACGCAAAAAACCCTCCGTTAAATCGCCCCTCCAAATGTAAGCCACCCGGGGGCTTGTACTTGGAAAATTGCCCTCAAATACAAAGTAAAACAAAGCAAAGACGGTACATTTACTTCCAACTATAAGGCTAGCCCAACCTATTTTGAAACGCAAATATCCCTCCGTAGATAAGCCCCTCCAAAAATAAGCCCCTCAAAAAGGGCCTTTGAAAAATATAAGCCCCAGGGCTTATTTTCGGAATTTTACGGTAGCCGACATTTCGCGACGCAAACATTGGTTTCCCCGCGAAATGACGTCAGAGAAAAGAACGTAGGAATTCCAGACATGGGAAGCCAGTGCCTCTGATTGGTTGAAAATTTTGATTCAGGAGCACTATTGAGATCTGGGCAGTCAGGCAGAAATTTCTGCTCTCGTTTCTCAGACGTTATTTCGTAGGGAAACGAGTGATGGCATCGCGAAATGTCGGATGGTTTCTCAGGCAACTATATATCTTAAATTGTTTTATTTGTGCGGCAGGTAAAAGACGCAAGTTTTTGGTTGGAGCAGCACCTAAATGGCGTACTGGATGAGACAACAGTCACTAGGAAAGACCTTCACAACTACCAACAACTTTATATACCTAGAGAGACTTGAACAAAATCACGGTCGCAACTATTAGCGCTTAAAAAAGCAAAATTCATTAAAATTATAAAAAATGTATGAAAGCAAACTACTTGTTTCTCATATCATCAGAGATTAAAAAATAAACTGGAGGATTTATTTTGGAATAAATTGTACAAAGGTATCGCCACAAAATTACATATTTATTTATACGACAAATTTTCTACTTTCGTAAAATATTACAATTTACCAAAGAGGACGACAATTTAAACCATATTTTCATGACTGTGCAAAAATTTAACAACACCCAGTCTTCAACAAGACCATCCAAAATTCACGATCAAAATTTATTTTTATGTAAAGGTATTTATTTTAAAATTTGTAACCGAGACAAAGCGATAAAACTTGTATTAAATACAACAAATCCCAGAGTTTTTATTTCAATTTTCTTAAACCGTATACAATTTCTTACTTCAAAATGATAAGTATTGGTTGTATATTTCAAGAGAGTAAAAATAAATTACTACCTTATTTACATGACCTTTAATTTATAACAACGATATTCCTTGTAATTTCTATTTAGTCTTTTGTCAAAAATCCCCACCGTTTTCATGACCTTTGGAAGAAACGCTTTCAGGCCAGAAACAATAGAGTTACTTCTTCCTTCTTTTTCAAACCGAGGGACAGCTCGAAGTCTTTGATATGAAAAATCAAAATCATTTTCACATAAAATGTTTTCCAATTTGCCTAAGTTTGAAAGTGAAGATTGTTAGAACTCGGAAATGACCAATTGACGAAGTGTTTCATTTTTTTGCTGCCACGCGATCTGAAAACAGCCAATGGGCGCAAACAACTGAAAAAGAGACGAACTATTGTCGCGGGAATTATTCTTAGTTTTCTACTACTGTCTGGCATGGGCATCTTTTGTGTTACGTCATTTGGCGATTGTAAAACCACGAAACTGAAATTCTCCTGAACTCTATTGGGTTGAAGAGGGCGACCTGGGTCCAAAGGAAGACTAGCAACTCCCGAGTTCGTTGCCATGACAACGTAGATTGTTATGTTTACAGTTTACCAGAGATGAGTGAAAAAAAACCAAACCGGATAACCAAACAAATCATATAACCGGTGCGTACGCTGATATGCTTTTTAACTGATGAAATCAAGACTTGATTTCCAAAAGTTTTACTTTGCCTCGACCCTTTTCAACGCAACCTATGAAGCAATCACTTCATTTCTCAAGTAGGAATATTCTAAATCAAGAAGTCGTTTCTGCATTTTACCGGTTATCCTCCTACACAGACTTGCGTCACGAGAAAAACGCACATCTGCGTGGAAGGCTATTTACCAGTTTACTTCATTTCAATAGAGAATTTTTGTGGGTACTAATTAAGATGGAGGACGAAATTTCAAATCAAAGGCCTGAAAACCGCTTTTTTTCCTCGCTCGTTTTGTTAATTGGTTTAGTTCAAATTAGAACCTTTGAAAGAGGTACGACTAAGATCAAATTTCATAGTCGCTGCTCAAACGTTAGTAGTGTTAAGTCACGAGTTGCTGTCACCTGCCGTCCCAGACCCCAAGCGTACCATTATTAAAGCAAAGGTTATGTGTTGGATATGGAATAACGGAGGCTGAGGAACCAAGCCCCTGAGGCGAGAATGAGTTCAATTCGTTTGTAGATTCTTGAAAGAGAGTGGCGTCCTGAAAAAAAAGGGTACGCGAACGAAATCAACACCTGGATGAAGTTTTTTTTTGTTGAGTGTTACGCACGTTTTGTGTTACATCCCCCGAAATTCAACGTTACGTGTTCAAAAAAGGGATTAACCTTGAAAAATAAATATGGTATACTAGATGAACGAGAGAGGACAAAAATAAACTACAGACTGAAATAAAGTTAAAGATATTCTACATGTACGCCCTGAAAACAGTGTGTTGACAAACATAAACAACTAAGGAGGTGGGGGTAGGGTCCGAGGGGAAATGAAAGAAAAAATATTTTTTTCAGTATACAAATTTCAAGAGTCTTTAAAGACTCACGGCAAAATTCCAAACAAAATCGAGTATTTTAAATGAAGATATGATCGTCGCAACGGTAATTGCAATTTAAGCAATTCCAAATTAACCAGAAAAAATTTCTGGACTTCGACGAGATTCGAGCCCATGGACTCTGCGTCAACGCTGCAGTGCTCTACTAACTGAGCTATGAAGACCCATATATTGGGAGCAGGCCAATTTATTGAGTTCTCTTAACCGTGAAAGGAATGCGGAAACAGAATGAAAATGATGTGAACTGCGGAAATACAAAATCGAATATTTCGCTCGAATCGCTCGACGTTCATCAGCGATGTGAAATGGCAGGTTACCTAACAGAAAGATTGTTACGTATTCCCAAGGGAGGATTGTAAATGTTACCTGATGTTTAGAAATAAAATCCAGAAGTCGTAGAGTAAGTTTTCGGCTTGAGTGAACAAGGGAATTCAAGCTACGTAAAAAATGAAGATGACAAAAAGTTATCAAGTATTCGTCAAATTCTGATTTCAAGAGAAGAAAAATATGAACAGGAAAAAATGCATATCAAAAAGATACCTTTCATCATGACATAATCCCTTTGTGGAAATCTAACAAAAACAAAAGAAAGGGATTGATGTCTTAGCAAAGTCACTGAGGAAAATGAAATACCGTAAACTGCCCGAGGCTTATAGATCTTTCTTATGGGGTTTTAGGAGGAGGGCTTGTAAACGGAGGGGTATATATCCCGGGGGGCTTATAAACGGAATAGAAAAAAGTTGTAACAGTGCTGATTAAAATACTTTTTGTATTTACTGGTTTTTAAGTTTAAAAGCCTCAAAACGTCACAATAACATAATCATATTCAGAGGGGGACTTATACTCGGGGGGCGGGGGTGGGGACTTATAAACGGATGTATGTTTTGTTTACAGATTGATGGGCCTATAAGTGGGGTGGGCTGGGGAAGGGGGGCTATAAGCGGCAGTTGACGGTACTGAGAAAATGTGAAATATGACATCAAAGTCACGTGAAAGATACCTTTTGATAAACTTGTTTGCTCAGATCGCCATCAAATAACGGCAAGCCGTAACAGAGATCTAATGGCAGCCATTTGCCAGCGCTTTCATCTCCGGCTTCCTTCGTCTTCTCCTTTCCAACCACTACCATATCATCAACAGAACTGTACGACAACGGATCGGCTCCGTCTTCTTCGTTCTGCTCTTCGCTCGCCGAGTCTGTACTGCTATCTGTATCGTTAATGACGATAAGGGGCGACAGCGACTGAGGATTGGACTGAGCAGGCGATGGCATCCCGAAGTTTGCCGAGATGGTTCTTCGGCGCGCATTCGCCGCCTGCTTCTTGATCGAGGGTTTGAGCATAGTAATAAAGCCACAGGTATGTTCAAGGTCGATGCATTTCGCTAGCTTCTGAATTGTGGGATGTGCCTCCATATTTTCCTCAGAAAACGGCTGGCCTGTTGAAAGTAAATTCGCCATTACTGGTTGTGATAATAGGAACCTTAAGCCGGATCCGACGACGGCAACGGTGGGGAAAAAGCCGCTTAAAAAGAGAATTCGCGGCTTTTCAATCGTTATCGCGATAATTCCAACTCACTTAATTTGCCAAATGCAGACGAACTCCCCTGGGGTTAAATACCCATGAACCATATCCAAGTTCAGAGGGAGAAAAAAAAAATCGTCGTCACTTGTTTATGTCCTCCATAAAACGTGAAATAGACATTTTCAAGTCGTAGTCGTGCAGTGTTGTTAGTTTGCTCAGTAAACCTATTCACTACTTTTACATAGACCATAATGCTCCTTGTTTACCCCCCAGAATTTTGCATAAAAATTGTTTCCAATTTCTGCTAGGTATAACAGTCGTCTCAAGAGAAATAAAAAACGATAGTTATGCAAAATTTTTTTGGGGGTAAACAAGGTGAATTATGGTCTATGTGAAAATGGTGAGTTGCTTTTTGACGTTTTCGCTGCCGTCGCCATAGCCTGCGTCACAGACGTAATTTAACCTCGGTTACCTACCTACCTACCTACCTACCTACCTACTTGTTCTGAGCCCCCAAGGGACTCAACGAATTACTGGAAGTACGTTTCGAATTTCCTTTCATCCTGATTGGCAAATTGACAATGGTATTTTTTAACAAGCCAATCATGGCACGTACTCAAATCCTGGTACACAGGTGGGGCCCAGAACAAGGCTTTCGGGGCTGTTTCGTAGACGGACTTAAACAGAGTTTAGTTTCGTCCGCAGCGCAGGCTACCGTCGCCATTGTCAGATCTTAAGGTCACTAATAAAACTGGGCAAACTCTTTGTCTTCTATCACTGCATTATTTGTGATTATTCACATATATTTCCTGCCCTCACCGTATTTACAATCCAAAGGGAAAGGTACATACACCACTTCACCCTCGGTGTGAACTCCATGAGCCTGTGACAACAAAAAAACAAAAACAATCAAAGTGTGAAATATTTCGCAAATCATTAGTAGTAATGCCCCTTTTAGCTATGTTTTAGGTAATCGGTTGATGGTCTGAAATGATTCCAGAAGAGTACGTCAAGATGAGGGAGAGGTCACAACGGTAGGTAGGCGGTAGGCGTTTGAAAGAGAAGAGCACAACGACAAATCGAGCAAGCCAGAATGCGGTGATTTCGGTGGTAGGAGAACGCTGACGTATTTCCGGTCGTTGCTTCTGTCAAGCCGAAAAGTTTCTTTTCTGTTCGAGAGAGGCGATGACCGGAAATGAGGATTGTTCTTTCTCTACAACTCAGCTCCTTCTGTATTTTGGTTTAAAAAGGAGTAATACAGCCAGCACTTGGTAAAAGCCCTTCTGTTTCCATGGAGATCGGTTCTAAGCTCACCTGCACAAGTACTGCAGAGTGCGACAAAGCATCATTTAGCGCCAACAGAACGTTTGAAACTGGAACAATCCCGGGGTCGTGTCCCCAAGTTGTTATCATTAGCCTTTCATAATCCTACAAACAAGACGAACACAGAATAACTCGTGAGAAATGAAAAAAGCCCTCTCGGCAACGCAGTCGACTAAAAGAGCAAAAAAGGATCTTTAAGTAACCACAGCGTCGACGAGAGTGAACACAATTTTACCACGGAAGCGAGTTGTGATAATTGCGTCGCTGCAACGAGTTCAAGGTCTAAGTATTAGAATTACGTTGTGGTTGAGCAAAGGACGGGAAAAAATGTCGCAAATAGTATGATGAACGTGTAGAGTTGTTGTTTTTCCCATGAAACATTTTGTTTCTATTTTTTGAAGTTTTCGTTACCGTCGTCACCTTTATAAGCTGGTACAGTGGATATATCCTACCGCGACAGGATAATTAAGCTATACTTGATTCCTGTGTCATATTGGTTTGAATATTTGGGTCTTTTTTTTTTCATATTCAAGAATGGTCTATTTGTACTGGCTCAAACTCCCAAAGTTTGTGTCCTTGAATATGCCTCTCGCCCTCTGAAACTTCTTCTAGATTATACACCTAATGTAGATTGTATGGGGCTTTTCTAGCAGAGTAATTTTACTTAAACCATGAGATGCATAGTGGACTACTACTAATTCTGTTGCATTCTTTTGGGTACTTGTAGTTATTTGGAATTAACAGTTAGTCTCCGTTTCACTGGTTAAATAAAGTCACTCTATGGACCAAGACTCATAATTGCCCTGTTTAAGTAATTAAATGAATAGTTGTGTACTCTCCCAAAAAACCTTAAAAGCTTAGTGGAACAAAATCTGTTACAGCTTTCTGCAAACCAAGGTAAATTTTTTGCTCAAAAACTGCTGTTACCTCGAATATCTTGGGAAGCCATCTTAGTCGTGTCCCCTTGACCAATAGAAGCGAAGGAGGGCCACTTTTCACTTGATCATAAATGAAGAGTTTGAACCATACTGAGTTTACCTCAGGTACCGCTGGACCAAAGTGTGGTGGACAACAGCTGGTCACTGGGCGAATCTCATGACTAAGAGGGGCCATGGACACTAATAAACTGGAAAATAAGGACAAAGGCAAACGATGATCAGTGATCAGCCTCATCGACTTATTGAGAGTAACAGCAAAAAAAAATCGATTTCATCGTCAAACAGACGATAACACACACGCTATCAAGATAAAAATACCTTCCTTTTTCTAAATCCAAACCTTACGAAAAACCGTCAAAGGTTTGTGTGTTATTTCCTTTTGTACACCTACCTAGAATCATGGTTTTAAATCCCTGATCCCCCTTCCATTTATAGGCCAATCAATATGCATCTTTTCATATGTACTTATTTTGGTGCGTTCTGGTTTCCAATAAGTTCGCGTTTTGAAATTTTTCCACTAGTGAAATGATGTACATTTCGGTATCCTGAGCTTGCCTGGACCCTTTTATTCCGCTTACAAACCCCCGATCTGAGTCCCTAGAATGATAAAGTTTTAAAGGAGCTGTGTCACGGCAGTCCAGTTCATTTAGTTTAATTTTGCCAATTACTCGCCCTAAATTTCTATGGAACTTAAAGTAAGCAAAGAAATTACATGGAAATGACAAAATCAGAGATTCGAGTCGACACAAACAAATATGTCTCCTGAACATTATTTTTTTAAGTTGCAAACAGCAGAGATCAACTTTGAAAAACTGTTAGGCTGAACAGTTTTCAAAAACCCTAATTTCAATACGTTACAATCTTCTTCAGTTTTGCCCATCCGTGGCATCTGTTGTATCTGTTATGTTATTTTAACCTTCCTTTATAATATTTTAAGCGGTCATTTTAACGTTTCTCTTAATTTAACGGGCATTTTGTAATTACCTAATTTGGCTGAATTTCGTGACACTGCTCCCTTAACTTTTGCGAAACTGTACAACCTCAGGCTTAAAATCGGGTTTGTTAGAACAGTTTCCCTACGTGCTAGAAGAATTGTGTCATGTTTTTTAAGCGCACGTGCAGATTAGAAATCGTTAGAACGAAAAAAGAGTCATCGAAAGAAGAGAAAAAAAAAGTTGTCAAAATAATTATTTTTTCGGTAATTTATTATCTCAAATTTCTAGAAATATCATGGTCGATTTTGTATGCAAGTGAGTTCAAGAAGTACATGTACAAAGTAGTTTTGACAGTTACCTGTAATTCTTTTGTAAAACTCTACCACAGGCAGCAGAATCTAAACTATTGAGACTTTCACATCGCAACAAATCTGTTCAAATAGCAAAAAATATACCAAAAGTATTAAAAAATTGTCCCGATGCATCTAAGAATAAGATTCACTTTCATATAAGTACATTCAACTTTTTTTAACGGACTCCTCTATAAAACGGGAACATAGAGTAGGCCCCGTGCTGTCCTTTTTCAAATTTCTTTTAGTCTAGATAAGGCGGACGCTCGCAGCCCGTTAAAATTCAGCCACAAAAAAGCTAATCGTCTAAATCCTTAAGTCAACTTACTGATATTATTATAATATATGTAGAAGTAATGAGAAGTAATGATCGCGAACAGAGTTTGCAGTTATTTTTTAATCATTGAAACAACGAGTTGCGATTTCAAAGATGACTTTGTTAAACAGCAATGGTTATTAGTATAGGTAATAGCATGATTTGTAGTGATATTTGGCATAAATACCACGAGTGATATTTCAAAATTGTTATACGAAATTTCACGAGCCGTTAAGCGAGTGAAATTTGAGACAATTTTGACATATCACGAGTGGTATTTATGCCAAATATCACATACAAATCATGCTATTATTCGTTTATACTACTACCCTCAAAAGGTTTGTAATTTTCACATGCGGGTTTTTCAAATTAAGCTGAAATAACACTGCTCTCAGCCAATCAAATTGCAGAAATTTCTCATGTAGTAGTATAAATTATTTAAGCCCTGTACTGTAAGTGCTAGCGATGTTCAGCTGGCGAACCCTGAAGTGCTTAAGTTAGATTCACAGAAGGTGATTTTACTGGGAGTGTTAAAAGTTGATCAAAACTAATTGATGTGATAGACCTTTTTAGCTTGTATGTTTGTTTTCCCAATTCAGACCACGCAATGTTCTCCAGGGAATTGCCTTCTGTCTTTTCGTAAATTATGCAGACATATGCACGCGGAAAATGAAATGAGCCAATCAGATCTCGAAAGAAGTAGCCGGCGCCGGGCGCGGGAAAATGCAAGGGAGCAAGCCACAATTAACTTCCCTTTTACTTCTGATTGGTAGACAAAATGGCGCGTTATTTCTCGGCCAATAGCAAAGCGACTTACCTAATCCCTTAGCAGGGACCTGATTTGGCTCTTTGCCAAGATCTTTGTTGTACCTCAAGAACAAAATAGTGTCTCTCAGGGTTATGGCGTGATCAAAATATCTCTGTGCTTCCCCCTCTGCAACACTATCTACCTAAAATAAATTAAGAACAAATGACAAAACACTGAGACACTATTTTAACGCACGAGTCATTTCATAAGTAGGTTGAGTATGATCGTCCGGGTGAATTTAGTTCTGAATAGAACTGTTGTTGATAGTGACTGACGTTTCGACAACCTGTGCGTTAGTCATCTTCAGATCTTCAGGGTCAAAGTGAGTTGTATCACGTCAGTTGATGGTATTCCTCAGTTAACACTGGTTATTAGCCTCAAGATTGGTCAATTACGTAAGTCACGATGTTATTGGTCGTCTGACTAATAACAGAAGCATCGTTAAAAGGATAGCATCGACGTTTTCCAGCAGAGCAGAAAGAACTGTATCAACAAGTGCTAAGTGTGACTGAACAAATAACAAAATATTTACTTGCCTTTTCAAGCTCGCCAAGGAAGCTGTCTAGTGACTCATCAGTAAGCTTTCCAACTTCAAACATTGTGACAGCATGGCTCTTAAGACCCTAAAAGCAAACATGTTCTCGTTACCTCTTTTTTTCTATGGGTAAACTGTTGTAAAGACAAACAATTCTCGAAGGTTCTGATTCTTTTTTCTCAATGTTTGCTTAGGGCACTACTCTTCTTCAAGTCCAAAGCATCGGAATGGCCTTTCTGTGAAACGTTAAGGATGGTAGTTGGAAGACGGATTCTTCGAGCCTTCTGATATGTTTAAAGAGAGGCTAATCAACAAAACTCTATAGAGCGTTTTCACTCACGTGGCTAGCATCTATGCAAATTTATTGGAACAAAAGAGAGCGTTTGCATAAGAAAAGAGTTCAACTTCCACAGGATACCAACATGGCCGCCGTTTCATTGTTTTGGGACACCAATATGGCCGCCGTGACGTCATGTGAAAACACTCTATATGACAAGTTTACGCTAATTACTTGTATGTAACCTGATGCAAGGACCACTACAGTAACAGCTTAATCGTGTTACAAGGCGAAATTAACCGACTGCACTACAAAATTGTCCGTCTTCATTCACTCTGTTACGTACCTGCGAAAGGTTTCCCATCATAAGAAATGCCGTCAGTGTGGAGTCAAATAGAAATGCTATTCTCTTTGAGGCTCCCCCTGATAAACTCTCGGCTGAAAATATAATACAACAAGCCAAAAAACAATACATATTAGGTTCAAGTTATAACGGGACCTTAAGGAAAAACTGAGAAAAACTATAACTGGCTATTGTATATTACGAAACTACTTTAGGTTTATTGCAGCTGGTACGATAAAGCGAGTAATCAATAAATGAGTGTGAAAGACAAGCTGTCCCTTACTTCCGTTAGGAAGGCAGAAACAACGAAAACGTAACATTTGTGTATTTTACTTGAAGCGGCCATGTTAGATCGTACAGATTTCGGAATGCAGCTGAAATTCAAGACGTTTTCTACGACTTTTTTCCAAAACAATAATTTCTTTTTTTTCAGACACAAGGTTATCAAATAAGCAATTGATAGAAACCTTGAAAAACCCGGGAACCAAACTTTTTCCACGAGGCAACGCAAACGTAAAGTGACCACAGTGCAATGCGCTCATAAGAGAGTTCTGAAACTTTTCTTCTGCGATCGAATGCATTGGCTACAGATTAAGGAAAGATTTAAAACTATTAGGCTACTGGAAAAAAAAAATCACTTAACAATTAAGCACTTGTTGCAAGCATGAAAAGAAAATCTATTATTTTCATTGACATATTTGCGCCGAAATGGACTCGCGCGCAGCGTTAATTAACGTTTCCGTCTAGGGACTTTCGAATCACCCCTGAGTATTGAGCGTAGTATTCTTAAGCTATGCCGTAATCAGATCGCTTTCGTAAGCTTTCATGCCCCAAGAGGTCAATTTCAAATTTTCGTTTTTTTGCCCCTTCTTTCTTCCCTTCAGCGACGAAGTCCTGCATCTACTGCACTTCTTCGCAGATGCGGAAATTATTTTCACCCATATCTTAGTGTCCTAGGCGTGTGCAATAGAGGTGCAGCATAGCTATGAAAATTAAATTACTATTTTCGCAAGTCTGGAAAACTGGTTTGGTTTTTCCTTTCCATTGAACAATTGCAGACTCTGTACGAACCTTGTATCTTTGAGTGGCAAAAAAAAAAAACAACAAAAAGATTGTTTTCCTCCTTTTTGATCGTGTAACAGACCGTCGAATCCTACTCCGCAGACCCTTACAGATCACGAGAAAAGCAGGTAAGAGCGAAAAATACGGGCGTGCCACGAGAACGCTCTCCCTCTCGGGGAAAGATAGATAGATAACATTAATAGTAACTCTCCAGTCACTATCTACATGAACTACTAAAAATTTATTAAATTATATCAAACTAAGATTACTGTCGAGATAGTAAACGATCCTTCATTAAGTTTTTAAAACCTCTGACCAAGGAGCAGGCTTTTAAATTAACATCTAAGTTATTTCAGATGTTACCAGCTCTGCAAATAAATGTATAGAGATACTTCCTAAAAAAGAAATGTTTAGTCTGTAGTTGTAGGAGATGTCATGAGAGGTCAAGCGCGAGCGGCAAGCTAAAGGAGACGCGCGGAGAGTGAGGGTCGGGAAACTCGCTCGCGCGTTCGGGCGTAGGCTCCGACGGAATCGCGGACGCATCAAGACTCCTACGGTTGGAGACTGAGCCTAGTTCTAGCGCGGCTCGCTTCGCTCACAACTCGAAATGGAGCGCTTGCTCGCAGGCTACGGTCTCCCTTGAATGCGCCTCTCTTCTCTTCGCTCCACTATCCCCGACAAAAAATATTGGACTACTCGTAGTCTGGATATCAAAAGAAAACTTCAACAAGCTCGTGTTAATTACAAGCACCATTTCCCATCGAAACAGTGTAAATTCAAGTTTTACATATATCTTAATAAGGAACCAACTTTCGTCAGCAATAAAGCAAACGTTTTCCGAATCTCTTGAAGCACTTTAATTCAATAGCAGCAACAGTGACTGCCAAACTTTTGGTTGCTCTAAATAAATTCCAACTTTATAAAACGGCTGACAATAATAACAGAACCAAGAGCTTACCAAGAGGGCTTATCCTGCATGACAATGTTACGTTTGCTATCTGATGATCGGTTTTTTCCTTTTTCGCATGATCCACCCGTCCCTAAGACATACGACGTCATGCTTTTATTGATTTATTATTTGGGCGTCGCCCAAATAGAGTAATTGAGTTCGCTTGTTTTGATTCAAAGTTGCAATAGGCACACAATACGTGCGAACGTATCAAGCCAAACGACGCGAATGTCTTTCGCGCGCTGTGTCACAACACAGCATTTATTTTCGTTTCATACGTCCCACAGATAAAGCACGGCAAACAAATCGGCAATAGAAAACAAACTTTTTGGAAAAACAAGGTAGTTTAAGTGAAACAAACTATCAAATAATTTAAAATTTTCCTTTGGAAAATAATCGTCCCCGCAGCACACGGTGTGGATTTCCACCCGGGATCCCAGCTTTACAATACTGGGATCCCAGCAAAACAGGCTGGCTGGCTCGGTTGTCATATAAATGCAAAGTTGATTTTTGTTGCGTTTAACTAAGGTGCGGGGATCTCTGCAAAGCGAGCCAGCCCGGTTCATGTAATCAGGCCCTTAGTTCTATAGCCAAATTTTACGCCCTCCCCTTGACCTCACCAATTTTTTAAAGCCTCCGAGTACACATACAAAATTTCAGCGCCCCCCCCACCCCTCCTCAAGATCTTCATACGCTAAGACTTTTCACAATTACCACTTTATTTCAACACACTGGAACTTCACTATCCCTTCATAACCAAATTAGCACTTCCACAACTACCTCACTGCAACACCTAAAATCACTTTTACCTCCCCAAATAATTATTTTTTGTTACTTCATATTAAATTCTACGAGAAACCAGTCTCACTGACTAACAAACTACAGCCATTATCTTACCAATTCACGTCCAATATAACTCCACGCCTTCCACTTCACGCATCGACCAACTCCTAAAGTATACAGTGCTACTGCACTACTCACACATCCCTAATACACATAAAAAAAACTTCACACACGCCTAATACATCGACGTCCAAATATACGCTCGAATAGCGTCTTTTTTATTTTTGTAAGGCCTTCGACAGACTGGCACGAAATGTCAGTAACGAATAAAAGTAACGAATATCTGCCTTCAGGTTGTAGCCGCTAAAGGAATTTATTCTAACGGTTTTGCTTGGACAATGATATGCTAATCTACTCATATCAACAGCTATTTCCCAGAAAGAAATGTTTAGTCTGTAGTTATTCCCGGAAATGTTAATATAATTCATGAATTTGAAAAGAATAGAGAAAACTCTAGAAAACTGGCTGATTTGTGGAAAGTCAAACGTCTTCAAAATGAATGAGCTTACTCAAACGTGGTTTAAATGCCAACAAGATCTAAACAACCACAAAGAGTGAAAAAAAAGAGCAAAAACACAGCAAGAGTTTTTGGACATCACTCAAAACTGCTAGACCGAATTATATTTATTTGTTGGTTGCTAACCAACCCTGACAGTTTGACCAAAACTATTCTTGCTAAGGGCGTTGGAATTTTGTTTATCACTACGGAGTCACATTGATATTGGTGACGAAGTTTCGACCTGCAAAACATTTGATTGTTGGTTCAACGAACGAGTAGACAACGCATCTGTATTCAAGGGAAGAAAATAAAAACTTCTTGCCTAAAAACACAGCAACGATCTTTGAACTCATACTGTGACGATTCAATTCGTCTGGAGGAGGTGTCCACCCAATGCAAGTCAAAGAACTTCGTGGAATTAATTCGAAGACAATAACAAACGTCGTCTTTTTTTCAGTCATTCATTCCAAATGGCCTGTTCCAATGTACTCGAAGGATCGGAAGAAAAAGCGAATGGTACAAAAATATTACGATTACTGATTGACGGAGGTACATACGTCTCGCGAATTTATTTCGACTCGTTTCATCCACCTGGAACACTTCCGCAAGTATTAAGTAGAGAAAAAAATAAGCTCGAGAAAGGAAAGAAGAGAGGATTGATTCGAGATGTCCAGTGGAAAAAGTTGTTTCCATCTGATGGTAGTCCCACATCGGAAACGTTTGACATGACGCTTTTGCATTTCTTGATACGCGAAATCTATCTTGATCCGACGGATGCCGGATCTAAATGGAACACAATGCCTGAAGAGAGTGACCAATCGGCGTTAGCTAATCTCATCCGTATTAGATGTTTTCGAAATGAAATTTCCCACAGTTGTTCCACAGGCATTCCTAATGATGCCTTTGAAGACATGTGGACCAAGATTTCTTTGGCATTAGTAAACTTGGGTTTCGACCAAAAACAGATAGACCGTCTACATAATGAACCCATCAATCATTGCACTTATGACAAGGTGAGGGAAGCCAATGAACGATGGAAATTAGAATTAAACGGACGATTAGGGAACGTAGAACGAGATGTACAGCAACTCATGAAAGAAAGGCTTTCCAACATTCAGGTTTCAGAACCACGAACTGAGTCCGAGCCTGCCGACAGTTACCTTCCAGACGAAGTTGTCAGTGTTTTCGGGCGAGATAAACAAATCAAGGAAGTCATTGAAGTTATCCAAAGTGGACGAGAAGCCGCTGTAGTGATAACCGGGGGCCCAGGATTTGGAAAGACAACTGTTGCAATCAAAGCAGCCTACAAACTCGTGCAAGAACATGGGAGGAGAGTTCTGTTCTGTGATTTAACATCCAAGAAAACATCACGCGATGTAGAAACACTAATGCTTCTTGCATGCAGTAATCACACCTCGCCAGATAATCCTCAACACTGGCTTTTCACCTGGAGTAAGCAATTAAAGGCAAGCGTTACGTTCGTCCTCGACAACGCTGACGACGTTGTGGATCATGAGTGTGAGGAATTTTTGAAGTTCTTGAGTGATATTAGGACATATTCAAGACAAAGAATCACTTTCATTATAACCTCTCGAAGAGAATTCGGTGAAGGTATCATACAAAGTAGGATTGTCAGGCTGGGTCACTTACCATCTGAAGAGGCAAAGCAGGTACTGTGGAGTCGGATGAACAATACTGATTCTTTCAAGGAATGTCTTTCTAAAGCGGAACAATTGACTAAATTGTGTGGTTTTGTCCCTTTAGCACTTCGTATTGCTGGCTCCTTGCTTTCAAAAGGTGTCTACACGGAAGACGAACTAGTAAGGCAACTTGAAACAGAACCCACTGCGGTTCTTCAAATTAATCGGAGACCGACGAAAGAAACCTCTGTTGAAAAATCAATAAATATCTCCATGGTAGCCCTTGATACATGCGAGCAACAAGCTCTAATACTGCTAAGCAGCTTTCCCGGTTCATTCAATGACGAGGCTGCAAAGTTTTTAATTCGTAAAAAATGTTCGACGACCGAAGGGGAGCAGGCCTCTTTAATTCTTTACGAGCTCATCGACAGATCTCTCTTAGAGAAGCCAAGTTTTCAGAGATACCAAGTTCATTCACTTATTCAAGCATTTTCAAGGAAGTTTAGTCGAGAGATCTATCCGAACCTTTTGACTGAAGGCGAAAAATTGGCTTGCGCACATTTTATTTCTCGTATTGATAACAATGCTAAACAGTATTGGAGCAAGGACACTTGCAAAGCAGCCATCGATTCTTTCACCGAGGAAAGGCATAATTTTGAGCACTTCCTTCAGGTCTACATTCGAGGAATACAAAGCCAGGAGCATGCCACAGTAGAAATTTGTGAGACCTTTCTTGACGATTTCCTCCAAAAGTGTATGTATTTGGAAAAGTGCCTGCAACCAAGCTTTTACATTCAGATCTTGGAAAGTTTATTAACGTCACCTGAGCCAGAAATACAGCAACCTGTGAAAAGAGTTGAACTTTTGTGCCTTCTTGGACATGAAATGAGGAAGAAAGGAGAGAAATCAAAATACAGTGATTACATGAAGGAAGCCAACCAGCTATTTTCGGAATATAAACATGAGTTTAAGACTCAGGCGTTGTCAGAAGTATTCTATCGTCAAAGTTACGCCCGCTACATTTCCGAGGGGAACGGCAAAGGACCCAACAAGGAATATAAAACAGCACTACGCATCTGCGAAGAAAAATATCCTGATCATCCTGAAACTGCAGCAACCCTACTGTTTGCTGGGAGGTACGCAAGACGCTGCCATAAATACGGTGACGTGATGGACAAATACAAGCGAGCACTGGATATCTTTGAGACGCAACTCGGTCTCCATTTAATGACGGCTCAGTGTTACAAAGATATTGCAGATTTTCTTTTCGCTTCTGACGAAACTGAAAGCTATCTGGATGTAACACTTGCGTATTATCAAATGGCTTTTGATATGATGAGAGAACTAAAGACAGATGACCAAAAGGAAAGCATTTTAATGCTAAAAAACTACGGAAAATGCCAAATCAAAAACGGTAACTTTGAAAAAGGAGAAAAATTGCTGCTGAAAGCAGGAAGCATTGCCGAGAGAGAGTTAGAGGAAAATCATCGATGGAAAGTCTTGGTGAAGACCGAACAAGCTGTCTTTTATAAAAAAGCAGCACGCATTCAAGAAATGGAAGCAGCGTTGAAGGAGGGACTAGAGATGCACTACAAAATTGCCGAAAAACGTACTTTAGATGGATTGGGGAACAAACGTGTTATCTGTGAAGTACTTAATTGCTATCCAGAGCTATTTCCACAGGAACAATATCCTCGCTAATAACGATGCACCCCTCTCTGAAACTAAACTCACCGTGGGATACACCATGCCGCCTTTTTTCAAATGAAGAAAATAAAATAATGGCTTTACTCTCACCTATCTATTCATATAACTACAGCGAGGTAACAATAGAGAACGTGTAACGGTTGGCTTTAAAAAAAGAGAAATTGAAAGAGAGAAAGTAACGTAGATTGGGTAACGTTTCCCATGCGTGTTCAAAGTACACATCACGATAGACCATAGACTACGAGTAGTCTCGCGTGGGGTGATTGTCACGCCCGCTCGCGTTTCGCTCGCTCTACTATCCCTGAGGAAAAATGGGGGACTACTCGAAGTCTAGATAGAACAAAAAAAATCCAAACAAACAAACACAAAGCACCGCAAAGTAAAACGGTTAGATAGATAGATCACTGACTAGAAAGATGGAAATAAATCAACTTAGTTGCTCTTTTGATGAATACCCTTCGTTTCTGAAAAACGTAAGCTCGGTAACAGTTAGCTAAAATATTCGATAGTCACCGTAGGTTTTTTGGTAGCCTGCGAGCGAAGCGAGCCTGTCGCACTCGCGTCTCCTTTGGCGCGCACATTTCACGTGAATCCTCGCGACTCTCCCCCAATGGACAGCTTGCTGAGCTTGCGGCTATTTTTTTTTATGTTAACTAAGTTGCAGCCTTCAAACAGAAATCTGATGTCCTACTAGCATTAGTGGGCTGATTGAGCAACAGGACGGGAACGTCAGTTGACGACGGGAAAGCGCGCGGAAAGGGCTAAATACGACTTCTGATGCTCAATTTGCCGCTCTGCCATTGGTCAAGCCAGTTGTTTGATTTGCGCGCGCCGTCTTCAATCTTCAATCGTTCCCGTTCTGTTGCTAAATCAGCCTAGTGTGCTCAGGCGACATACCTGGTGTATTGGAAACGAATTCGCCATTTGTTTCTTCAGCGCCGTTCACTGATATGGTTGATGTTGATGAATTTGATTTCTCAGGGAGGTTATTAAGATCGAGCGTCAACAAGTCTTCTCTGCTTCCATACCTGGTGTTTGCAAATAAAGGTGAACGACCATAATCAGAAAACAGATTTTCCTATTTTTGTATATTCACTTTCAAAGATACTCAGGGAGAGAATTAATTTAACAGTAGTTAGAGTAAGACCCAGAAAAAAAGTCACGATCAAGAACTTCGTTCTCTCTATATATCCGTTGAATCTGCCCTTGTTTCTAATAAGGATTTGAGCAATTTTAGATATTTTTGGGTACTGTCAATGATTTTGGTTTTTTTAAAGGAATTTTAGGAATTTTGAATAATTTTAGATTATTATTGGAGCTTTAGCTTGATTAACTTACCAATGGATTTTTATACCCTTCATTTTTTGTAATTACTAAATTAGATAGTGGTATGTTTATTGTAGTTCCACATCAGCTCTAAGCTAACATAGACTGACCTACGTCAACAAGATATTATCGTTGTTGTTGTTGTTTTTCTAATCCGTAGAAGAAGAATGTTCTTTAAAATGCTAATTACATGCAATTCGAAGAGCATTTTAGATTATATCTCTTAAACATCTTGTTCAATGTTCATTTTCTGTTATTCATGTATATTATAATTATGTATGACAGTACATGTATATGATAAGTGTAGAGGAAAATCAAAATTAAGCCAGGGATAAAGTTGTTTTGTTCAACCAAGAGTACAATGAATAACAACGTTTGTTTGCAGATCCAGATCCTGAGATAAGAGGGGAGGACCAAGAAAAATCATTTTTGCAAGCAGGTCTGGGACTAACTTTGGATTTGCCCCAGTCAAACAAGAGAAATTTGCAAAAGCTAAGCAAAGTACTTCAAAGCTAAGGTTGTAACTTTCAATGTTCAAAGGTTAACATATTACTAATACACTGGTGATTTACTAGACTTTTGAAAAGTGTACTAAAAAACGTGTTTGGAAACTTATACTGGTGTTGCTGTTGGCAGCACTTCAAGTCAATTTGCATCGGCATGAAGTGTTTTTAGAGAAAAGAAGCTCATTACTTTGAGAAAAATGAAAAGACATTTAGATTTATCCTTGCACCTTCCCTAGAACCAACACTTTTCAGAGTTTGTTGTTCTTGATATAATGTCCAGTAAGAGAAGTTACCGTTAAGATGTCATAGTAAACATCGTTAAAAGTTTAGAGTACCTTTTAGTGGTTAAACTGTTGATTTTCGAAGTCCATGAGGAATGTAATTTTGACTCATCTATTTCTGCACCCTTCTTGTGCGCAAATCCTAATCGAATGTAAACAGATACCGCATTCTGTGAAGAAAAGAAAATATCGTAAAACAAATAGACAAGATAATAAGAACCAATGACTAAACAACGTTAAGTATACATTATCCAATATTATGAAGATTTAATTAGACAGCTACTTCAAAAAGTATTTAAATCAAGTTTGCCAGTGCTGAATAAAAACGTACCTTAACTAACTGTAAATCTATCTGTAAAACATTTGCAAGCTAAAAATGAAGCAAACATATATTTTAGTTAAAAATCTGACTGCAATGTCTGATAAAACTTTAACAACAAACAAAGTAGGAGGAACCAAACATCACAAAACATAAAACAGTAACATGAACCGCAGATGATCAGGTTATTAACTTACTTCTGCTATGGTTGTGTTTTCATCTATTGAAACAAATATTTTGTACATAAGGGTTTCAAAATAATCTCCCAAAACTCTGTTCATCACAAAGTTCTCTAGAGGAGGAACTGAAAAGCAACAAAAAAGAAAATGCTCATAGTTTTGGTTACATTTATTTGGAAATAAGATTTGAAAAGGCCAAAAGCAGTGACACCTCCCCTTTGCAACATCTCAATTCAGGGCAGATCTCTAATTGAAGACAGGGACAGAAACTTTACACTGACATGACTCTTCTGGGTGCTGGCGTAAGTGCCTTGAGCAGTGTAAAACCTGCATATTTTGCACCACACAAGTCAAAATGAAACTGGTATACTACACAACTAGTTTGCAAGAAGCAGTTTTTTCTCTTGAACTTCAAGCTCTTCCTGGATTGGTCTGGATCTTGTTGTTAACAAAAGCTTGTTTTATAGCTAGACAAATCTGCCTGAAATCAGTCTGCCAAAATTTGGTCTTTAAATGGCAGGACTATTTGAATTGCAGGGCTATCTGCAAATGCAGCCATTAGTAGCTGGTCTTGACCTTTGAAGCAACAAAGGTTCTTAAGATAGGATTGATAAGATATTGAAGATGGTAAGGGAAAAGATTCCTAGCTCTTAATCAGTCACATTCTTCAGAAATATGACTAATATGGTTACAAGGCGCAGCCATCACGACACCACCAAAACAAAACTACACTGATTTTTTCCTGTTTTTTTTAAAATAATAATAATAATAATAATAATAATATTTTTAATAATAGTCATGATGATGATGTTTATTATTACTGTTATAATCCTACTCACCTACTATATAATCACCATCAGCAATTGGGACATTTATGTAAATAAGGCCCTTGGTGTATAAACCTGCAAAAACAATAACATCAACCTCACCCACTACTTTGAAATGTCGATGAAAAAACTAGTTAACAAACACATGTCAGCTAACCGTTGGGTGTATTCAGTTAATAAAGAAATGACAACTGCAAAATGCTACAATATTACTACAAGGTTTAAAACTAAAATAACTGGACCATGAAAGAAGGAAGTTAACTTGGAATAACCCTATCTTGGGCCTGACTTGTCCACAGTCATCTCTCACTATCTCTCCCTAGTGATACACAGGGTATGATGGGAAGGAGGAAAGCGAGGGAGAGAGTCTTCCTCTCTTCTCCCTTCTCATCACCCCCTGCTCCCGCCATGCACGTTACCAACTGAGATGATTAAGGATGAGTCAGATTTGGGGCTCTTTTAAGGCAACTGGGTTCCTTGTGTAAATGTTGTGTTTCTCTGGCTGTCACATAAGTCCTGAAACTGCCATGGCAAATTGATTTTTGCCATATCAAATCAAATCCAGAATAAAAATGACAGTACATAACCATTTCTTTTAATTAGCTACCCTCTCCTGTAACATTAAAAAAAGCTCAACTGACAACCCTGGTTCGTAGGTTCTATGATTTTCTAACTTGACAGGTTTACCATTTTTCACAGCTTTGGGTTCTGTATGTGCGCACCTTCAGAACATTTCGAAACTCAGTTTTTCTCTTCTTACACTAAATGAAACACAGACTTAAACTTACTAGAATGCCTCATGCAGAGTGATGACAGTGCAATAACATTCCATGAAAAACATTTCAGAAAATTTGAACAAACCCAATTCACTTCTAAAATAAACCCCTATAAAGTACTGGAATCAAACAAGAGAATGTAGAGCGGTAAAATGTTAATTTGAGTTTGCTAAGCCAAAGGGGTCAGATCAAACACACCAGACCCTCTGGCTACTCAGGATCAAGTCACAAAGCTGGTCAGCTTGTAATTACCTTGTACAACCTTGAGGTCCATGGCCCCAGCTTCAATTGGTCCTTTGTCAATGATAGAGTCAATTGCTTGATGCTCAGCATTGGAACACATCTATATCAAAACAAACAACACGTTAAGAGTGAGGTAGCAAGCAAATTTTAAAATCACTTCAATCGTTTTGGCACCAAGCCTCTAATAAGCCCTTTGTATGAGGCACCAAAACATACATGTCCATCACACCTAAGAGGGTTGAAATATGGGAAAAGGGCATCAATTTAGCAAGAACCTCTTTTTAAGCCTGTATTACATTATTCACTTTTCAAGAGCACACTTGCAGAAAATTAAATTGGTGATCATAGAGCAGCTATTTCTAGTAAAATTATCACTTACATTCTTTTGAAATCAATTAGTTCATTTTGTTTTCAACCAGCTGCTGGTTGTTGTCAATTTGGACAAGCAGTTGTGACATGAAAAAAGAAACTTTTGGAACTAAAAAAGAAAGCCCTTTACTTCACCTAAAAATGCCCTGTAGTACAACTAATGACTTCTTTATCATTAGCGGCAGAAGAAAAAAATGTCAGGTGACTTTTTCTGAGGCTTTTTTCACTTACCCTGATGTCATCCTCTGTCACATAACCAATCTGTACAATCCACCAAGGTTCTAAGACTTTCAGCACTGCAGGTTTAGTTGGTAATAGATCTCTTACAGGTTTCTTTCTGAAAAATTTCTAAAAAAAAAACAAGCCTATTATGGACAAGATTCTGTAAAAGCAGGATTGTGTGTGCTCTTAAGTCAGCTGGTAACAGTTCCTCACTTTAAAAGGAAGTTAGTCTCCCTTGCAGCCGTTTTTTGGATGTCACGCAAGGCTCCCCTGGGGGAGCATTGCGTGACATCCAAAAAACGGCTGCACGGGAGACTAGGAGGAAGTAGGCTGTTAAACCCTGCTAAGTATATAAGTTTCACTACCATGCATCACTGGGCATCAAGTACAAGATTATTAACTGCAAAGAAGGAGCCAGGAGCAATATTATTAAATATTTGTTTTATAATTCTATATCAATTCATACCTTTGATGATCTACAGGTATTCATCAATTCAATGTACTGATTTCTACCAACTGCCAACAGCCTCAAACCTGCAAGATAAAAAAATATTCCTGAATAGGCCATCTCTTATTTCCAATACCCCTAGCCCGTTCCAGGCTCTGAGATAGTCAGGTCCACAGAATTAAGAAAGTGCGAACACAAAAAGATCGAGAGGAAACTGGGTAGAGAAGGGTCGGTCTTTCTCCCTTCCTTTTTCTTTTTTTCCCGCCCCACCTCCCTTTAAGCGCACCTTTCAGAATCCCTTCAGACATCATACAAAAGAGTTTCAAGCTGAAAAAAAGCAAGAGCTGATCACATGTTAAGTGAACTACTACTGTAATCATCTTTTTTCACTGTGGGTTCCTGTTACAGTAAATGGAAGGAAATGCAGTCTAAACTCCACGCAAAATTAATGCTTACAATGTTACAGGTCACAATTAAATTCAGGCTAACATTTTTTAGCCTAAGAATCTCAATTTCCTTTGTCTCTTAGCCCTTATTATTCATGAATTAGGGCTAACAGACAAAGGAAATTAAGAAAAGACCCAGGTTAAAAAATGTTGACCTGAATTTAATTTTGACCTGTAACATGTGTATCAATAAAGTATTGGTTTTGTTTTGTTAAGTTGCCTTAAATTTTTCAATTTACAGCAACGTGTACATTTTGTTTGCAAATAAAGATGCTACATGCATTGACATGCCAGAGTGCTATAATGTTATTGTCTCAGACATTCTTGGTCCGAATAAGACAACTTCATTTGTAATGTTGTGACTCAACACCGCCCTCAATTTTTGCAACTTTAACTGATTTTTCAAACCAATTTTCATTTTCCTTGGAAGTTCAGATCAAAGTTAAAACTGTGGGGAACTCATGAATGTATTGTTTAAAAAAAAATTGAGTATAAAACAGTTTTTTTATTCTAAATTACATGCTTATGTGCCTGTCAAAACATGCTTCGTATATTCAAAAGTTCATTTTCTTTAAATAGCCCAACAGGAAATAGCCTCTCCGGGGTTCAGCTTTTGCAATCTAGCAACAATATCTTTTTACTCCTGCTAAAGGTTCAGGCTGTTTTTGGCGTGTATTTTGTTTGAGGTTCATTAGTTCAGCAGTGCTTTGACTGAATGTCCCCTAAATTTCTAGAAAGAGAGAAAGAAGCCTTGACTCACAATCAGCTGCAGTGAAGTTGGGTAATGAGTCATAGCTCCTCTCATTGGACATGATGTTCTCCATAATGCTGCAGTAATAAGAAAATGGAGTGATCCTCAGGCCCTTGACAATGACATCTGACAGATGGTATGGGAAGAGCTGTCAATGAAAAAAATAAATTAAAATGATACAAGAAAAGATGTGATCATCATGTCACGAGTGCAGGACAAAGAGAAATATCCAAGTCCCCAACAGCAAATTGAACTTAGACCTTCTGCACACTGGTCGGGATGCTCTAACCACTGAGCTGTGAAGGCCTCGTGGCAAGCTACCCCATGTACAAGCCAGGTTCATATATGACCTGCGAACTGCATACTGCTAGGATCAGCAATGCCAATAAGCATCATGTGTGTGATAATAAAGAATGATGACCAAGAGTAAATTTTGAGTGGTTTCACTTGGACTAGAAAAGTCACATAACAACAACTTATGGATAATTCAAGTTATGAATATTAAACCACCCATCCATATCAAACATAACATATACAGTGAAGGATGAAGCACTTTAGCATGGGGTAACAAAATGAGTGTTTTTCAACCAACTTACCATGAGATGCTGTTTACTGTACTGAAGTAAATCTTCATAATACTTTTTCTCGTCCCTTCTGACTTGCCGCACTGAAAACATTAACAATTGCACACATCTTAATTATATCTCGCATACACTGTACTTCATGACATTATTTTACGGTGAAACCCTGCTCTATGGACATTTGCTTTAAACGGCCAGTCATCTTTGCCCCAATCAGAAGCTCATATCTTCTCTTACAAATAAAATTTAGATTTAGATTTAGAACACTTAAACTGTATTGGCCTTAAACGTAAACCAGTTTAGAACACCTAAACAGTATTGGCAAGGTAAACCGACATAACAGAGCTGGGCTCCATTTAAGTGTTGCTTGGAAAAAGAAAATAGGGTCAGTAGCCTGAACAAGCCTCTCAGATGGTACTCTCCCCAGCCAACATCTGTTTTTCTCATCACTTTTTACTGCAAGACTTCACATTACTATCTTAGAGCCTGGAATAGGCTATAGGATCAGTTTTTTTGTATATAACAAGCAAAAAGTGAACAATAGTCACAAAAGGAATGAAAAGTGCATTACAGAAGTGATCCAAAAGGGCCAATCAATGGTTCACAGCAACTCAGAAGTTAAAGATACAACAATCAACAGCTACATAAATCAGGACACTAAAAGATGGTGATTAACATGGCTTTTAAATGACCGGGATCCTTCATTGTTGATCACTCCAACCACTATAATTTATTACGCCCCTATTGCTTTTTTTTATATTCCTCCAGTCAGGACAAGAGTGAGCTTAGAGAAAGTGTTGTCCGACAGGAGCTACAGTTTTTCATCCATAACATTTGAAAAGACTAGAATACCTAACAATCTGGAGATGTGAAAATATACAGCACCCGCTCCTCGAGCCGGAGAAACCAGCCAACATTTTTCAATGGCTTATATCTGAGGAGTGCACGCAGAAATTCCCGTACTGATGACATGACACCACCCCACAGAGGGCAAACCTGGATAGTGCTTCTGACTTGTTGAAGCAAATTTTCAGCGCGGAATGATTAATCAGAAGGAACACACACAGTTGGGCGGTGAGACATCATTAGTAGAGAATTTCTTCACTTGTTCCTCAGACGGGAAAACCAGTGGTGGTGTAGCAAAATTCTGGCTGTTTTCTTAATGCAGTCTTTATTTTTAAAGACCCTGAGTTTTGACAGTGACAAAAAATATATAACAATAGTATTTCAAATAATCTGTTGTCAAGAACACATTTGCAGTACTTAATCTTTAAAGCATAGGAATTACTCTGCTTTTTAATTATTGATACTCAGTTTATTCAAGATTTTCAAAATCAATCTTCTTTATAATTTCTACATAATATATTTGAAATTTACGCCATTTTTGCTGCATTAGGTCACAGAGAATATAGCAAAAAACTCATTCCTTTACAATTACACAGTAGAAATTGTAATTGTCTACTTAACAGATATCTATTTAATATCAAAATACAGATTCTCCTCTCTTGTGCCCATATGTTTCTTACACAGGAAGTGAGGAGAAGTTGCCAATATATCAAAAGAACTCACAGGAATGATTTTACTTGTCATTCTCATAACTCCCCTTACCAATTAGGCACCTTCTAGTGTATAGATTATTTTTTGCTAATGTCAATCAGAGTTAAGAGATACAGCCTTAGCTAAGGCACAAATCCAAGGAGATATTTCCTTGTGCATTACCAAGGAAAAATGTTCCAGTGATTATTAAAAACATTCAGTTACAAATCTATAGGCACAAAAACATAACAATCCCCTTATTGTCTATAAACTGTTAGATTCAAGTTGGTTAATTACACTTTTGATGTTAAAACAATAAAATACTCTGTATTATAAACAATTTATAGCTGGAGTGTATAGTCAGCACAAATCGTAAAGATGACACTATACTGACGTGTGAATAATAATATTAAAGCGACCGTCTTTTAAGTCCTTTAGCTTCCTTGAGATATGGCTGCATAGTAGCAAAGGAAAAGTAAAAACATTTGCTTCTACTTAATATTTTTTAATATAAGGGACCATTTTGAAATTAAGCTGAAAATGTGAAAGTAAGAATTGGAAACCAAAAGTAAACATTTCACTCACCAATATTTCCTCGATATCTCAGCTGGTTTCGTACACTGTAGTCGAAGACACATTTTTCCCACTCCTTTTGACTGTTACCCAACGACTACGTTAAAATATATAAAAGGCAATTGTGAGAATTTTAGCCACTAAATGCCGACATTGAGCTTATTTAAGAAATAAATCCACTTTTAATTTCCATTTCAAATTGATGTATGATCGCTGTACACGTAACCATTGAGACAAGAGAAAGCCAATGAGCAGTATTCATAAAGGTATTTCTCCTTTTTCTCAAGAGCAATTCTTTCACATTCATTCTTCAGTTAACACCATTTAAGAAAGGCTAAAAAGATTATTAGACCAACGATAAAGCACCATGGCCATACATTTTAGGCATAGAAGATGAACATGATTTTACCTGCTTTAAGTTCGACGGTAGCTTGACCCAAGGATAATTATGAAGAATGTGGAACTCAAGATCGGCACTAAGGGTAGGTCTAGCCATTTAGTCAACTAAAAGAGCTACAGAATACCCAAAGATGAAGCGAAAATACTCCACCTTCCATGGCCTCACATTTTACTTCACGGGTCTCTCTGCTAATGGCGTTAACCGCTGAACGAAGACCATCAAGCGGGCTCTTAAAGGACACATAATCATGAAGAAAGTCGAGAGAAGAAGGTGAAAACCCAGAATTTAATTATCCATAATTTGGGTGAAGGGGAGGGGTGGTCTTTTGTCTATTTTGTCAAAAATCTTTTTTTTTTTTTTAATAGCGGGGACTAGAAGGTGACCGCATTTATATCGAGGTGGCTCTAAGGTGGGGTTTCACTGTCTGTAGGGTCCTGTAGTTTGTAAGAGCTGTTTTTCTCACCAGAGGTAGCCCAAGCTCGAAATATGAGCATCGGCGAGCATTGGCATTGTTGCGTAACATCATTCAAAATATAAGGATTTGTATGGGAAAAAAACCTATCGTTTCTGTAACCTACAAAAATGAAAGGCTTTCAGTAAAAAACAGCTTACCTTACTTAAAATGTGTGTTACGTCTCTCCTGTGTGGTCCACGGGCCGATTTATGGCCGTTTTGTGGGTTTTTATGTAACCGGTTTTCTCTATATGTAAAGGTTTAAACCTTTATATAGAGACATAGAGAGAAAACCGTTTACATAAAAACCCATAAATCATGCGTTATGCAATGAATATGTTTGATCATGTACATGTAAGAGCGTCCTCGGAGACTTTGAAATGGTTTTGAAATTAAAATTCTGAAATGGTCAGCCGAAATATTGTTATTATCATGATCAGCTTTACTGTAGTCTTTTAGTAGTAAATTAGCCTGCGCGTCCTCGAAGATTTCTCCCTTCGCCCTAAAAAAAGACACCTGCTACGCAGGCTAGGAGTAAATGACAGAGTGGAGATTCTTCTGTTGGGACATTATGGGTACAAGATTGATGGTTTTTCTAGCCAAAATTTCCTGCCCCTTTAGGCAAATCCTCCCCGTGTATAAGCCCTTATAACAAAGAGTATCCCCCGGAATCCAAAACATTTACTACTACAGGAGCCCATCATGCTACTATTACAAAAAATATTTTTCAGCACCAACAATTGAATTTGTTGAAAGTTTAGCAGAGCTCCCGAAAATCATCCGGATCCCTTCATCAGTGATGAAGTTTGCTGTTATTCACAGCCCCCTGCGTTATGTTGCCCCCTCCCCAGCGAGCTCCCCAGGGAGTCCCCCAGGGAAATGACTTTCATTCGTCTCCAGGTCTTCCCGGTAATCATGACGGTGGAAAGCAAGATGGCGTCCCCTGATCTGCTCTCTTATGGGTTCTCCGTGATAGTAGCGCTTGGTGGTGTTATTGGTTACATGAAAGCCGGTAGGTATGAGGGAAGTGATTCTTTACACCCTGGCCAATGCTTTTAATTTGACAGTGATGCTACAGAAATACAATGATAGAGCGTGCGTGCTTTGTCAACACTTTTGGTGTGGCCTCGTGCTGCAGTACGTGTGCGCTTACGAATGATTTAAGTTACGTAACCGAAAAACAAAATTTTTTGGAAAGATTATCACTTGAGACAGAACGAATTTTCTATGTACGTCCTGAACTTTTCACTTTTTCTACATTCACATGCAGGGCTGTCAACCCCCCACGTCTATTGATGGGGAGTGGGTGATAGATGACGTAATAATGGAGGCCACATGACGTCATTTTTTGGGGGAAAAAAAGGCGCGAAAAAGATGTTGTTTTAATTGTAACATTTGACCTAATTGGTTTACTTCCCACCAATCATTATTGCTTATATTACAATGGCATACCAGAGTTTGTAAGGAAACGTTCATAACAGAAATATAGCTCAAACAACGCAAAATGTTTGAATTTCATTGTCAGAGAGTCCAATCTACAAGAAATGGCAAACTTCGGCAATTATCCGGGAGATTTCAGACTCTAATCTGGAGATCAGGAGAAACGGTTTAAAGTCTGGAGTCTCCTGGATTATCTGGGAGAGTTCACAGCCCTGCACATGTACCTAAAAGCCACCTGTGGTATCTGGTTACTTCGTTCGGGGGTCTAGAATACTCAGACCTCAGACCTCAGACCCAAAAACCTGGACACCCTCAAATCTGGAAAACTCAGACCTAGAAACCTCAGACCCCACTGGAAAATCTGACTAGAAAACTCAGACAGCGCCCCCCCCATACTCCCCTCCGCCGGAAAAGAAAAAAGATCTGTGAAACTCAGACCCTCAAACCACTGTTACTGCACCTAATTTATTATTTTGTGGATAACATAAGCAAATGACGCATTTTTCTTTCTCTTTCTGAACTTCGATATGGTTGTTATGAGTTTGCCTATATATTTTGACAAAGTGAGACAGTTGAAATAATCATTATGAAGTTTTAAAGAATGCCAGTTCTCTTTTTGAGTGACGTTTTTTGGGGGGTCTGAGTTTTTCATCATGATTTTTTTTAGTTCACTATTTTGCATGATGCTGCAGCAGATTTAGAGTTAACTGATTATTTGATTCAGCGATAATATAAAAATATTGAGGGCAGTACTGACAAAACTGACTGTTTGAATTCCAGGCAGTATACCATCACTTGCTGCTGGACTGACATTTGGGGGAATTTCTGCAGCTGCTGCTCACCAGACTTCAGCACACCCAAGGAACCTTTGGGTTATGCTGGGTAGGTCACTCTGGTTACTACAAATTAATGAAAAAATTGGTAGAAAAATGCACAAGTTTCTCTGATAGTTGCTTTAGCAGATTACGTACACTTTCTCAATAAAGGTAGTGACACTAGGGCCATTTATACGAGGAAAAATAAGGCATGTCTGAAATAAGACGTGAACTGTACCATTTATACAAGCATGTCTTATCTAATAAGATGCGTCTTAGCTAAGCTGCGTCTTATTTTAGACGAAATGTGCCGTTTATATGGAAAGTTTGCGTTGTATGTAAGACGCGCCTTATTTTTCCTCGTATAAATGGCCCTAATGTTGCCCTTTTTTAAGCATTGATATTGAAGAATTAAAGGCACAAGTACAGGAGAAGCACAACTTTATACTTGCCAACTTTTTTAAATTAATAGGCGCGGCATTTTTATCCTCAGAGTTCCAGGGATTTTCTTAGGGGTCCAATAATATCCGAAGATGTCCAAAGATGTTCTCAGGAGTTCGGTCGAACAGTGACTTTCCCTACTAAATTCAGAGAAAGTTGATCACTCACATTGACTTTTCTTTTCCCTCATTGGTTTCAGTTTCTTTAAATAATTAATATATTTTTCAAAATGTGTCAGTTAATGCTGTTATCGCATAGCTTGCGAGCAAGCTCTCCAGGGCGCTCTGGGGTTTGGTGGGACAAGGAAGGAGAGCTTGCAACTACGTCACTGGAATTTGAATTCCACCTCCAATTTCCCTGTGACTCCCTGTCAAGTTAGCTGTCAGTCTGCCAATCAGCGCAATGCGGAAACGAGCATAAATGTAAACAAACATTAAAAAACACATGCCAAGGGTAATGTTTTCAATACTAATAATGTCATCTCTGCCAATCAGCAGTTTGCATTGACCTTTTTGATGAAGATATTCAAATTCCAGAGACGTTCTGAATGAGAATTAGGCTATAGGTATCCAGCCCTATTGACCTCTTCCTTGTTTGCTTTATCTGGGGCACAATTTGGTTTACCATTAATTTACTGTACCATCTCTTTCTGATTATTGTTACTGTTTTTTCATTACAGTGACATCATTAGTGTTGTCTGGAGTGATGGGAACAAGATTCATGAAAACAGGCAAATTTATGCCAGCAGGACTGGTGGCTGGGTTAAGGTACTTGTAACACTCAAGCTTATTAACTCTACTGACTGTATGGAAAATTTCATTTAGAGCACTTTCACCACATTGACATGTTAAGGCCAATTTAAAGAACTGGATGCCAGTTTAATTGTTGCCTGGAGATAGACAACAGCAACCTTGAGATTTAACAAAAAGTACAAAATCATTTGTGACTTTGGAATTTCGAGCTAACTGAATCTCATTCTCATTGTCCAGACCTTTGGTCCCATCTGTGTGTGGCCATTCCCAGAGATTGTTTTTTCCCAAGTGGTTCCTTTTTCATCGCATACATGTAAGAGTTAGATCAGAGAGAGTGCTGTAAGGTGGAGCCTATGATTATTTCCAAGAAGAGTAGAAAACGTTTAACCATCTGCAGATGTGAAACAAAGACAGCATTTCCTTCTCAGTTACTTTAACTCTCTGAGTGTTGTTTCAGCTGGGAATTGAACCCTGCCCTACCACACTGAACTCTGGTAGTCGCCAGCTGACTACTGGGATGGAGGTTCTGTCTGGTTACAGTAGTATTGACCACTGCCATGTTATTCTTGTTGATTTTAGTGTTGCCCAAGCTGTGCGTATGTCCTACCGACTGATGAATGAATAGAAGCTGATGACTGGATTTACTGTTAGTAGTCACAAAGTAATAATCTAGGATCTAGCATTTTAAAAGACACAGTGGTTTGGTTTCGCATCAGCTAGCAGGTTTCCCATTTGTATACATGCACTTTACATCTACCGTGACTCATTCAATGGCTGGAAATTCAGCAAGAATAATACTTTGTAACCTCATGCAGTAGATTTCCTTCATACATGAGCATAGAGAACCATTTTGTTTGTACATGTTTAGTACCTTCTTCTTAACATTATTTTTCAGTAGTGAGGTCTAAAATGCAACAGCTGAATACCGTGTGTATGCAACTCTTTATTGGCCACAGATGTTTAGTACATTGATTTGTATCATTACACTGACTAAAATGGCCTTTGAGGCACAAAGTTTCAAGGAAGCTAACTCACACCTGTCATACAAATAAAATCCTGTGTGTTTTGTAGCCAATAAATGTTTTTATTGCTGTTGTTGTTGTTGTTGTCATTGTTAGAAAGCAGCTGAGTGTTTAAAACTAGCTTGGTTGTGTATGGATATTAGTAGAACCAAAAGAGCAGGAAAAAAATTTGAGTGGACAAGTAAAATAATGTCATTTTATACTTGCCACCACTTAAATATTAAAGAGCTTTAGCAATGGCGATACGAGAACGTCAAAAAAGCAATAGGTTTATTAAGCAAAACAACAACTTTGCACATGCATCATGCTTTTTTGTACATTTCTTTGCCATCACTGCATGACTACGGCATGAAACTGCCTAATTTCACATTTTATGGAGGACGTAAACAAGTGACGATAAATTTTTCTTTCTCGTTCTAAACTTGAGTGGGGTCCCCAGGAGCTCAAATCCAGGGAAATTCACCAACATTTGACATTTTCAGCGCGTGGGAATAAACACTACAAGGTTTGAAAAAAGGCGAATTCATTTTAGAAGTGATGTTTTCACTGCCATTGCTGTTGTCGATGCTAAAGCTCCCTATTACTTGCTGTAGTTCTCAGGTAATGCCTATAAAAAGTAGTGGATTATAACAAAGGGCAACTACTGGATTTGACCAATATGGTGATCAGACCAGTAACATGAGTGGGAAAATGTGCACTTGGATTTTAAATTGATTAATGCTTTCAACTAATATTATTGTGTCACTCATCTGGCAGTGTTCAGTTTTGAAATAGTTTGTCTGGAAATTATTATCATTCACCAAGCTGAAACTTTCAAACAGACTCACAGGACCACTAAGGCTAATTTCACTTGCCCATTGGGCCACCAAATTTCTATTTTAACTTGCTCAACATCAAAATTGACTTGCCCTGGGCAATTGGACCTGGGCTTTTTCCTGCCCTGACCCTTTGATTTGTGTATTATTTTAATGTGGGTTCTTGAACCTTTTTCTTCCTTCTTGTGGCCTGTCTGTTGTGACACCACAAAACAAGGTTCACCATTATTTTGGGAGCTTAAATAAATTATGTTGAAAATAAACTTTGCATAAAAATGGTGTGAAAAAGCCTCAAGTGACTTCTGATCTAATGTGATCTTCTCTGTTTCTCAATATTTACAATATTTTAGCAAGGAAAGAGAATCTAGCATTTGAACAGAATCTGATTGAGGCTATATTCCAGGTAACCCCTCCAATACAGTGCACAGGCATATATCATAGAGAAGGCCTCATAAAAAAATATACAAGACTATTACTTTGTCAAACATGAAGACAAAAATACCATTAACTGGTGGAACTAATATTTTTAGTATAAAAAATAAAAAAATAATTTAACTGATATAATTTTATTTACATTATACAGTAAGTTTTAATATTACAAGCAAGTGGGCTATTTATAAGGCATTTAAGAGACACAAATTTTTGCCAAATGCAGAACGAATTAATATTTGAGCAAATGCATCACCAAGCTTTTATTGGCTTGACCCATATTTTGTGTCAGTGTCTGGTGTTTGTTCAAACAAAGACCATCAAGTTTACTGAAAACAGCACATGGGCAGCAGCTTAAATAAACCTTTTACCTATGAGGACAGCACTACTTTGGGGTTGTGCAAATAAGTTACAGGTGCAGATCTGGGATAAAAACTGACCGATTTCCTAAACGAGTGCCAAGGGCACAAGTTTCTATCGGGGTCCAGGGGCATTCTTCCCTGGGAAATTTTTTGGTAAAAAATTAAAATTCCCTAAAGTCACCTTTCCAAGGTTTCTAAGACATTCAGACAGGATATTGGCTATATTTTAACTTGGAAAGTGTTTTTTTTTTTCATTAAAGATATATTTATTTATGAAAAATTTCACTGATTTTCGTAAAACCGTGGAAACCAGGGTGGATCCAAGCCTGAATTAACCCTTTAAGCCCCAATCCGCACCTACAGAAATTCATTTTCCAGACTGATCTCCACACATTTCTTTAAAGAAGTGGCTGAGAGAATTTGATAAAAGATCAATGCATTTTCCCTCAGGTGAGCATTTCATTAATTCCCATAATCTCTCTTGATTATGCAATGATATAATGTTAGGAGGAAATTGATGTTGGTCAGTTACAAAGCCATACAAACAAATTTCTTTTCATTCACAAAGTCACTTTCTAAAAGAATGCGACAGCAGGGGAGGGACACAGTATTTATTAAGGGTAGCACTTACTCTTACTTCAACTTCTTATTTGTCTCATAGTGGTCTTAACCTTGCTAGTTGAATGGTAGAACCATAAATTAAGTTTTGTGCAAGTGCTGCTGTAACTTCTTAAGAACGAGCTGCTGGGGACTTGCTGTTTGTCCTACGTGCCATGCCTGGCCTGGCTGGAGACTTGGTAACACTTTCTCTTCCCCTTGACTCACTTCGTCCCCGTGTTTCAGAAGTCTTGCGCCCCTGATCAGATGAACTCCTTCCTCCTGGTGTTCCTGATGTCCTCTTCGTGACTGTAGGTTTCTTTGAAGCTGCACGAGCTTTCTTCCTCTCTGCTACTTTCCTTGCTTCTTCAGCTTCCTCTTCTTTTCTTTTCTTTTCCTCCTCCAGTAATTTTTCTTTCTGCTCAGCAACAGCATGGACTTCCTCTATCATGTTAGTGGCCTTGAAAAATAACACATGCTCATATTGTAACCAAAAAGGTAGCAAAATAGTAATGTTAAAAGACTTTAAAAAGCTTTAACTTTGTTTAAAACCAGTGAAAGACTCAGCTTTTAAGTACCAGTATCATAATAAATTCACCCTTGAAATAACAAAAAATAGACAAGGTACCCAATAATGGATTAAAAAACTTGTTACATAACCTCTTGACTGCAGGAGAGTGGTATCCATTCTATTCAAAAAGGGTAATAAATCATATTTTCCATGAACTTACCCAGACATAGAAAGTAGCTGCTCCAGCACTGACATCTCTGATGGTCTCCAAGTCAGTCTCCTTGAGGTACTTGTCAAAGGCAAAATCAGCTTTTGCCATGTCGACATGCAGTGGATCCAGAGATGTCACTTGTCTTTTCAATCCATCTTTGCCTGTCTTCCCAAGCAGTGCTTGCATGTTCCTCCAGTTTAATAAATCCTTCTCAGGGTAATTTAGAAGCAAGTATGTTGCAATCATAACCTACCAGAGTAAACATTACAAAATTATATTGATTTAGAAAAATGGTTAAGTGAAGAGAAGAAATCTTACGAGATTATGAACTAAGTGGTACGCACTGAGCAGATTTTCATTTAATCACTGTAGGCAGTCTATCCCATCTTACACCATCTGTTCATCTCAGCGAACCAAACAATGACCTTTTCCCAGAACATACTCGAGAGTGCTTTTAATAGTTTGCAAACTGCATTTAAGTGGCATCATTAAAATATTTTCATCTTCAGAGTCCTCCTAACGCAACTTTGTCCATTTCAAATTTTTCTGAAACTTAGGTATCCAGATAGATAATCCGCTTAATCCACACTGAAAGGGGATTCAAAGGATTTCATTATCCTTTTCAGAATCAAAGCCTTTATTTCTACACTAGCTTTTTAAATCAATCAATAAGAAAAACTGACCTTATAGGGGTGACACTATTACTCAGTAATGTACCAGTCATTTGAAATCTCCGGATCCCCCCCCCCCCCCCCCACACACACACACACACACACCCTCAGGGATGACTGGGGTAATGCAGGGCAATTCACTTCATAATCACATAATTTTTGTTCACTGGTAGGCAAGGGATACCCTAAAAATCAAGGTCTTCTCCTCCCTGACAGAGGAATAAGTGGGGCAGTCTCTCTGTAGTCAGCGTTTTCATTTTCGCACTGCATAGTAATTTTGCAAACATTTTCATCGCTTCCTGCAGCTAAGAAATATGTCTTTTTGCGTGGCTGTCAACACAAACTGTACCATTTTTAAGACTGAGGGTTTCAAATGACTGGTGCATAAACTAGTAGTTTTCACTTTTGTTGCCCACAATGTTAAGAATCCCAACTGGCCAGAGGCAAACCAGATAGCTATTTTACAAGCGTGATCAAGGATTTGAACTTTGGTCTACCAAAAACAAATTCAGCTAGCAGTCAGGGCAAGCATTAAATATGGAGCCCCTGGATTACAATTCCAAGGCTCTATCCCCTTGGCCACCCTGCCTCCTCCGAAAGATCTTTTTCTCGTCATGATATACTGCACATTTTATTTCACCAGACACCAACCTTATGAACTGCAGGAGGAGGATTTGAATAACTCCTGATCTCAGAAATGACACTTTGTTTGAGTTCCATGATTTCAGCTTTCAATTTCTCAAGACGGCGTAACCTGGTTGCCAGCTTCTCTCCCTCCTTAAGTTCAATTCCCCAGTCTTTTTCCCACCCATTTTTGCGGATGTGCGCCATTGACTTTTCCAAGTCACCTAAGTGACGGCGTCTTATTGCACCCCTGAGAGCCTCGCCTGCTTGGACATTTCTAAGAGTTTTCTCTGCCTCATCTATATCATTCTTCAAACCTGCCAAAGAAAAAATGAGTTGTAAATGTGTGCCTCTGTCTCTGGCTTAGATTTCATCTCAGTGTCATTCTGACGCTGCATGAATAATCAACAACCTCGTGCAAAGGGGAGTTGAGTGTTGCATGTTTGTGAAGAGTCAAGTTGTGTTATTATGGCCACAAAAACTCAGTGTTAGCATTTATCTGTCATTTCATCAACAGAATGGGTTGAACCCATGAGTTACATCATATGTACAGTGAAACACTGTTAATAATTGAAAACTGACTACCACAAAGTTAATTCCACAAGTAACGTTTTCACCATTAATTAACTAACATGGTCATACGTTGGGTTTGCATTATACATGCATGATCCCAGCAAAGTGTGTGTTGAATAATAATAATAATAATAATAATAATAATAATAATAACAATAATAATAATATCACATTAACTAAGTACCCAAATGCCTTATAAAACGTTTTGATACATATGATTTTCATGTACACTGCAGTGTGCCATTCACTGCATAGAAAATAATACAATAAACTGCACAAAAGCATACAAAGATTTTAAGTCAAATGCCCAGCAGTTACCTGGCATCTTAGCACTCTTGGCTTCCTTGACTGCTCCTTCAATCCTCTCAACTTTCCTTGACTTGGTTGCTCCTTTCAAGTTCGCTCGCAGTCTCTTCTCTTTGTTTGCCATGGCTTCAGCAAGGGCTTTCTTTTCTGCTTCCTCTGCAGCCTTGCGAGCAGCCTCGTCAGTAGCTTTCTTGGCTGCTTCAGCTGCTAATCGAGCCGCCTCTGCTGCTGCTCGCTCAGCTTCCTCAGCTTCTTCAGCAAGATCTTCAGCCTCCATGGCCTCTTCTCTTTCTCTTTGCTCCTTTTCTTGTCTTTCTAATATATGAATGAAAAAAGACAACATTTCAAATGGTAGAATCTCACTGGCTTGACTACAAAGGGCTTAGCAGGATTTTTCAACAGGTAGCTTACAGTGTAAATATATGCCAGTACCTAACTAGGATATACATGTAGGAGCCCTTCCCACTCTCAAACACCCTCCCCCAACTCTTCTAGTGACCACTTCTCAGCTCTTGAGAGTCTAGAAGACAAGACAAGAAGACTTAGGGTATTTCACTCAGCTCCGTTTACATGTGATTCAGATAGATAAAGAAAAAGAGACAAATAAGGACATTTACATAAGTGAAGAATAAAAAATGTAGTCACTAGATAAGGAGTGAGTTGGGAACATCCAAATAGCAAAGGACAATCCGGTGGATGGCCCCCTTAAAATACAATAATACACACAGAATAATAGAATATTGTCTGAAAGTGCAAAATCCAGCATTATCCACTGGATATTTTTTAAAAAAGGCTGACATGAAACATAAAATTTGGTAAAAACTAGTTTTTGAATAATTATACTTTACCCCTTTCCTCCTTCTCTCGCTCAAGCTCCTGCTGTCTCAGTAACTCTTCTTTTTTCCACTTTTTTGCTGCTTCTTCTTGCTCCCTTCTCTTCTTATCTTCTTCTTCCAGTCTCTTCGCTTCTTCGTCCTTCAGTCTCTCTTCCTCTTCTTTGAGCTTGGCTTCTTCCTCAGAGAGCTTCCTCATGTCTTCCTCATACTTCTTACGTTCTCTCTCTTCCTCCTCAGCTCTTGCCTTCCTCTCTAGTTCTTCTTGCTCTGCCTTTCTTTTAGCAGCCTCAGCTTCAGCCTTTTTTCTTAATGACTCCTCTCTTCTCCTTGCTGCTTCCTTCTCCAACCTAGCTTTGTTCTCAGCGGCTTTCTTTGCCTCTTCTTCTGCTCGTTCCTTTGAAAATTGATCAAGATTGTATATTAATGCAAAATAATATACCTCTCCTTGGTGACACCTTTACAATACAGACACCTTGCCATTACTGACAATAATTCATTCCTGTTTGTTCTGAAGGTACAAAACTTTGCGCATACCAACACCTCTCTAATACAAACAATTGAACCTGTTGCTTTGATGTTAACAAAAAGGAGGTTAAACTATAATTATCTTTATCAATCCAATAATAACATCATTGCAACTGTATTCAACTTCCCTATACATTGAAATATAGCCTGTGAATACAGGCATCTCTCCTCGCAAAGTCTGTTCAATAGTAAATAAATGAAATTCTTACACAACTTTTTATTCTCTGATGTTTATTTGTACACAATAATTTCAAGGTGAACAGAAAATCATTTTCACATCATTTTCACTCTCTCTCGGCTTTACACATTAATTTCTGCTGAAATTCATCCTTCAGTGACAATAATTCTCAGTTTCAACACAAGTATTCATTGAAAGACTGGTAAATTTTCTGGTCTGATACCCAGTAATGGAGAGGGAGGTTCTCTTTGCATTTTTTGGGTGTGTGTGTGTGTAGGGGGGAGGGGGGGAATTGGGGTAATGTTAGGATTCTTGAAACCTTGACTTATACTAGAACATGACCAGGCATCAACACTTTCTTGCATATCCTATACTAACTGTGAACTGGAAATTCTCATCTTCATACTGTCCAGTGATTAATTTCACAAAAAAATTAGGCCCCAAAGGAGTGCATACGGATCCAGCCGATGTTAGTAGAAATAGGCCAGTTTCCAATATTAAAATTCATACTTGGCTGAGAGGTTAAGGGATATGAAAAAATCACATTAGAATACCAGAATTAAATTTCTGTTCTATTGCCCTTTAGCCAGGAAGCCAAGTATGTATTTTGATAATTCAAAATTGACCTATACAACTGTTACCAAACCCACCCCACTCCCTCAAAAAAAAAAAAACTGTCAAACCCTTTAATAATAAAAATGTGAAAGATAGATTTATACTTTAATGAGGCCCTGCCTGAGTAAATTCCGACAAACAACATGACCTAAAAAGTAGCGACAGAGCAAAAAATGAAATGGCGACAAGAAACAACCTCCCTCGGCCAAACTGCGACAGTGATGGCAAAGCCAAGAATAAGCAACAAAGAATGGTGGTTTGGCTAAGTTATCACCAGTCTGAATGCCAAGAAGAAGTAATTTTCGTCATTTTGCTGTGCGCTTCAGAGAACATCTCTTGTCAGTGAGCTCCAGTGGACCCTCCTGAGCACGCATTGCATTACACTTCACTTAAGCAACCCCCATAATTCCTGGGAGACCTGAAAACGAGGTTGTCCGTCATGCTACATCTCCATGAACGGGATATTAAAACATTGCAAGGATTTCAATCTCCAGCCAGCAGTATGATCATCGTACTCACTTTACACTTGGGTGAAGAGAGACAATGTGATCCAGACTTAAGTTTCTCTTTTAATGTAAGCAACACAATGGTGACGACAGTGCAGAGACCAGGGACCAGGTAACCTAACCACCGACCTTCCAGCCGCTCTCACAGAGCAGACCACCATTGACCGTGACTTCAGGATTTATCAGGTCAGTTAGTCTTAAAATGTTGAATGTGGGTCACTTAAATGTGAGTGGCAATGTACAGGTGTTGATACGCGAAATGTTAACTGAGAAATTGCAGAACCATAATGGTTTCTTTACAACGCATGGCTTTGCCCCTTTTTTTAAATTCCAACATGGAAAAAGAATTTTCGTTCAATTTCTTACAGCAACATCGAAGCATTTATAAACACCAACATGCGGCGTTTTAAAATTCAGACGAGCGACAGTGGGACCCCCCACTGGCAGGGCCTCTTTAACTCCACTTTGGCGGTACTATCTCATAGATTTACCTCACCCTGCTCAGGACACACTCACCTCACGTCTTTAAATACCTGATATACATATAGATATTTTTAAAATTTCAAAGCTTACCTTCTCCTGCTTTCGTCTGAGGGCTCCTTCCTTCTCTTTGTCTTCATCTTGTCTTTCCTCGTCAAGCCAATCCATGGTTGGTATATCACATAGTAGTACTTCAATCTCCGCAAAACTAATCCCCGAACCTGGGGCAGCCCTGCTACGGAGGAATTTCAGCCATCGGCGATGCGAAAAGAAGTCGTCATGAACCGCCTGACAAAGAAACCTCGCTTCCTTTTCATTTATGGTTCCTTTCTTCTCCCTGTCCAGCATAGCAAACTCCCACTGTAAGTCACGCACAAGAAAATATCTACGGTCCATTTCGTTGAGAACGTCGACAAGTTCTTGTCTGTCACAAGTTTCCGCCGCACAAACAGCTTCTATAGTTGCTTGTACTTGCGGTGCGCTAATTCCTCCGTCTCGTATGCTAGCATGAAGCTCCTGCAATTGTTCTGCTGTCAGTTCTCCGGTAAAATCTTTATCAAAGCGGTTGAAAATGATAGTAAGAGCTTCTTCTTTGCTCATCCATTCTATGCTGGCAGCCATTTTGTTTATTGTTTGTAGTGGGAGTCCTGGACACCATGACGTCATGAACGGCAACGCGGAAAGGAGGTCTGGCGATGTCAAGCGCGGACATTTTGACCCATTTTGGTGTCAAAAAAAAAAAGTTGGAGAAGCGAGGTGTTGTTTTGAATAGTAGATCGGAAGCGTTTATAAAAGAGTATAGTATTAAAAGAAGAGAAAAGAGTTCAGTTTTACCGAAAGTCAGAAGCCCTGCGAAAGTTCAAAAGCAGGACACAATCGCCACAAAGACGCGACGGCAGCGAAAACATCGCTTAAAAGTACTTAAAAAGCAAGTTTGCGTTCTTTCAATCTTTCTCGCGACTATTCCTACCCACTTACTTTGTCAAATGTAAGCGAACCCTCCTGGATTTGAATTCCTAAGAACCATGATCAAGTTCAGAGGAGAAAAAAAATCGTCGTCGTTTGTTTGCGTCCTCCACAAAACATCATATTAGGCATTTGCACCTCGTAGTCGTGCAAAAACGGCAACAAACTGTACAAAAAAAGTGTGATGCACGTACAAAGTTGTTGTTTTGCTTATTTAACCTATTGTTGACTTTTTGGACGTTCTCGTTACCGTCGCCTCGTCGGACAACAAACTACCCAACAAAAAAAATTCAGGAAATTAGCATCATACGCACAAGCAGTTCAGTTTCCGCGCACGCTGTGGTGGAAACAATAAAACTCTCTCATTTAGGGAAAGTTCATTTAATATGACAAGGGGGGGGGCATGAAGATATTGAGGGGGGGCTCCGAAAATTTTTAGACACCCGAAGGGGGGGCTCTGAAAAAATTGTTGCGCTAGGAGGGGGGGCTCCGAAAATTTGTATACTTCAAAACCAACACATGACATCATCATACAGATCGGATGGTTTTCAACTCAACAATTTAATGACTTGTGCAACTCAGCTATATCACGTGGTTTACAGATATAACAAATGTAGTCTCAGTAATTATTACACTCTTGTTCATCCCAAAAATGCTTTAGAAAATTGTATCACAACTGTATCTCAAGTTTGTCATAGTATAAACCATTGAAGACAATAACGGTAGATATATTTAATACAGTCTAGCGATCTTTTTTCAGGGGAGCAAAGGAATTGAAGGCGGGGGGCTCTGAAATTTTTTCGACTACCAAGGAGGGGGCTCCTAAAAAATTGAACCGCTAGTGAGGGGGGCTGCTAAAATTTCAAGCTTCAAGTTTCAATATCTTCCCCCCCCCACTTGTCATATTAAATGAACTTTCCCTTATGCATAACTTCTCTAAAACAGTACTCTGCACAACTTATTTGTTGCGAAAGTATTCAGAAATTGACGTTCTAGACTTTATGTTATGATATCAACAACAGCATTGCCTGTGAACATAGCCGTGCTGTGGTGCGAACGCTTAGTTCAGAAAAAGTAAGGCTCATTTAATACAGCACACAGTTGACCATGTTGACAAGCAAGAATTCGTAGGGATGAATTTTACCCATTAAGGTCAGCGGAGGGGTATTGTAACCCGACAGTGATCTCCAAAGTCAAAAAAAAAAAAAAAACCTGCGAGTGCCTCGGGCCACTGTCTTTGTTTTTACAGTCTGTTTTCCTTCGGTTTCCGCTGTAAAATCCGTACAAATCCATTCAACAAAATACGAAACAAATCAACAAACATTATTTTCCCAACAACCTCCGCCACTTTTAACATCCGGGGACTCTAATATAAAACTCCGTCAATCATGAGCAATCTGTGCGCTTTTACACTCTTCGCAAAATCAGACTGAATAAAAATAATCCTGAACACAATGTGCTTTTATTTTTCACTTCCCTTATTTTTGCTCTTTCTATCTACCTCCGCTTCCCATTCGGTGGAGTGATTGCCAGAATTGCCAGACCCCAAATATCACTTGTTGATGTTTTGGCCTCAAACCCGTACCGCCAATCGTTGCTATTTTCACTAGCCACGTTTTCAAAATTCAGTTAGATATTGCCCATTTTTATTATTGCCCAACAACTGAGCAAATCTTGAAGAATTAAATGGGACATTGACTTAAAAACAGATTCACTTAAACAGCTGAACCACGACTTTAGACCAAAGAGTTCAGTTGCTGCTAACCTGAGATCAGGCCCAATTTTAGTGGTTCTCATACATTCTCTCTAAAATTTCGCCTTGCCCGCCGGAATGTTATTTTTAGGGGCACCCAACGTCAATTTTCGGAAAATATCTGTTCGGAAGACGCCTTGAGACCCAGAATTTTCGGAACATATGTTGCAAAATTTCTTGCTTGCCTGCCCCTCCTAGAATTTTCGAAAGACTAAAAAATGGAATAATTGCCTATTTTTAACGAATTGTCACCTAGACTTTACGGGAACCTTTTTTCTGGATGAAATTTTCGAAAAGGTAAGTTTTGATCCCTAGATGATTTTCGGATCACTAGACTTTCAGCTAGGAAATCCGAACAGGTAAAAAAATTTTAGGGGATATATTAAAAGTATTCCTATATCTACCGTTTAAATACTAAAAACGGTTAACAATGCTATGTTTAAGTGGTTTTGAACTATATTCTCGTTGGGTGCCCCTGTATTTTCACAGCGAAACGAAAATAGAGCCTGCATGATCTCAGGTTATTAAAGTTGCTGCATCTTTGTCGATCCTTTGTCCCATGATGCCAAAAGGAAGTATGGCCTGCTGGAGATAGAGGAACGTGAGAACGAGTATTGCGACATTGCGTCATATTAGAGCTTAGAGCAAGCCTTTATGATTCCATTCCACGTACGTGACCTGAAACTTTGCGTGATGTTGCACTTTTTTTACGCATCGAATTTTTAATCGACTTAATTTCTAGATCGAATTTAATGTATTTATATAAACATAAGTAAACGAATTCATCACGACAACTTGTCAAATTAGCGAAAACTAAGCCCGGGTATACATTCCTACATTGTTTGAACTTTGACGTTAACGACAAGAGACGGTGGACACTGCTAAAGTTAGTTGGATCTTTTTTTTTTTTTTTTTTTGAAGTAAAAAGCTTCGTTTACCCATCGAAACCCAGTATAAAACGAGAATTGTTGAGACATTCAGTTAATTTTGTTCTGTTACAATCTTAAATATACTTGGTCTAAAGAACATAAAAGTCTCTCGCTTTATTAACTTACCGGAAAGCTGTTAATTTCGGTGTAGTTCATTAAAAATCAGCTGTTAGCAAGCTAAGATATTAGCAACAAAAGGGCACCACTCCGGAACAATCAAGGTCACTACGTTGTGTGCAGAGGGTCATAGTCATTGTAAGTGAAGATCCGAGTCACAGCTTTCAATTCAAGACAGCTCTGATCTATCAAGTATGGCCTCGTCAGCGGACGAACATTCTGCGTTGAAACGAAACACGGTCCATCAGACAAGACTAAGCCTTGAACTACAACAACTAGAGAAGGATAGATCAATTCGCTTGCGTGAAATGGAAAAAGCTTCCCAAGTGTTTGCTAGGCGACAGGAACAAATTCATTTTATACGGGACAAGGCTTGCTTACGAAGAGCTACTAGCGCTCCACCGGCTAAACAGACATCAAGAAAGCTTCCATTGGTCGGAACTTTGTCCTTTGAAGGAAGTATCAGTGAAGAATCGCCATTCGTGACCAAGACGTACACTAAGCTGGGAGGCGAACGAGGGGAGCGTTGCGAGTCTCCTAAACGACGAATTCACAGAACGATGACATCCCCTAATATGGTACCCGTAACCTCATCTCAATATTCATCAAGTTCCTCTGTTACATCTACGCGGCAAAGAAGTGCAAATTGTAGTTTAAAGAAAGAAATCGGTTTTGAAAAAACGCTTCATGAAAACCCGGCTAAAACGACAAGACTGCCTTCTTATAGCAGAAACTTCTCGGGCCATCGCCAACGCGGCGAACCAAATCTGAAGGGATTAACAGGAAAACCCTTTCACGATTTCAGCTTGGAGAGGGATAGAAGAGATTCCTTGCCTTAACCAGAAACAGCTAACATCGGTGAAATTACTGCATAAAAATTCTATGTTGGGGCGAAGACATGTCTTTTTTCGTGGAGATACAAATAGCCTGGCATAGGAGAGCGCCTTTAAAAGGCCCCTTTATCGTTTTGTAGAGCAGGCTTTTTGCTTTAATTTAAAAGACGGGAACACGATAATAATGTGAACAGTTTTTAAACTTGGGGTTTACAGCCAAAAAGTGTGGAACTTTATGGTCAATACTACTGACCGAATGACTAAGTTGAAATTATTTGTCAGTTCGTGCACCGGATAACTGGCAATAACTTTACCGTGACTCAGTGTTATGGCCTTTCTTTACAGGAGAAAAATGGCACTCGTTTATTTAATGGTATGTCGATTTTTCGATGAATAAATGTTACCAGGTTATACGGAAACTCAACGTGCGTTTGGTGTTATGGCAGACAAATGACAGACTGCGTGCTCAAAATGTCGACGAAAGACGAGGACCTTTATATTTTTCGCCAATTGCGTGACCTTCCTTAAGTATTCTCGAGCACGTATATTATTGGCAAATAATTTAATGAGTTTGTTTTCTATAATAGTGACAACAAGGGATTGTTTTGATTTCCATAAAACTGTATTTTAAATGAATATTGCGAAATAATATAAGTGATGCGTTTACCTTTTGCTCAATAAAAATGAACTTATGTGGTCTTTAAGTTCGCCTCCTGAAACAAGACAACGCCAAAAAAAAAAATATATATATCTAATTTCAAAAACAATCCAGTCAAAGAGTGAAAAATAATGATCATTTATTAGAGGAGAGACATAACATGTGTATTGTAAACTGACAAAATTAAAAAGAATTATTTAAGGGTGTTCAGTAGCTTGGAACTGACAGATTATGCAACAATGAAAGACTCTGCTGTGGTCACGAGAATGTGAGGTGCTCTTGAACGAAGATTCATGACCTCACAATGTCGCCTACGTTAAATTCGCCTTCCAGTCCCGTTTATCGATACTCGGGGATGAAAGCGGAATCATGAATCATGAACCATAGTTACAAAACATGTAAGAATCATGAATCTTTGTTTTAAAAACTTGGGAATCATGAATCTTTGTACTTCGGCTCGGGAATCATGAATAACGAGACTCTGAGAAAAGCTCAATAAAATACACGTATGAATTAATTTCGTTCGATCCAGGGAATGCAGGATATGGCGTTTCCGAGAGTCGAATTTTCAAAAATTTTTCCAGGGAACATGCCCCCGGACCCCCTATATAATTCGTGCATTCGGAGCAGACAGTCCGCTTGTTTCTCCAATTGTTCAGTTACAAAAAACTCCATGCCAAGACAAAACGAATGATGATACCAAGTCTAAATGAAGTAGAAATTTGAACACCAAATAACATACAAAACGAGACTAAGTTGCCCCCGAGAAAATCATTAAATCAATAGGTGATCAGAAGTCTTCGTGAATCATGAATCTGGAGGCAAATTCTTGTAGGAATCATGAATCATTGAGGCAAAAACGACAGGAATCATGAATATCAAGATTCAAATGATTCCGCTTCTACCCCCTATCAATACAGTTATTCGCTGTATTATAACTTAATTAATTAAGTCTCACTTAACCATGAAGACTAAACAAAGTGTAACTAAGTACGCGATTAATTAAGAAATCTTTTCAATGTAGATCTCTTGCTAATTGGGTTATTTTAAGAGCAATGCTTTTATAGTCTACGCTTAACGCTGTCATGAAACTGTTCACGATAAACGGTGATTAGATAAAAGCGTTGAGCCAACTGAAGATGGCTTAGAACGGAGTTTTGTTAAACTCCATTTAAATAAGCGGTCCTACTTGACCCTACATCTTTTTAGCGTTGGTATTCTTTTCACCATTAATACTGCAATGAGAACTTATTGAAGTGAAACTTCGAAGGTTTATAATTCCAAAACCGTAAACGTAGCTTGTTGGTGAAAATTTCTGAGCTATTCTGACACAATTGTACATCATTACAACCCCGGGCTGAAAGTTGGTTATGGTGAGCCGAAGTTTAAATAATTTTTGAAGAATGCAAGCCAATTCTAGCAAGCAGAGAAACTGAGTCAAGAAGACAAAGTAGGCAGAAGTTTGAGGATGGATAGCTGAAAATTTCCATCGCATGGGGGTCACTCAGTGTTCTAACTGTTGGAACTGTTTTACAGCCATTCATTGCCAGATTTCTATGCTTCTACTATCACATTATTTTTAAGTAAACTAAAATACGTAAATCCTTACATCTTTCAGTAGTAGCAATTTAAGCTTTTAAGTTAAGATTTTTTGATATCTCTGTTTTAAAGGGTGGATTTTGCGGGCTAGGGGGATCCGGAAACCCTGGACCCTCCCCCCTCCCCCCAGGACCTAACATTGTGTCGGCTATCAAACTGTAGTGGGTGAGTTCTGATGAAACCAATGATAGTGTGGCCCCTAACCAGAGTTCAACTTATAATTATGGTTGTAATAAAAGTCGTTTTCATGTAACTGATACAGATGCGCACTGAGGACTATGCTCTAAGACCTTTGTCAACTAACTTTTGACGAGACAGGCCTCATCCCGGTAAGGCAAAGCTGTTTTCTAGGGAGTTTGAGGCTAACGTAACATAAGTTTGGCTTTAAAGACCCCCCTGACGCTCCAGAAAAGATCTATAAACAGCTAACCTGCGATCAGGCGGTCCTTCTTCCCTTTTGTTTGGGAGACGAGAGGAAAAAGACGGCATTCTTTTTTCTCCTTTCCCCGAAAACAAAATCGCCTGATCGCTGGTCAATAAACAGCATGAGAAAAAAACTTAGTAAGGATAACACTTTGCAAAAGCATTCCTCAAGCTACCTCACGGGAGGTTGAAACGAGAAAGGCCCGCTTTGAACAAAAAAGCCTTTTTAAAGACTGAATTACAAAACAACCTAACACATCTGACAGCATCGCACGATCCAATGTTTAGTCTCTGTCGAGGAAAGTCGAATACCGACGATATCCGGCGAGGATCACCCGAACAAAACACGACCATCCGTCTAACAACGACGTACGCCTATACCCGGGCCCACATGTAAGTCACTTGAAAACTTCCACGGCACTGATGTCACAGTTACAATTCACTGGCTGTTAGTGTAATGTAGACGGGTTCTTCCTTAACTTTCCAGATACCAAAGAAGAGGAGTTTTACCATAAATACTGCTTGATTATGCATTCTTTACATCGCATTGCGAAAGTTGTTCTTTAAAACTGGCCTTTGTGGCGTACCTCTTCAATATCGAAGCCTATTATCATTTTTCTTAATTTCTATTTCTTCCTCGGTTTTAGTTCTTCAGCGCAGTTCCTAAGAAAGATCTTGGGCTTGACTTGGGGGTTGTAAAATTCGTGGCCCTTGGAACAAACAGAAGCAAACAGCTTGTTACAATGAATATACTTTTGGCTTCCTCTTCCCCAGCCGCGCGCTATCGCTTATTTGGGGATATTTCAGTGACACCCTTTTATAGCAAGAATTTTTTTTATAAGAATATCGAGGCTGAAATTTGCAAAATTTTGGAAATATTTTAAGAATAAACCAGAGACTAAGAATTTGAAAAGAATATAATTTTTGCGTTTAATAAACTGAATAAAATAAAATCGTCTGTTTTTACCACCGTTAAAAAGCCTGCAGTAGCCAAATGTTCGATGTTTATGAGAGTTCGATACGGATCTAAGCACCAAACTCTTGTAACTGATACCCCGCAACATTTTAAGAAGGAAATGCCATACCGTATGATTCAGGATATTTTGTGCCTTATATATCAGCAGAACAATAAGAATATTCAACTCGCTAAAAAAGAGTATAATTAATGAGGAAAGCGGGGAGGAAGGGGAAAAAAGGGGAAGGGCTGTTTACCCCTTCCATCATCCCCCGCTCGCTCTCAGTGCTTGCCTCCAGCACCCTGTATTTAAATCTATGCTCCCCGTTTAGTCTTGGAAAAGACCGTGAGAGGGAAGTGTTTCTGATGTCTGAAGTTCACTTAGTATTCGAACAAGGAGGAAACTGCTTGTAGAGAACTGAAATAGCTAATGAATCTTGCATTATTATTTAAAACCCTGTGCGGGAGAGGGAGGGGGGGGGGGAAGATTGTAAACCTGGTTTAGATGTGAGTGGTGCGGCTCACCTTGGACCAGTCATAACTTGACGTGTAAGCAAAAATATTTCCTCTTGAATTGAAACAACAAGCTGTTATGGGCATGTTCAGCTGCTCAGAAGTCTACAACGTTAAATTCAAGAACGGTGAGTTCACAAGTATTGGGGAAAATTTGGGTGGGATTTGACAAGTGCATGGGGCAAAGAAAACAAGGTTGTTAAATTAACGAGCATGTAAAAAACTCAATGGTTTCGGGATTCAGTCTTTCAACAATGACTGTACTGTTCGTTTCATCATCACAATGTGAAACAAAGTAGCCTGCGAGCAAGCCCTCCTGTTTGGGTAAGCGAAGCGAGCCTCGCGAGAACGCGCGAGCGAGGCGCCCGGCTTCGCCGCTCGCTCGCGCGTTCTCGCGAGACCCGTTTCACTCGCCCAAACAGGAGGTCTTGTTTGCAGGCTAGAAACAAACAGAACAAAGCCAAGAAAAAAACTGATCTCAAGTAGAGTAGCGCTTGGCAGTTCTTAGACTTAAATGCGTTACAAACATGTTAGAATCATTCGACTTGAATGTTGAAAGAAATGGTAAGCGATTGCTTTGGTTCTGCGTTGTTAGGCGATGATGGAGTTCAACAACAAACAGCAACCAAAAACCCGAAACCAACCATGACTTGCTTAGACTTTGCTTGTGTGGTACCGGCTGTATGTTCAGAGCGGTATCTGATCTCAGAGACCGAAATAACTACTTTGGTTTTATTTGTTTGTCTTTATTAATTTGAAGAGCGCCCTAATTTGGTTATGAAACAGTTACGTTCTTACTTTAAGTTTTGTGCGAGCGTCTCTGTCCCAGAAACTGAACTTTCCATCGGATCCTACCGTGGCAAGCGAACAAAAGTGTACGGGGTGGAAAGCGATATCGTTCACCTGAGGAAAAATAAGAAACAGCAATGGATGCATGTTAAAGAAATGAAGTGTGTTTCTTCTCCTCTCTAGCAGATACAGAAGCGTTCCTGTCTGGAAAATATCAACTATATATAGAGTCCATTTCATCCCAGTACTATTCACTCTAAATTCGAGATTGCGCCGAATCTCTCAATTTAAGAAAAAGTTTTCTTATTTTAATTTATGAGAAAATTTAAAACAATCGTAGGATAAGAACTCTTTTTTCTGTAACTTAAACAGGCAGTTTGAATTTACGAGAACAAAATCGTAGGCCCGGTTCAGACGCCGGCCTAATGTAACATGAGTTTCTATGCACATGTGCATGTAGGCCAGATGGTAGGGTTGCCTCCCAGTATTCTAGGGTCCAAATCTTGTTTAGCCTGAGAAAACAGCCAACATTTCGCGACGCTACCACTGGTTTGCTCGCGAAATGACGTCTAAGAAACGAACGCAGAAACTCCGGTCCATACTGATGACGTGTCACTACCCAGATCTGGGGTTGTGATTCTGATTGGTTGAGGCAAACTTTCCTCGCGGCACGTCCAATCAGAAGCACTACCCAGATCTGTGTATTCACATGTCATCAGTATCGAATTTCTACGTTCGTTCCTCAGAGGTCCTTTCGAGAGCAAACCAGTGCTGGCATCGCGAAATGTTGGTTGTTTTCTCAGGGTGTTCCTCTGACCCATACTTACGACATGGTATTTTTTTACATCCTTCTCACGATAAACGTTTCTTCATGCATTTTCTCCCAGGCCCATAGTCGGAAATGTCTTCCATCTCTTCGCCCCACCCACCCACCCACCCCCCTCCCGTCGCTTCGCCCGTTGGCGGGGTGAAGCGAACAGACGGATGATATTTCAGACTACCAGGCCCAACCCCGCAATATGAAACATTTTGAAACTAGTTAGCCAGTAAGATTGAAAGAGAAGCTAAAAAAACCATCATCTCTCACAAGCTACAGTAACTTAAGCTTACGGCATAAATGTCCTGAACGTTAGCTCCAGTTCCATTAGATCTGTGGCACTTGAATGTGAAGTTATCTTTTCTGTAACAATAAGTATTAAAACCCAAGTATTATACATTTAGCCAACGAACACAGACGTATTTCTACCACCCGGGAGGAGAGAAGCAACGACCGAAAATGCGTCTGCATTCGTAGGCTAGTACACCTATAGTTCGTCATTCTATCCTGCTCAACAGAACACTAAAGATGAAGCTATCCTTGAGTACCGACAGATTCATTCTGCTACTTGCCAGCCAAATATGAAAGAATTCCTGACTACTGGGCTCAAACACTGTGGCAAAAAACTAAACGCGCCAAATGAGACAAAAATCTGCAATTTCTACCCCTACGTGAGACAACAGGCATCCCCGTCATTTCTACATGGGAATGACAGTCAGCCGGTGTCCATTGTAAACCAATCAACATTCTTATGGAACAAGGTTACTGTTAGAATATGATATTCATACCCTACCAGGTAGAATTTGGGATCATTATACGTTTCTGTGAAACTACCCACCTACCCCTCCGCTAAGCCAACATTTTGCCCTAAGTAAGAACTAAGTGTTAATGTTGGTTCAGGGGAGGGGTAGGTGGGCAGTTTCCCAGAAACGTATAATGATCCAAAATTTGCACCGGCACCAAAACCATACCAGATAGGGCTTCTGTTCACATATACGAACAGTGATTTTCGCACAGTTTCTGTAATGGAGTGAAGCTGCGCAGCACTGATCTTTAAAGCAGAGCGTCACATATCAGATAGATGTTCATACTATACCGGATAGTAGTTAATAGTTTCACGTTGGCACGAAAACCGGTAAAACCGATATAGTCGGAACATAGCCTAATTTTAAACAGGAATTTTGATTGCAACAATCTAATCCGTACCAATTAATTTATGTCACTCCCAGTTGAAAGTAGAATAAGGGAGAAATAAGAATTAAAGGCACTTGGAAGAACCACCCAAGGCCTTTTTTTAGTTTGTAAAAGAAGACTCACGGATTCTGTGGCTCAATAAACTGGATTGCAACTCGTCCCTCTACAGAACCAAGAGCAAATCCAACAGGCTGATTATTCCTCTTAGGGTCTCTAAAAATACTCACACAGCGATTCTAAAACGAAAAATTAGCAAACATTTAGTATAAGAATCTACATTCACATCTAAATTCAAAAATGAATGATCACCCTTAGTAAGTAATGAGGGACTGGAACCATTCCTGTTACTTCTAGCTAGTACTTGTAGTCACTGTCAGACTTAACTCTTTTTATAATGGGGGAGAAATAATTGCTTTCCACTGACACTTACGAACTATCCTGCATTGTAAGTTTTACAGGATAATCGTGCATTACACCATGACAGTGACTATACTGTAATACCCAGATCCTCAAACAGTACAGAACTGCTAGTGACTCAATCTGCTATAATTCATTGATTTTTTAATGATTTTTCAATGCAAGCATCTAAATTTAAGGGTTAGATTTTGAAAGTATATTTGAGAGAGATGTTACAGATTAAGTGATGGGGCCTGATTTGAGATCACATCTATTTGAAATTGCACCAAAGTTTCTTAAGCCAGCTGTCAGTATGCTGGTGGATGGCTGATTTTGAGCATTTAGTCCCCAATACAGTCTTCTATGACTGGTGTAGTTATACCTCGACCCTGCTCTCCATAGAGCCTCTAGGAGCTCAGTGGTCTGGTAGCTCCGTGGTCAGGTTTGATTCTCAGCTGGAACTCAGAATTTTTCTGAGTGTTCTGGCGTTAGACTTCTTCATCTTCCAAATTACTGAAATTTCAGTTCTTACCTGGTATTTCAGTGGTGACTCTAACTTCTTGACTTCTGAAGGCTGATTCTCTAACTGATAACAAATTATCCCCCTCTGTGCAGTACCAACAATGGCCATGGGGTACACTACGTCTGCACAGTACACGCGCTCGGGAATTTGTAAAACCATCATGGGGTTTGATTGACGTGTGTCCCAAAACTTAACGGTATTATCCCAGCTTCCTGTCATAAGGCAGCTGTAGTTTGGTGCTTGAATCCACTGGCAAGTTTTGACAGGTTTGTCATGCTGATAAAAAGATAGACACAAGAACAGTGCATGGCTTAAAATTCACCATCGCATTTCTATCATTTGCCATTTTGGAAATTTAGCAATAAAAATTGCAAAAAAACCTTTCTTAAGAACATTTAAAGAAATTTTTAAAAACATTAGAAAATACAACAGCGTTAAGCTCATCTTCTGATTGAGGATCAACGTCACATTCTTAAGAAGTGCCACGGAAAATTTTACTGCCTCATTTACAAAATGTTATTCATTAAAGAACTTAGGCCCAGTCTTAATACTCAGAGTGACTCCCTTAGCGCGAAACTATTTGTTTAACTTGTAATGTTCATAACATATTTTGTTTTTTCTTGTATTCATAGAACATTCATACACAATTTTTTGACTTCGTAATGAAGTCTGAGAGTGTCAAAAAAATCATCATATTTTTTTAATGTTTTAAAAAATTTCTTAAAATGTATTTAAGAGGAGTTTTTTTTGCAATTTTTTATAGCTAAATGTTTCAAAAAGTTGCTTCTTTTTAATCCACTTCAGAAACAAGAAAAAAAAACTGGGCTGAGTTAACTTCGCCAAGCTGTTCTGGAACTGTTACTAGGGACAGGGAAAAAATATTGGCCAATAGCTGATGGGAGCATCCCCATTAACAATCCCAGAAAGAACTGTGGGGTCCGTTTCGGCTCCGGTTCCCCTCTCGTTTCTATAGTGGCAAATTGCACATAGGCACATATTGACAGTCAGTCCTAGCAGTATGCGGGATGTTTGTCCCATGAACCTAGTTTAGTGGCCTTGAAAAAATCACGTGTCCACCTTGACTTTTAGAGAGTAAAAGCAACAACAAAGCCAAGTCTTTTTTTAACTCAATCTTTATGTCCACACTGACGTGGATAACAGAGAAAGAGCAAGAGCAAGAGATGAAAAGCAAAGGAGACAAATTTTGTTGGAAGAAAAACATGAAAATTTTGTAGTGGGGGTGAGAAAATGAGAAATGCCAGCGGCTACTAAGGTGAAAATGAGCGGCAGTGAAAAAAAAACACATACAAACATACAACATTTCCTCTATAAAATGTGTAACCAGGAAGTTCTATGTTGTAGTCGTGCAAAACAACAGCAAAGAAATGTACAAAAAAGTGTGCTGCATGTGCAAAGTTGTCTTTTTGCTAATCGGACCTATTAATTTTTTTTGCTGTTCTTGTTTCTGTCCCTGTTTAGTATTACACAATTTTATTTTTTGTTTGAGTATTTAACTATAAGAATATATTAATGAGAGCTTCGCTTTTAGCCCGGCTAAATCTATATAATTATCATTTAAATAAACAAGCAAGGGTTAACTGGCAATGCTAAGAACAATAATACTGATTTGCAGGTATGTTTAATAAAAATATTATTGTTAGCATAATAATGTAGGTAATTAATGGAGTACAATGCAAATTTCTACGTGTAGTTTTGACACAAAAATCTGTAAAATAATGTTAATGTATGGATCAATAATTTAAGTTAAAGTTTATTATTGCCTAGAGTGTAGAAGTGTAGGAGTAAATACTCAATCTTAATTAATACTATCAATTTCAAAAATGACTGAAAATGATACAAGAGTTATGCTGTCTTTGTTTCTTCTTTCACTTTTAGTCTAAAAATAACTATTTTGCATCCAAGGACTTGTTACAGAGTCTCTGTTGCCACACCAACCCCACAGCCCTCCAGCCCCCTTATCCCTTTAAGCCCCAATATCAACATACCAATTCTCCAAACTGACCTCCACACATTTCTTAAAGACTTAATTGAGAGAATTTTATAAAGATCAAACCATTTTCTCATTGGTGATCATTTTAAAATTCTCATGACCTTTTTTCTTGACTTTAAATTAATATTGTAAGGAGAAAATTGGTGTTGGTCACTATTGGCAGAATTAAAGGGTTATTACATTCTTACCTGAGCTACTTGCACAGCCTGGTTGGAATTGAGGTCCCACATCTTACACTGTTTGTCAGTAGATGCTGTAAATACTTTTGTACCATCCTGTAATTAGAAGTTTCTTATTGATGTAGGTGAAGTATGGAGAATACCGGTACATGACTTGTATGGATGATAAGTGCAATGAAATATTATCAGCTTACTAGGCAAAAAATACTTTTTCTTGTAATGATAAAAATTACACAATCACAGATACGAGTTTTTTGGAGCAACACATTTCACTGTCATCTCAATCCCTTTATTAGTCATGTGATCTAGCCTATTGGTCATACCCTTTTATCACTTTTCTGTTTCCATAGCAGGAAATTACTTTATTTGAGTTGTTTGAATCACTATGATGGCAGATTATTTCACCTTTAGAAGTTATTTTTGAAACCTCTGATCACTTACATCATGCCAGCAGCAGTCTAAAATTGGTCCTGTATGAAATTGTTGAGCCTTTGGAACTGTCTGCCCATTTTCTTTGACTTCCCAACACCTTACCTATACAAACCAAACAAAACTAACGTTACGTAAAGAGGGTGGCACTTGACACCAACAATAACTGATAAACATGTGGCAAGTGATGCTCGTTAGGCAATTGTCATGTAAGGTCTGCATAGAGACAAGACATTCGTTAAGTACTATTGAAAGGATTTTTGCATCTGTAACTATACCAAATAAGCAAAATGCCAGCACATGGCGAATACATAATTAGCAATTAGTTGATGAGAGATTTGTTGCTTTAACAAGTAGGGAAATGTTGGGTTTCCAGTCAAGTTGACTGATAATCATCTCGCTCAACTTTATGTCGCCCAAAACTACAGTTATGTCACCCGAAATGCTTTTGAGTTATGTTGCCCAAAATTTTCTCAAGCTAAAAGACATTTTTACATCCTGTTACACCTTTGTAATGCTTGTTCTGTTTTATTATGGCAAGCAGAACAAGATACTGTATTCAACATGTTTTTGGTGCTTGTTTTGTCTTATCAAGTCTATAAAGAACAAAAAATATTACACACCTATCATACTTGTTTTATATTTAACCCGTGACTTACATAATAATAATAGTAATTTAATTATATAGCCCTTAATCCTTAGAAGTCCACAAGCACTTCACATAAATGACAAAAAGTTTAACTTTAAAATTATGTACAATCAAAATTTGATTGTACATAATTTTAAAGTTTCTTAACATTTTATATTTAATATAAAATGTTAAGATCCTGAAAATTACCATAAAAATTAAAATGTAACTTAATTGAAATAATAAAATCGTAAGAGGATAATCTAGTCTAATCTTAAAGTCAATTATTACACTAAGACACGTTTATTACCCTGGTTTCCTCTCATCATTGCAAATTTATTTCTTTGTGTATTTGCAACTGATAAAATTTCAGGCGACATAACTCAGGATTTTGGGTGACATAACTCTAGTTTCAGTTGACATAACTTCAGGTTCGATTAATTTTTGGGGCCACTTGACCGGTTAGGGGCCATCAACATATTCACTTTTCCCCTGCTTAACGTCAACAGGACATTTAGGGGGGAGGTGATAAGGCAGCGGACATTAGTGCGGCACATTTTTGGACAAAAGCAAACTGATGTAAAAATGTGTGGAGCAGCGCCAGTGACATTAGTTAAGAGAAAGCAGGACCAACTAAAGAAGTGAGTGTAAATTGTGATCTTTTTATAAAACTCTGCTCTTAACTACCCGCAATTGTATATTTTACATTGAGATTTTTTAAACTCTATCCTTAATCACCAATGAATTTTTACAATACCAAGAATTATGGTTAGTTTGCTGATATTGTAAATATTTGTCACAACACAACTGGAATCTTTTTTCAGTACATAGTTTAAACGTCGAAGTTCTTTTTTGAGAATCCATTCACAGCCTCGTTGGACAAAATCCGAGGCGATCATTTTCACTTCAACCTAACAACAAAATAATGACAATATGTTGACTTAGACTGAATAATGTATAAAGTCGATAACATTTATACATGTAACGAGCAACAGTCTATCTTAACAGTGTTGTTAATGGCACTAGTGGCAAACCCAGCTAATTTCGTTGAATTCTTCCTCACTTAGGTATATCACTACACAGATATTCTTAGTTGTACTGTAAAACTCTGTGATGAAGTATGCGTTAGTCCCAAATAAAAACAGTTGTTACAACTCAAGAAGTTCACAAAAGTGTTGTTCACTGCTTTATTCCTTTAAAAATGTAATGAAGTTTCTACCACGTTTTAAAAGCAGTAAATTGTGTTGATACTGTTGATATCCTCACACAAGTGCATGTCAGTATTCCTTCTGGAATGCAGTGACTTTTGGGGAAGCAACATTTCAAGTGAACGTTTAGGAGGGGGGAGGAGGGGGGTCTGACCTAAACATCCAGTTGACGTTAAGTGGGGAAAAAGTGAATATGTCGACGGCCTCTTACTGGGTGATGCCACTGTTAGAACCCAGCCTTACACCATCTCCACATTTCCCCTTCAAACATGTGGAGTTGGATACCACCATGGCCACTTTGAAAGAGGCTGAGGAGCATGGCTCTCTTGTGAGATCTCCCAGTTGGTTAGAAGATGGGCTTGTCTTGACTAAGCTACAAATTAAATGATTATTTTGCAATTTTTCCATATCTCTACCAAAGGTTGCTTGGGGGGAGACCATAAACACATGTCGTTAGATTTCAGGGACCAGACCGGCCCCCTCCTAAGGAAATACAATGTAAATGGAACATCCCTCAAATCACTATCCTTGGTTTGATATTAGGGTTGCTCTCAACTCAGACGGATTGTTCTTTAGTTGCAAACCAAAATCAGGTAGAATCCGTTATGCATAAAGTCATCCTTTAACTTACATCATTTGCCCAAGATGAACCGATGAGAAAGTCTGCTTTTGGGCTAAACTTGAGCGCGCTAACAGTGTCGTCTGGAGGGGACTGCACCTCAACATCTTTCATTGGGTTGTCGGTATTTCCGAGACCAAGGGAATTTGTTGTGGTAGAAGTAGAACCAAACGTCCCAAAGCTGGAAGTACCACCGAATGACGAGCTTGTTGAACCGAACATGTTTTAGTCACCGATATAATGCTGACACTGATTGAAAATGATCAAAGATGGCGGAAATCGGAGGTACATAACAGTCACAATATATGAAGTAGATACCTTGCTTATGGGTAAGCCGCTGATTTTAGCGAAGCGCCAGCTTTGGACCAGCCTAGCCTTGGACCCGCCTTGCATTAGGCGGGGAGCCAGGTTCCGGGACGCGGACGCGCGGCGCCACAATGAGCAGCAGTTGCAGGGCGGATAAAGTTAACCGCCCTGAGCAGTAGTGGCAGTGGTGCCGCAAAAGAAAGTCCTTCGTATTTGCAGCTGATCCAGAAGAAAACGACAAATTCCAGCGGGGGGGGGGGGAAAAAAATTTTTGAATGATCAAATGATGAACTGCTTGGAAAAGAAGCTTACTTTATTTGACGAAGCGCCACCCGCATAAGCTTAATGAATTTCCTGAATGAATGTTAGCGTTTTAACAAAGCACAAGGGAGACAAAGAGTCTGATTACGTCAGCTGGCCTGGCCCGGTTATGTGACAGGCTACAGTCCGAGTCGCGTAACGCGCACTATGGGAAGACACTCCGCGCGACAATGGGGAGAGGTTGTGAGAGACGTCTGGAGACGAGTAAGCGGCAACTTGACAAAGCGACCCAACCGAGGTGATCCCGGTAATCCCTTGTTTTTACACCTCAAACGGCCCTTGCATACCCTGTGATGCATGGAAACAAGGGACCTTCAGCTTGACCCAACCTGGTTGACTGGGCGATACTGGATCATTTAATCAGGCCCAGCGGAAAAGTCAAGAGAACGCTTAATTTTTAAATTCCAACCCTAGTGCCCAGGGTGGGTTATAAAGAGCTTTATGCGTCTTGGTGCTTTATCCGATCCTCACTCAGTTTTAATTCAACCATGAAAACACCTTTTCACATCAAAAGGGGAAGCAAAGTTTTCCAGGTAGTTGTTCTCGATACATGACATTATTAGCCTATTTTTAAAAATGCACTACCGATCTACCTACCGGGTCGAACTGTGACGAACTTTCTGTCATTTCTTTTTTGGTTTAAACACGATGGCTAAAAAACTCTCAGGAAAAACCACAGCCATCATTCGGGAATAACATGAAATAATCCGATTCTATTGGTGGTAAATACTTTTTACGAAACTGGTGCTCAAGTGGACCCCACTTTTCAGAAAAAATCGGGATTTTACTTAAAGGGGAGCGGGGAACGGGGAACGGGAAGATGAAAAATGGGAGCAAAACCTAACTTATAGTCCTATAGACCTATTCGGTTAACTCAATGTTGTACCCAATTCAAACCCTTTGGGAATAGAACGTTTTGTTTCAGGAATTTCCATATCATTTAAATGTGAATGCCACATTATAATGCAAATGCAATACACAAAGAATCTTATCCCCGGGAGATTTGAATTGGGTACAACATTGATTTAGCCGAATAGGTCTATCGGTAACTTTATTTCCAGTTCTCTCTTTTTTTCCTATTTTTCATTTTCCCGTTCCCCTTTCTCCCTTCTATGTTTTAGTAACATCCAAGTTTTGCTCTGAAATTTCTAATATCAGCTTTTATTGATATAATAAGCATGCCAAATAAACTTCAGAGGAATCGTTGGAGCAGAAGTCCTTACAGCTTCGGTGAAACAGGCAACAAAAAACGTGCAACTTGTTTTGCAACATTGCTGCAAAACAAGTTGAAAAGACAAGTTGCGCGTTTTACCACCCACGTTCAACCTGATTTGTTGCAAGACAGGTTTGACTTGGGTGGTAAAACGCGCAAAGTCGCTATTCAACTTGCAAACAAGCTGCATGCTTTTGGTTGCCCGTTTTTCCGTACCTTAATAAGAAAGTCATTTAGTATTCAGTTTTTAAATTGTTTTGGAATTTCGAAACAACGGAGTTACCTTAAGTAGGGGCTTCTTATACAGTGAATAAATGCATTTTACGTTCAACGTGAAATTTTATTTGCTTGAATACCTTAATATTAAGGACACCAAAGGACTTCCCCGAGAGAGAACCGATTATATACAGCGCTCCTTTTCCACTGGTTGGAAGCCAGCTATACATTAACAACAATTGATATTTCGGGAAAGCCTAAGCGATTTCAAAGTGCGATACTAAAGTTTTGACCTTCTCGAACATTTTAAGTGGAAACGTTAACAAGCGGTGGGAAGCGAAGATTTGCCAAAAGAGGACAGTGTTGCTATAATGCCTACGGAACAAAACAAACATGAAAGAATTGTTCGATGAGGGTGACTATGATTCCAAAACGAGGACTATTCCATAGATTGTCTAACTAGACCCGGCCGTATCACACTGGAGTAGACGAACAATGGATGGATCACTCTTAGCACCTTCTATGAACTCAGCAAGAGACAGCTTTCCGTCGGCATTCTTATCCATCTGTGTGAAAATTTTGTCTACCCGTTTCTCGGGCGTGCTCTCATCTTCGGGCATTTTCATAACGCTGCCTACCATTTTGTAAATCGCTCTGACAATCTCCAGCATTTCTTGTCTGGAAATGAAGCCGTTTCCATCCAGGTCGTACATGCTGAAAGCCCATTTAAGTTTCTGCTCCAGCTTGCCGCGAGAAGTCACAGACAGGGCGCAGATAAATTCGCGGAAGTCGATGGAACCATCGTTATTTGCGTCAAACGTGCGAAAAACGTGCTCAGCGAACTTGGAGGCGTCGCCGTAGGGGAAGAAGTTGCCATAGATTTTCTTGAACTCTTCTACAGTAAGATTGCCACTCGGGCAGTCCTTAAGGAAGCCTTTGTACCACTCCTGTAACTCAGCTTCCTCGAACTCGGTTTGTGCCGTCAAATCGGCCAGCTGCTCAGGTTTGAGTTTACTGTTCTGCTTTCCCATGTCTCTACCTTACTAGCATCTAAAAAATAAAGAAAACATGAATCGGTCATTTTGGAGTTGTGCGTAGAACAAGGTCGGGGTTGTGTTAAATGCTCTCATTTGATTTGTCAGCGATTATCGCAAGAAAACGAAGTAGAAGGATCATTTTGCAACGTATTAGCCACGCTTGCGGGATATTTGATGATTAGAGGAGCAACTGCCATAGCAGCTATTGTACCCTGGGACTGTTTGGGCAACGAATTTTGACCGGCCTGTGTGGCAGGCCCAAGAGTACATACAGGGCGCGCCGTCGTTGCCGTCGCCGTTACTTGTAAAGGAAAATTTTTGTACAGGCAATAACAAACAAAATTCTCGTCACTCAAGTGAAAAAATGCCTTTACCTCGGGCAGTATGTTCGGTGACCAATCCTGATTTGTTTTGCTGGAATTATTTTAACTTTTCCTCACGGCCTGCATAAGCAACGCCCGAAACCCCTCCAATGTATTAACAACAGCGCCACACAATTTAAGCCCTTAGCATCTGTAGTACAACTTGAAGCATTTTACCCGTTTGGACACATTTTGGCACGTGAGAAAACCACACTAGCACGTTAAAAAACTCCACGTCAACACGAGAGCTTTGCACATCAGAAAGTTCAATTTACAGATGTGCAGGTAGCCTGCGTGGCAGGCGTTGGAAAGGGAAGGGGAAGGGAATTAGGGCGCGAGACTGCGCGCGAGGAAGGAGAGAGGAGGGGAACGCGTTCTTTTCCTTTCTTCCTCGCACGCCCCACGCGCTCTCGCGCGCCCAAATTCCCCCTTCCCCTTTTAACGCCTGCCACGCAGGCTAATGTGCAGGTGCCACTTAAGGTTCTGTAACCCTAACTCTAACCATAACCCTTTAAACTCCAGCTGCTTCCGTATAACCTGCACCTACAAATTAAAACCAGCGTCTGCATACTAAGCAATCGAAAAAGGCGCGAACTTCAGGCAAAACGTTTTTGTTCCTAAGCTATTCTCGGACGCAGTTTCCAATTTGAGGAAGTACTTCCTCCAGGAAGAGAGAGAAGCCTGGGAACCAGGTTGCATAAGACCTCTGTTTCCGTTCGTTTAATGTAAGTGTACACACACAGCCAAAGCGCACCTAATGCGTCTATAAACAAAAACGCATTAGCGTGAACTAGGTCTAATATTTATGACAAGGAACGCCGCACCTGCATAAAAGTCCCTCAGCTTTTAAACCGAGAAGGGCATTCAATTAGCAATATTTAATTGAACAGTTTGAGTCACCAGTTGACAATTTCTTTGGTTAAGAGAAACATTTAGACAACTTCGACCAACTATAAATAAAAATTCCTTTTAATGTGATTTTTTGAACAAAGTTTTCAATAACGCTCCGAAACGGTATTTATTAGTATTGAACGCAACTAAGCGCGAGAAAGGGTACATTCAACGAACAAATTGGCAGAAAAGCCTCACAAAGTGGTTCATGTAGCTTTGTAAAATACTCGAAAATACCTTTTTTTTCCAATCCTTTAGTTCTTATCAATCCAGAATCCGCTTTACGTCACGTGTTTTTAGCTCACTAATAAACCGCTTTTGTTGTCTCACTCGCTCTCTGAAAAGTTTCATGTTCTATTATCATGGACTTTGCAGCCTTGCTTCTTTCTTCATATGCAAAACACCAAATAAATTGGCTTTAATTAGGTGTTGACGACAGTTAAACTTCCGCTGGCGGCCATTCGTCTCCCAGCTACAACAGCCACACCGGGAGCCACACGCCGTTTCAGGCATTTACTGTTCCATATAACGGCAATAACCGGATTGTCCCAAACAATGTAACCTACAGGTTCACAACGCCCACGCCATGAAAAATGCAACTCTTTTTGCCGAGGGCACATCAAAACCCCTTAATTACGTGAGCGTGACGACAGAGAGTTAAACTTATAATTAGCAGATATTGCCAAAGTCAAAAGAGAAAATTTGGTCAGTTGGACCCGTGACCTTCCATTAGTTTATTGTTTTAATATGGAAGGTTTTTTCAAAAGTCTTTTTTCAGCTACATTTTTTTTTCATGATCAATATTATAGCTTTTACAAAGTCTTATGCTGCAACTGGAGATTTAGAGAATCACATTCAGTTTTCACATTTTGGCTTCATGACATTTTACTTGTTATCATCATCTTACTGTCAGTTGAGGCCAGTGACAACCTGTTAACCGTCAAGAGTGACCTTGTGAAATGAAGCTTTTACTTTAATTTACCCAATATAGGAAAGACCCAGCTTGCAACTTCAACTTCACACCTAAAGGAGCGAAGGTTTAAGATCGAGCGTTAGTTTAATCGACCCGTCATTCCTTTGCTTGCAGAGTCTACCGTTAGCTAAATACCACTGTTTTCGAATCATGATTTTTGGATTCAGCTAACAAGTCGAATAAATAAATACTGCTCCAGCGAGCTTCATTTAATTCATTCTCTAAATCACTTTTCAGTTTAAAGATCGGCGAACAACAGTCCGGAGTCTTTCCCTTGCTGGCAAGCTGTCTTCACAGACAATACATTACTGAAATAAGTTACCAAAAGAAACCTACTGATAATAAAAAATCTTGTACAACAATGGACTAAAACTGACTATACCGATAAGAAAACTCTACATTTGCCAATTCTTAACCCTGCAGGCAACAAAGTGGGATATCTGCAGTCCCCAAAATGACCCTCGAAATACATCCGTCCACAGGCAGAAGAAAATGCTTCTTAACAGTGCTATATTAGGAATGTTTCCAAAACAATTTTCTTTAAAAAAATACTGGAACAAAAAATGCTTCAGTCTTATGGGGCAGGTTCACACTGGAGCAAGCGTACGATGGACGGGTCGCTCTTCGCTCCTTCAATAAACTCGGGTAGTGACAGTTTGCCATCATCATTTTTATCCATCTGTCTAAATATTTTTTCCGTCCGTTTCTCCGGCGTGCTTTCATCTTCAGGCATTCTCATAACAGAGCCTACCATCTTGTAAATCGCTCTGACAATCTCCAACATCTCGGGCCTGGAGATATATCCATTACCGTCCAGGTCATACATACTGAAAGCCCACTTGAGTTTTTCTTCTATACCACCACGAGATGTCACTGACAGGGCACAGATGAACTCGCGGAAGTCGATGGAGCCATCGCCGTTGCTGTCAAACGTGCGAAAAACGTGCTCCGCAAACTTGGAGGCGTCGCCGTACGGGAAGAAGTTGCCGTAGATTTTCTTGAATTCCTCTAAAGTCAGATGACCGCTTGGACAATCCTTGAGGAATCCCTTGTACCACTCCTGTAGTTCATGTTCCGAAAAATTCGTTTGGTCCTTGAGATCAGCGAGAACCTCAGGCTTGAGTTTACTGTTTTGCTTTCCCATGGTTCCCAAGTGCACTGCACACAACCTGTAAAAGGGCGTGCAACTCAGTGAGTCTTTGGTAGGACAACAAAGGCGAATGCAACGACTGACCACAATGATTACACCAGGAGTACACGTTACGTAAGGTGGTTTGGTTTCCACGGTGACGTAAAGAGAATCAACATTGAGAAGGATTAGTGTGAGAAGGATTATTTCACAGATGTTGATTCGATTAGGATGAAGATGTTATCCACCTGCAGTGAGCCATTAGTGTGTTAACAACTGTTTAACTTACTGTTCCATTAGTGTTACACGACTTCAGCCCAGACATCACGAACGACCTGACTATTCTCCTTGGGCGTAGTTACTCTAGAAATCCACCAGAACCCGCACTCCATCTGAAACTCAGGACATGAGCCTTAAGACTGACAAAAAAGATGAGAAGAAGCAGCGAAGACCAAGACCAAAAATAAAGCGACGAGCTTAACATCAAGAAATTCTACAACGGTTTTCCCTAGTTGGAACAAAATAATTGCCTCACTTTTCCCTGACTTTCTCCTGACGTCTAAACGACTATGATTGACTTTGCATTCTTCATTATCTAGCTTCTTTTCCAGGCCACGAACGCTCTTGTTTTCATTTTTTATTCCTAAAGAATGTAGAAATTCCATGCGGAATTTTAATACAGTATCGAAATCCATGAACCACAATTCTCCATGCGAGTATCACTGAATTTTCCAAGAACTACGGTTTTCCTGACTTAATGGCAAATTACCTGACTTTCACAATTATGACGTCACGTCCACTGATAGTGGGGCCTCCCTCTTTCCTAGCTACTTCTAAGAAGCTGATTAGTATGTGATTCTCTACATCTCCTCTTTTGCCTCTTTAACCCTTTCAATTCTAACAATGGCTGAAGTGAAAATTTACAAAAAAAATTCCAAACGTCTTTTTGTAAAATACAAAGAAATAAATATTACTATGAAAACGTCCTTCCAAAGAGGAATCATTTGAATGGTAACATCATATGATTGTATTTTAAGGTTAAAAAGTTAGGGTGAAATACCATCTCCACATAACTAAACCTACGAATAAAGGAATATTAATGTTGGAAGGCTATACTACCCTGTTAATCACTGGTGGACGATGCATGGTTAAGAGCCATGAATTCTCGACAGTATGCAAGTAATATACAGAACACAGGACAACACACAGCATTATAGTACAGCTATTGAGGAAAAGAATGACAACAGGCACAATTATATTAAAACACTGTAATTCCAAAAAATCCATAGATTGTTTGTAGACTGTTCAAACAGTTTAGTTCTCAAGGTGGTTTAACAAACTTGGAGATATTGAGAGTATTGTTTTTCAATCCCATCAAAAATGTTTTGCTGCATACATTACAAAATACATAAATGATTGAAAGGGAGAAGTTTAACTTGAATAAAAAAATCATACAGACTATTTTTGTGCAGTTCACTTTATTTCACTTCAACAATACATCTATTTTAACAAATAAGTAAAAGTTTGCTTGATTAATAATAACTTACAAAAATAATGAAAACCGAACAAATCAATAGACTGATGATTTTTAAGAAATATTTTCACTTAAATGACAACAATCAAATTAAAAAACTCAAGAGCAATTTACTGGTTAAATTATCTTTTTCTGTACAACTAAATATAGATTACATGTACTTTAAATAAAAGGCATTTAACTTTCCACTGAAAGATAACTAATATTGTAATATTATGATACATATCATTCTTAAATTCCTCGCACCAACACATGAAATAAAAGATTTCCAAAGTATACTGTAGAATAATGTGTGAACTGGCATGGATTTGGCAGCAACAATAAAATAAGTTCCCATAAGGAACTGAACACACGATTATCTGGAACCAGCCAGATATTCCAAAATATGAGTTACAAGGAAGTTCACAGAATTATTAATTATTATTGTAAGTCATTTACAAAGTTCAACTGTAGTGTATGCATTCTAGGTACTGTTTGCATTTTTTAGTCAAAAGTGACACAATACAAGATTTCTATCTTACATCTGGCCAACTGTGGGCTCCCAGCTATTGAGAAATCAAGAACTTTTGTGCACTCTTAAAACTAATTATCACCTCAAAGCAGCGTGGAAAGAAAGTAGTGTCTGATAGCCTGGGGCTAGTGGATTTTTCTATCGGGCTAGTGAATTCTGTTCTTAACTTGCCTGAAAGGCAAATGAAGTTTTTTCAGGAATTCACAAATTACAGAAGAACTGTGATGAATACAGCTTATTCAAACAGTTTTTCAGGCTAGTTGATATGACTTTTGGCCTTTTACTTTCTAAGCTGTAAAACTGACTTTCTTTGTACCCTGCAAAGGTTATGAAAATCTAAGTAAACCTGTAACAAAACACAAAATCCGTATTCAAGTATGTATAACTTATTTCAGTGTTAATATGCAGTTTAGGTAGGTGGGGAAGCTTGTGGTATTCAAATCATAGCACAATCATGCCACATCAAGCCCAAAGAAGTACTTGCAAGATAACAAAAATAAGACTACATGTATCATCTGAGGAAACTGTCAGTGATGGTTGAAAAGTTAGAATGAATGGTACAATAAAGGTGACTTTTACTGACACCGCTCCCACCACCTCCCTAGCTCCTGTATAATTTATGTGTGGAGCTTTAAACTTTTTGCAGTGCGTCACACTGTAACAAACGGACAATAGAGGGGTCACCCTTTGCTCCCTGAATGAACTCCTCAAGCGACAGCATACCATCTTTGTTTGTATCCATCTGAGTGAAAATCTTGTTGGTACGTTTCTCAGGTGTACTTTCATCATCAGGCATTTTCATAACTGTGCCCACCATTTTGTAAATTGCTTTCACTATTTCTAGCATTTCATCCTTAGAGATGTATCCGTTACCATCCATATCATACATGCTGAATGCCCACTTCAACTTCTGCTCCAGTTTACCACGCGATGTCACAGACAAAGCACACATGAATTCACGGAAATCAATAGTGCCATCATCATTCTTGTCAAATGTGCGGAAGACGTGTTCTGCAAACCTAGATGCATCACCATGTGGAAAGAAGCTGCTGTAGATTTTTTTGAACTCATCAACAGTAAGATGGCCACTAGGACAGTCCTTCAAAAAACCTCGGTACCACTCTTTGAGCTCAGCTTCAGTAAACTCAGTTTCTCGTTTTAAGTCCGCTAACACTTCAGGTTTGAGTTTACTATTTTGCTTCCCCATTATTATTATTTTTTATTTTCTCTAGAACAAAAATGCAAAACAAAACAGCATTAGCTATGATGTGACAACATCCAATGTACAAAAATGTCACCTTACATGTACGCTTTTCAACATTAAGTCCAATGACATAAAAAATGAAAAAGAAGGCTCACTCTCAACCAGCAACGGTAAAAGTTAACACTACTAACCATTTATTTTTAAAAATAGGACATAACCTGTCAGCCCAAGAGTAATTTCCAAATACTCATAACATGTTTACAACCATTTCCTTGATGTAACTTGCAAGAGATGACTATTCAACACTAACTTTGTTTTTAAAGAATGTATTTGTGTTCTTTAAATTCCCGTATCATCAGTACACAGTGGGGCTGTGAAATAGGTATGTTTGGTCATAAAAATCATAGCAAAATAAATAAAGTCAATGGAAAACTCTTGTTCTATGGGACTTACAAGATATTGCAAGTAAAAGAAACATTTTTTTCCTATAAGAATGCTTTCCTCTTCAATCAGACAACAATAAATTCAGCCCTCACTCAAGACATTGATGGTAAAGATATTTTTACTGTTAAACACTGAGTAGATGTTCTGTTTGTTCGTTGTTTGTAGGGATGTTTTTCTTGAACACTAAAACATAATTCTAGTTCTACCAGTTATACTTGTTGGAAGTCAACCGGGATTACAACAATTACAACAGATCTCGTTGTAAAACAAAATCAAATTCCGGGGTATGAACTAGACAGTCTACACATCTAAATGCAACTACTGGTATTATAAGTTTTATCCAATTTCTTGCCAACAACTGAATGACCGGAGGAAAGCTGTGTTCAAACACTATAATCAACAATACAAACAAGCCACTAGCAGGGTTGTCAGAACATTTTGAAGTAGACGGCTGAGTTGCCAAAGTGAGCGGCCAGTCCAGGTTTATTTTATTTAAAAAACGCCATCCGTAAAGAAATGCCAAGCAGAGTAGCTGACCGATACAAATCAAGTATGCGGTGATTTTCACCCGCAGCCAGGCTACTTTTGACAACCCTGCACTGGCACAGGAAAAAACATTTCCCACAAAATAAACTAAAAGATAACACAGTTTACCAATAATTTCATCCATGAAAACTTGCACTGTGGACAAAAATAATGTGTTTCTTTTTACTTTGTAGAACCTTTTAAAATGAAAATTGGGTGAGTGATATGTTTAAATTTAAGAAAATCACCACTAAAAAATACATGTCTATTCCCTGGTGTTGCCTCCAATGACAAACAATATTTTTAAAGTGATAATATTCTCCCTGGATCAATATTTAAACATCTCTTCTGTCTAAAAGCATTCCTTACTCAATTAAAAGTAGATTTTACATCTAATAGTTGATAATTCAATTAACTCAAAATATTGGTCATGTGAAACCTAGACAAAGAAGGTTTGGACATTTTGAAAGAAAATTCATACAATTTTGTTTTGAATGTTGGTAGATCTAAGCAGAAAGAACTGCTTTCAAAAATAAGCTATAAACTATAAACAAGGGTAATCATTAATCTAACATTGAAAATAAATGAGATGAAAACCAAGGCCATGTTTTATATTGCAGACAGAACTAAAGGTTACGTTTATTCAAAATATTTTACTGTAACAAGGTACTGTCAAATTTGCCACACAAAGCATCTTTTGCATGCTTCCATACACTAACATGATACCATCACTAGCTTCCATTAAAAAGGTCTTGGCGAAAAGGTCTCATTAGATGTTTTTTGTCTAAGTAATATGAACAGTATCATAACAAATGCCAAATGAAAGGAAGTTTTTAGCAAAAGCTTCCTGTTATTTTTACCTTTGATGTCATAGATACATGTACAATATTTACCTTTCAAATACTTGACTTATCACTAAAACACTGCTGACCAGATAAGAGGCTAATATTTTCTCAATAAAAAGAGTGTGCAACGTGGGTTTTGCAAAATTCACTTTCATTTTTGGGCAGGTTTTGTTATACTTAGAATGTTAAATAACACAATTTTGAGAAAAAAAATTCCTTAACTATTAATTCACCAGAAGAAGCCAAATCATATATTTCAAGACACATTATAAAAAAGTTACTCGCAATTATCAGGTTTACATTTAAAATAAAAATGTTAAATTTTAATTATAGCAAAAGATTAATATTATTAATTTTTATGAAACCAAAATTCAGCTATCTTAAATAAACATTCACATCTGAAAAAACATAACAACAACAAACATAATAAATAAATAAATAAATAAATAAAATAAAACAGTTCACTGTACATACCATAAGCAGTTGTGTCATGTTGGCAGTAAGAACAACATTCAGTCCACAGCAAAATAAAAAGCCGGCCATCCACTCATTGTTGTAGCAGTCTTCAGCAGACACAATTTTGTGTTCACTTGATAAGTTTGCAGTTACACGAGCAAATAACTCTTGAGGATATGCTTCAAAACCATCTCCAGCAAAGATAACTTTCCATCAACAGGTTGAATGTTTCAGTTTGTTTGTTGCTCATAAGACAAGTCGCATGGTGTATGTGACAATGTGAGCATTATTAAATGGTCTTACTAAAGATGTTAGTAGTCATAAAAGCATCAAATTAACAAAAAAGAAATGCAAACAAAAATCAACAAACAGAAACAAATAAGATGCATTGACCTTCCTTGCATATGGCTAAACTGATTCAAAATAAACTTCAGGTTGTTCCACAAGTAGCCTTTAAAAACAGCCCCTTTGACCATTTTCAACCTACACTTCTTTCTCAAATATAAAGAAAAGTTATATAAATGAAATATATAAAGTCAAAAGTGAAATTGCAATTTCAAATGAAAGTTTTACTCAACATCTTCGTACACGATTATGCCAAACTATTCAACAAAAGGTGAATATTGTGAACCAGTCAAACAAGCTGGTATTTTTGTGAGTGCTGTCTATTTAAAATGCAATAGACTTGAAACTGCCATATAAAGCAACAGTAAGTTTCTTTTACAATGTCTATTTTAATGTTGTGCAAAGGGGTTGTGGCACATCCACCATAGCGGCGACACACCTTAACATTTACCACTAAGGACAGTTTACCTAACAATAAAACTCTTCCCTGACTGACTTGAAGATTTTGACATTGAAATATATTCATCTAAGTAAGTATTTGTGCAAAGAATACTGGTTTGAGTTTGTGGCAAATAATAAGAAACAACAGCTTAACAAATACGCTAGTCCCTGTTTCAGTTCTGGCCAGTACCTTCCTGCACTTTACGATTTACTGCAAAATTAACAGGCGTGGTAAGCAACTGCCAGCTTCAAAGTAGAGTGCAGTAGGTTTCATTGGTTATTATTATGCACACAAATAAGATAATATAAATAATAAATGCTAATGAATTTTTCACTTTGTGTAGGTGTCTAAATATCAAGTTCAAAAATTACCATAATTGGCAAAGAGTTCTATTTATCAGTATCATTGTTTGAAAAATTATATGCAAAAAAAAAAAAATAAACCAATCTTCAAAAATCAAATGTAATCAAATGTACCTTAGTTTCAATGTGACTTTTCAACTAAACCAAAAAGAATTGAAAGCTTTTCTTTCAAAAATTCTGTCAAAAAGTTCACATAAACCAACTTTGCGAAAAATAAGTTGTGTTATGTAATACAGTTCAGGTAAAGGCTTTACATTGTACGATAAATGATAAAATGAATAATAAAAAATTAATAATATTGCTTATTCCACAGCAACTGAGCCAAATTTGCTTTGCATTCTTTATTATGTTGTGCCTGAAATGGCCACTCTTGGTCAAAATACAATTAGCAAAAATCCACCTGGCCTTGAAATTAAAACTTTGTGGTTCTTAGTGTAATTCCTTGACAATGATGAAAGGTTGACACCAGCATCTCTTTCATCAAGTAGACTCCCAGTTGAGCAGAAATAACATTCAAAAAGAATATTTAAGCTTCCGCTTAAGAAATTAAAAAGATAAAACAGCTATATTTTTGCTATATTAAGTAACACTAAACTAGAAATATGTACTAGGCATCATTAAAAAAAAATTTTGAGACATAAAGAAAATCTAACATTCCAAACTGATGATCTTTCTTATAAGGAAAGTCACACAAAGGAAAGTGTAGTAATGTTATTTAAATGCAAATATAGGGGCATTGATGCACTTAGAATAGTAGAGTTATTCATTCTTCTGATAAGTACACAGACTGTTGACTTTTTAATTTCATATTCTTGAGAGCTATGTAAAATGCAGCAGTGGAAAATGGAAAAAGGTAAAATAATTCCTGGCACTGCACAGTTGTTTGAAAGAAAGTAGACACTAACTGAAATTCAAAGTTGAAGAAAACTTTTTTCAACCATTCAAGTCCAAATGTCAACTTTGTTTTAATCCAGAATAGATTAAAAATTCTTAAAGTTCAAACAAAAGCAAGAGTGATTTTTCCAGCCTCATAAAAATACAGTCCTTGGACAAAGAGGGCAAACTGTGATGTTTGAAATCTCTCCAATTGCTACTACCACTTTGTCAGGTCATATGCATTAAACAAGACTTTCAGAAGCAAAATGTACAACAGTTTCTGTAATTCAGAGACAATAGAATATATACACATGACCATTTCATCAGTGAAAAACTGCAACACTTCCCTTGGCCAAAACGTCCGGGAAATTAGAGATCAAAAAAGAGTTCCATGGACATAAAAAATTCTCTAACAGCTACAGCCTGTAACAACATTTCGAGATCAGCAGGGATTCCAGGGATGTAATTAGTCACGACCAGGTCTTGAGTGCTTTAAAAGCTGGATCATCACGTCAAGAGCAATACTATTTGTATTTTTAAAATTTTAATTTCACAAACATCTGTAATAAAAGATTTGAGTCTCCGTTACTATAAAAGAAAATTAGCTATCAAGGCAAACCCTGATAATAAAATATTCATGACCAAGCTACCTTTCAAGAAGTACAATACGTTATAAGATTCATATACCATTACATGAACAGATAAGCTACCAAGATCTATATAATATGCGCGTTACAGAAACGGCTTTTTTTACAAATCCGACATGTACAATTGAATTGCAGCAGGGCTGTTTCTTAGCCCTGTAATCAATAGCTGGCTTTTTATTTTACCAACAATCGAACAAAAACTTAATCTAACCGATGTTGACAGCTTGAATACAAAAATATAGTTCCTAAGGCAGGATTTTTCAATCGAAACAAAGCCCTCTTTGCTTCGATCAAGCTCAAGTGATATTTTTAATAATTCATTTGACACGGTTAAAAGAAATTGACGTAAACAATGTTTCCGCAAAAGGGTGGATAAACGAATCCTGAAACTAAAAACACAAAAGATTTACCAGTGCAGATACAATGAACTGAATTATGCGAAACATTTGATCTTTTTTCTTTAGCTGGAAAAAAAAGAATCTTAGCACCATGAAATAGGAGGAATGTGCTCAACAGAGGTGTTGTGCTGGTCAGCGCTGAATAAACTCATCTTCGAGTACGTTTGGTTTTAACCCTGCTAGAACTAAGAGCTCCAACATAACGGCAGTGAATTTTTATTTACCATAATCAAGTTAATGCTAGCAAAGCTCTCTTGGCGAAAGCGCAGCACTCTGCATGTTTTAAACATTAAACATGTCAACAAACATAAGGAGCGTCTCGCGAACTCGTTTGTCGCGCAACTCAAACAGTCGTCGTTTGGTTTACTTTTTTCTTGGTTCAGAGAAATTTGGTCTCTTTCGTCTTCTAGTCATTCAAACCAGCAGGGTAGCTAAAACGTTCTGACAAGAGGTTTGTTCATGGCTGCAAGCGCCGTGTCGCAAACATTCAAACAAACGAGGAAATTGTCTTGCTCTAGCTGGTATCGTACATTGAATCTTGAAACCTTGACATCGAAAAGCCAGTTCAGGATTGACAATTCGAAACTGAACAGCACAGCTGCTTCGCTGTGGATGAAAGAGATGTTTCGCTAACTGCTGCCCGTACTTTGAGCGCATTCAGCTCGTGAATTGAGAAAAATAGCGAGTGCAGGTGGCGCGAGTTTTGCCCGCAAGTCGCTCGACTTATCAACAAACATGGTGCTGCAAAGAGGAATCAAGCACAATTTTCAAACTACCAGAACGCAGGGTGAGTTTTGAACAGTTCTGCATTTTTAGCATTAATGTGTTAAGATTTTCTGAACTATCTGTGATAAAACCATGGAAAAATTACTCACCAAACAAAACGACCGTCGCTTCCACTTGCGTACACCAGCCACAAGCAAAGCTGACCGTGACTTTATGACGTCACAGAGAATTAGACGCATGCGTTCAAAGCTAAGATCCTCGCGCGCGCACGATAAAAATCAACACTATCACGCGAAAATTAAAAATATACCAAAAACTATACAATAACAGATTTTTCGATCTCAGCTAGATCAAAAGGAAACTTAGAACTTTCATCGAAACAAAAATGCCTCGATACTATAACATCTGAAAACTTTCGTTTATAAAAATCGCTTGAGTGACTTAAGAGCTTTTAATACTTTTAAACGTATACCTTTCAAATCCCACTCGACGAAATGGCGTAAAAAATACCCAAAGGCGTACATAAAAAAAGTTCAAAGGGCCACTCTTTTACCTTGTAAGGTGGCTTTCAGTTTTAATAAACGATGATAATTAGCGAGAACTGAAGAGCTGCATAGTCAAAATCAAAACATCAACTCGGGTTATTAAATATCAAAGATCTGGTTGATTCTGTTTATGACTATAATGAATTTGTTGTCGAGTAAATAGAGGAAGCAATTTTTAATTTTTAATATTTAATTGTGGATTTGAGAAGAATCTTCGTTAAAACTTGTCCAGCTGAATTTCTACTATTCTGTGTGTTTGTATGTCAAGAGCCATGTTAAATGGGACTTTGTATGTATGTTTCCCCTCTGGCGATCACCACGCAAAGAAAAATAATCGCCCAACGCCCAAAATAGCCTTGGTTTTGACAATACGGAGAAAGTGGAAACTAAAAAAAACCTCCTTTAATCTATCGTTAGTTATTTTGAATCTAAAATTTCCTTCGGGTTTTAGGCCTTCCCAACCCCACACTAAGAGAGCAAATTTTACTTTCAATATAATAGTGGTCCGGAAACCGTTTTGCTACTATCTGGTATTGTCGTTCGTTGCTAGAGATCTACCTTGATATAGCCTCGATTCTTTGTTTACTCGTGATTTTTTATGGGTAATCCATCAGAGTAAACACAGTTGAAAATATTACGTGATGCTACGGCCGGGGTCAAATTGAACAGCAAACGCTATAGATTTACTTTGGGCCATTTTAGCTCCAAACGAGCTTTAAGCCCTGGAACTAACACGCTAAAACAGAAAGCAGGAATGTAAGGGATTTCTAAGTTTAAAAATAACAGAAGTATAATGGGATTTTAAGTTGCTTTTAGCAACAGCCTCAGGCCTCTCAATGACCACCTTTGAATTGGCCATAAAATTAAACTGAAGTTGTCGGTGGAAACTAATAGCAACGGACATCAGTCATTGGAATTATGCTGGGAACACACATAGCAGTTACCTTAGATGGTTTTCTCATTTGCATAGTGATTTTTCTGAAATTTCAAGGTGGCACTTCAACGCAGCCATATTCGAAATTTCCATTTAGGCCTATTTTGACGAAGATTTTATATTCGCCGGTACACTTTAATATCTTACCCCATCCCACTAAATAACCACTTACAACTGGAAAACCTGAGTGATAAAAAATGGTAAAATATTTAGATCAGCCGCAAATTATTTCCGGTAGAAATCATCCTTCCAACTTTAAAAACTTGGAAATGAAAACAACAGTGTAATTGAGAACGAGGCTTACCATATCCATCTATTTTCAATACAAACAACTATGCCACTGATATTAAAAAGCATGCTTTATCTTGAGGGAATTCACCCAGCTTTAAGTTGAACTAATGTTTTTTTTTTTCAAAACGCGCTCGATCTATTTCAATGAAACTTTACTTGGATATTCATGTGGCATGTGAACAAATTATGGGCTATTTATGGACCAAACAATCAGAACTTTTTAGCTTTGTTGCATGTGTATGATGAACGGTTTTTGCTTCAAGAACCTGTGACGTAAACGTAACGTAAAAGAGCCAAAATTGAAACACCTGATTGGATGATTTGTGCTTGTTGACGTCAAAGAGGAAATTACCTTTCACCTGTCATATTCCCAAGTATTTAATCATTTGGCAATTGGCAAAATACAGTAGGTACAGAGGTGACGAACTAATTGTAAGAGGCTTTATTATTTACAGTTCAGTGTTACAACTCGTTGGGCCTACAAATAAATCTACAAAAATCAATCATTTTTATTTTAACTGAATCTTCGTCAAAGTTAATTGCACTAATATTCCAAGTGTCCCGGGTTATCTTTCGCCAGAGCTTGTGCACGAGGAAAGTTGGAGCCGGTGATCTTCAATTCAAGATTGTGAACAGTTTGGTCAGAATGCACTAGGCGAATCTCACCGAAAGTAGACTATATGTTGAATGTCTGGGTTTTGGGATTGAGAAAGCCCTTAAAAATCTCTTGTTCTAATACAACCTGCCAACGCTTGTCAGTTCTTCGCCCCTGATTGGCTGATCGCATGAATAAACACTGAAAACGTCGATCACGGTGTTTTCGTTCTGGCTTAGGAAATCTTAGGGGTAACTGGGCTAAAAGGCAATTTGCGCGATGACGTCTTTTTACTACTAAGACCAAGGGAATAATTCATTTCGTTGCTTCTTTCATTTTTAAATTTGGTAATCTCAGCGAGGTTTAAATAACAAAAGCCCTGATTTGCACAAGAAAGCAATACCCTCAAGGATTCTGTTGTAAGTAGCAAAACTACGTCATTGTGCAAATGGCCTATAATGCACAACGGCAAAAAGGGACATAATTTGGCTATTTATATCGAGTACCATTGTGTTCATCTTAGATGCTCTAACAAAAGCAGACTGTTGTATTCAATGGTTCAACCAATGAGGTCCAAATTATTATCAACGCATTATTATTGAGGCAAAGGGGTCACCGTCCGAGTGCCGCGCTACCATGGAGACTGACATGAAACTGATTCCATCACATGGTCTGAGTGGGATTTGAATTCGGTTCATCCCCAAGTTTTGCTCAACGGATCCTCTACAGGACGCTGGCGGAGGATCTGGGAAGAGAATGAGGCTGCTCTCGCTTCCAGCTGCTTTGATCTCCTCAGTGCAAAAAGCTGATTGCATCTATACAAATATGGCGAAAATTAAACAATAGATTGCTCCACGCCTCCGCAACTCTAGCATCTCCGCCCACAAAAAAGTCAATCAAACTTAATAATAAGCAGGTGTACAATTAATTGAACAGAATAATGAATTACTCCTTTAGCAATTACGCCCCCTGAGGAGCAAGTTTGTGGGCTGCTACAATCTTGGACAGAATAAAATGGAACAGCAAACCCCCATATGGACGTTTACCTCGCTAATATTCCAACAATGATGAAAGACTGAAACTTTTAATAAGTACTGTTAAACTGTGTAGTGCACTCGAAGTTCGTTAAAATGATGCTGACGTGTCGCAGACGATTTACAAAATGTTTTTATGCGATCTAAGATGTTTGTGACGGTTATCAACGGTTACTGACGATTAACAGATAATTGAAATAAAAGTGACTTACTGTTTGTTACTTTACTGTAAAAACGACAAAATCGTGAAAAATCGATGAAAACCGTTGGCAATCGATCTCTTGTAAATCGTGCTAACCTTTATGTTCGTCAACATAAATCGCGTCATGATTACTATACTAACACTGTAAGTAACGCCAGTTGGACTCTCGGACATGTAGATAGTCCTAGAATAAGATGTAATGTAAGCGCACCTCAACTCCGAAATGTAGACCGCGATTGGGTCAGTCTCTATCCCACTGACTCCCTTTCTTTTGATTTGTTTACGTCTTGATGTTTATCGGTTGCTTCATCTTAAAAAATATTGCCAGATAACTAACGATTAGCATTGACGCACTTTCTCTTTCAATTCGAACGCAGCTTACGCAAATTGTCGAGACAATTTAACTCCTTTGGACTTAAACCGTCTTAGACACTTAACTCATTTGCCTTAATTGGGAACACGATTCAGCGCTGTGATGGACCAAAGTCAAGTTATTGGCAGAAAGCTAGAGCTTTGGACCTACAGGGTATTTTAGTTTTGACTTGAAATTCGCACACATTGGCATGGCTAAGGAGATTTATCGTTCGATCGACCACGACGCCAACAACAAAAAAAGAACAATGAGGAAGTCGGAGGCGCTCTAAGTTTTTAGTATCTGCTTTATTTTTAGCATTTTTGAGTAGCTTATATCTATTTACATTTTTTAAAGAAAGATCAGCGAGAGAGAGAGAGAGAGGAATTTTTCATCTATACACACAGAAAAATTGTTCGTGTCACCACATCTCCAGTGAGTCAACGGATCTAACGAGCTCAGCCGTTTGTATTGATTTTGTAGAGAATTCTAAGTTATCTATCCATTCGTTAATAAACCTGTCACTTCTCGCCAGATTTTGACTACACTGAGCAGTCTCTCTTATTTATTCTTAGTCCGTCGAGCGAAAAAATAACCACGCGCGTGACTGAAGGAGCGAGACGAACGCTCCCCTCACTAAATTTGAAGAAAAAGAGAGACTGATGGCAGTCTATTATCCCAAATTGAGAACAAAACAGTAAAAACAAAGAAAATGTGCTATTTCTGATTTTTTTCGTTATCTTTCCTTGGGTATTAAGAGCACATTAACACGGCCAAAGGCACGAGAAAATTCGTAAGTGTAGTGCGACATGTATTTTTCTCACCACGGTACTTCCTAAGATGTGTATTTTACTGAAAGTGTGGAGAACAAGTCAAAAACAAGAAATCTTTTCTTACGGCGACTGGGAACTGCCTCGGTTGCCTCTCATACCGGCTACAGACGTGATCAGGAATAGAGAGGTTAAGCATCACGTTTAGTTTACGTCAAACGGCAAACGGAATTTGTAGCACGTGACCAGGTTTCCTCTTTACTTGTTGTTTTAATACTGTTCATTATTTCTACGCATAAATAAGTAGTTTCATGCACTTTTCTATCCATAAGAATTATTTTGAGCTGTTTTTATCTGAGAATTTCTCAACTTGAATCTGACGTTTGCCGTTTGCCGTATACGTGAAGCTTAAACTCTCTAATGAGAAAGAAGTGAAGTCTGCCACAGCTTGGTAAGCTTGTTGCGGCGAGTGGGAGAACCATGACAATCTTGTTTCAAGTAAAATTTGAACAAGGAGCAGTGCTTCATTTTCGTTAGTCCTTCAATAGAGCGAAAGGTGGTAGAGACAAAAATGGCCACGCGTGCAACTGGGGAGCGAGACGGGAGAGGCAGACGCCCTCGCTTCTCGAGTCTCGCTCGCTTCTCGCATGTTACGAGTACCACTATACCACTTGAAGAAAAATGAGAAAAAGCTGGCAGTCTATTGAAAATGTGAAGAACGCAGTACCACACTCCATGGGCATTTATCGACACGTGTGGATTATTTTCTTATTTTCTTTCCTTTCAACCACGTTCTCGTTTTGTTCTTAAAGATGTCGGCTAACAGATATCCGAAGAATCAAGGTATCTTGAGGCAGGAAATATTAAAACCGTCTCCTCGATGTTTCGACACAAACTCTAAGAGTTTTTGCTTTTTCTGAAGGCTGTAGGAGGATTCCAGTTCGTAAATGGTGCATAGATTGAAGAGCAGTCCTTCTTGTAGATTCGTTGTAGGATCCGCCCAAATTATTCTCTCCAGCAACGCAAGCGCCTGAAGGATAGTACAATACAACATCAAGTTAAAAACTAGCAAAGTGTAATGTATGCTACAGTAGATTGCAGAACAGAAAACAGACGAGCAACAGACGTTTGCTCCCCGTTTGCTGAGGCGAGGGAAAATCAGCGCACACGTGACGACTGACTACACGTCTGATTGGTTAGTGGGGTGTTCCCAAACGAAATCATCACGTTTTGGGCAAACGGCAAGCGTTAGTTTGTACCACGTGACCAGGTTTTTCCTTAACTTGTCGTTTACTGTTTGCTACATCTACAGAAAGATGGCAGTTTGTAAGGTTCGTCCGTAAGAATAATTTGGGATAGTTTTTACCTGCATATTGCCTAGTTGGAAAGAGTGCCAACTAAAATCTGACCGTCCGTTTAGCGTTTCGCGTAAACGTGATTCCGAGGCTATGTCTATATTATTCCGGATAGCTTCTCGTGTCGACACGAAAAGCTATCCGGAATATTTTGAACAGCAAAGGCCCGAAATTGAAACAAGTCGTTCACACACATCGAAAATCGATCAACATCGTGTAGGGGCGGTTGACCGAGAGGGTTTGGTGCACTCAATCTCAGCCCTCACTCCTGAATATTTACTTCTCTCTCAGTGGGTTCTTCCGCTGCGGTACCTGTTAACACTCCACCGAAAAGTGGCGCAACTTCGCCCTGTTACAGAAATCGCGCCGAAATCACCGGTCTTGTGTGTAAACAGAAGCCTTAACCGGTATGATTTTCGGGGGGTGGGTCGCCTTTTCTCGCGTGCGGTGATTTTCACGCGCGCTCGCGTTTCGCTCGCTCTACTATTCCTGAGGAAAAATGGGGGACTACTCGTAGTCTAGGATACAAAAGAGCGGAACAATTTGGTCAAATGGAAAGGGACATTTCAGTCCGACCGACCGAAATGACCAGACCTGTCAAAGAGGACCACCTTCAAAGCTGGTCCCGATTATTCCGATCGGACGAAACCGAAATGGTCCGTTTCATTCGACGTAACAACTGAAACTTCTGGAATTTTGGGTTGAATGGAAAGCGCCCTAGTATTATTGAGACAAGCTTGCAAATAACTACTTTAATACTCAACTTACCGATACCTTTAAAGCTATTTGCTTACCTCCTTTAGTTTTCCGAGAAAAAGTAGACAAACAGCTACATTATTGACAGCCTGTGTGCAAAAACAAAGACGCAAACAAACAAAATTAAGGCAATTTTTCTTCAGACCAACTCTAGACGGCAGATAGTCTTAAAGAGCAGGCAAAGTGCTTACCACGGAATTCTGGGGATCTAACTTGGTAGAGGCTATAAAATGTCTATGAGCTTCGTCAAATAATCCAGCAGACAGAGCCAACAAACCTCTGGAATGCAAGACAGGATGAAAAAAATAATAAGGAATAAATAAATTTGCGGCGATACATAAAATATCAACATTTTATAACAATTTGTCATTTGTTGGTTATGTATTGTTGCGCTTTGAGGGGTGGGATGGGGGGTTCATTAACTATTGATTTTATTTTGCATTGCTATGGAATCATGTACTGGCGAAACTAAGCCCCTGTTTACACAAATGCGTTTTCGTTGTCATCGAAAACACATGGATCGATTCGCTTCCTCACTACCATTTTGATGCGTTTTCAGCTGTCCACACTAAAACGTTCGAAAACGATAGAATTGAACGTTGTGACGTAAGTTGAACTCTATGCGCGCGCACCTGTGATATTTTCGGTCATCGTTTTCATTGTGATACGTTTTTTACCGTTTTCGACCGTCCAAACTAATACGATATGTATGCGATTTCATTTTGATCCACTTTCAAAAAACTCTCAGCGTATTAGTGTGGATGGAAGGCCACAACGCATCGAAATGTATGCGTTTTCACTAAACGAAAACGCATTAGTGTGGACGAGGCATTTTCTCAACCAATCAGGGGTTTACAAATGTAATTTGCTACTGTAGCTACTGTTTTAGAGTCTGAATTCAACAGCCACACTTGTAAAATTTTTTGTCAAATTGGCCTCAGCGGAAAATGCCATAATATTCTTTAAATTCCCGTTTGGGTGGTGCTTCATGTAAACCCGACTTTTTCAATATCTTTTATTCTCTGCACGATTTGCACGTGCAATGCATCAGCGTCTCGTACATTTGCATACACTGCACGAACAGTTCGTGCAAACAACAAAAAATACCGCAAAAGTAAGGTTTACATGAAGCACCAGATAAACAGCAGGTTAAAGAATATTATGGTATTTTGCGCTGGTGCTGGAAACGCCGTTTACGAGTGGACGGAAGGGCGGCTAAAACGGAGACAAAAATCTCCGTTTTCAAAAACACCTGGAGATGCACACGTGTGGACGGGGACTACGCTTTACTGGACAAATTCAAACAAATAACTGTATTTGCCAATCCAAGCACTGAGTTGGTTCCTTTGTATAGGAGGCCTATACGCATCAGAGATAAACTTTTTTAGCATAATCTTACTTATTCATGACTACGCTGCTGAGTGACTTTGGATCTCCACTGGCCTTTGATTCCACTTGCTTAAAGTAGCTTTGTGCGGCGTCTAAGTCTCCAAGCTAAAAGAGAAATGGGGTTTCTATAAATTAGGCGACTGGAAATCCTCCAAAACTGTTGAGGGTATTGATCGGTGTATGTTACCACAAAAATTTAAAACTCGTAGTGGAAAAAGCATCTTTCGTTTACAAAAAAAGCGAACGATCTTCATGTTGGCATAAACTTAACGAAAACTAAATGGAAAGTTTTGCATTTCTATTATGAAACAAAATTGCTCTCCTGTCCTGTAGTTTCAGTTGAGATGAGCGGTTTTCAACCTCTGAATCTCTTATAATATAGTGCTAGACTATTTAATTTCATTCTGCTCTGTACTGCACTTTACTGTAGTTTCCTAGGAGACTCTTTTCGCTAGTCAGAGGAAGATTAAGCGGCAACGACGACGGCGAACGGCAGCGACAACGGCAAAAAAGGCCAGAGTCCCATATTGGGTTTAGTTTAGCAAAACAAAAACTTTGCACGTGCATCAGAGGCCGCTTTTTAGGAACATTTCTTTGCCGTCGTTGCACTCCCGCCTAATTTCACGTCTTTTTTGAGGACGTGATCACAAGACAACAGTTTTCTTTTTCTCTTTGTGAAATTAGATACAGTTCAGTCCTTTAGAATTCAATTCCAGAAAAGAATCACCAACATTTGACAAATTAAGAGAGTTGGAATAAAGGCGATGAAGTTTTAAACAGCGCGAAAAGCGTAGTTTTCGCTGCCGTTGCCGTGGTGGTTGCTTGATCTCCCTTTTATCTATTTACTCTAGGAGTGGCTCACTTGTAGGTAAATTCTTCCAATTCCAGATAACATGCTAAAAGTGGAGGAAGGATCCCTAGCCATGATAGACTCAAACACAGCAACCGCCAGGCTGTAATCCTAGAAGAGAAAAAACATAGGCAGATGAAACCGTGCATCAAATCAATTCGGGGACCCGTTTCTCGAAAGTCCAGGTAACTTTTCGGGTCCGAAAAGCTGATTTATGTTTGCCGCGTTTAAGTTGAAGATCAAAGTTTCAATGATTTGAAAATGATACAATGAAACTGTCAGTTAACGAAACAAAATTGACGGGTTTGTGAGCTAGGAACTGTGCTATTGAACAAGTTTAAATTTTAAAATTTGCCTTCGGGCCCGAAAAGTTCCCGGGCCTTTCGAGAAACGGGGCCCAGATCAGATCCAGGAAAGAGGTTTCTAGTTTCCAGGTTTCCAGTGAAATTGATTCAATTGTAACATAGAGTCAATGCCCATCAAGGTGTCAAAATTACCCAACAACCCCCCTTTCGCTCCCACCACGGCCACCTTCACCAAAAACTGACAATGTATATGGTATGTGATGTAGAGGACCTGTGATGCATAAATGAGGAGAAAGACTGTTTCATCTAAACTCCAGACACCAAGAAAAAGTTGAAAAGAAGTCACGAGTATCTGATTTCTAAAAACTCCTTAGCGAGAGTGATTTTCTTTGTTTTTCTCAATCAGTGCGGGCTCGCTTTCCTAGAATTGGTTCCTTTACGAGGTAGTCTCTTTAGCGGCCGATCTGGCCGAAGTCATGAAACGCCCCAGTCCATATCCCACTGGTGTTGTTCAATTCCGGAAATAACGACAAGAATTCTTAAATTGGCTTGAACGTGGCGTGACAGTGGCTTCAGATGACGCGTCTCCTCTCGCGTGCCTCTCGGGCGTGTACTTTTCACGATATCCCCCAAATGGAGAGCTTGCTCGCAGGCTAAGGAACAAGTGGCAGATAGTGGGGCAAAAACACGCGCGACAGGTGGGAAGCAAAGCAATTTTTTCTCAAAATTTGCCGAAAAGGCAGTTCACTTTTCTCATGGAATTTCGGCTTCTTAAAACAACATGACCGAATCTCGTTTAACTGAAAAATCCCGAATCCCGGCCTTCAAGTAACTTTAAGTCCCGGATCCCGAAAATTTTACTTCATTCTAGGCTGAATAGCAGCAACCCCTCATCAAGGCACCGCTGGTATTTCATCTCACCTTCATTCCAAGGAAACAGTTTCCTATTGAATAAAGAACTCGCACTTCTCTGGCGACCCACAGCTCAATAGCAGCTGAAAATTAATTTCCATTTGAATTATTAGTTACATTATTATTCATTCAAAATATTTCGCCGTTCCTGATTCATTGGCTCCAATCCCCCGGCTAATTCTTCATAACCAAGAAGCGCAAACTATATTTGGAAGATGGAAGCAACATACCGTCGATTCGGTGGACTGGAAACAAGGCTGATCGATGGTATATTTGAATGGAAACGAGGCTTCTTGGGCAACAGTGAACTAAAAACAGTGGCACTCACGGCTATTGGAAGACGAAATAGCTGAATTGCTGACCAAACTGAATGGAAAAACTGCAAGAATTCGATGGATGTTGTCTACTTAACCGCAGCAGGGTTAGCTCAGTGGGTAGTGCGCTTGACTGCAGAGCGAGAGGTCGCGGGTTCGATTCCCGGGGCCTGACCAATACTCAGGGTCTTAAAATAACTGAGAAATGAAGGTACTTGCTTTGCCCTGCAAAAGGCTAGACCTTCGGATGAACACGTAAAATGGCGGCCCCGTAGTGTCCCCAATTAGTACTTTCTTGCTAAATACATTGACACTCAAATAAAGTGCTTTTTTTGACTTTTTGAGGAGTATCTGCAAGGTAAAAGATTTGTTTATACCCTGAAACCGTGACAAGAAATAGGCCAAATTTTTGAAGAAAGTCTATGAGGAGGTACGCACGTTAAGAACTTAGAAATATTTTGAATGAATAATGAAACAATTATTGAATTCGGCTGTCGTACCATGTGAAGAATTATGCAGATCTCGGAGGATGAACATTATCCACCTCGACAGTGCTTAATTCTTTACATCCTACTCAGCTTCATTCACTAAATAATTGCCAATTATCCCTGAAAAGCCCTATAAAGGGTGACGATAATTATGTATGTTACAGCTCAAATTTGATTTCAGGTTAAAAATTTTCAACCTAGGTTGATTCTCAATTTCCTTTGTTTTCTAGGGCTAGGAGACACGAGAAATTGAGAATCAGCCTTGGTTCAATCAAAATTAACATGAAATCAAATTTCTCGTGTAGCATATATATATATATATATATATATATCTGATAGTAAATCAAGACGATTAATTTAATCTGAACTGTGAACAAAAAACATTAAGCATCGGCTTACCCATCTTATATTCAGGTGCCATCTCCCCCTGGCTTCCATCCTCAGTTAAATTCTGCAGCAAGTTTTCTTGCACTTGAAAGCACGTCCTTTGCAGCGCATACAGATTATCCAAAGCATCCCTTGGTCTACCCATGTACTGTGGAAGCTCAGCCTGCAAGATCCGCATGGAAAATGGCACCATGGATCCTACAAAGGAAAGAGTCATATCTGAAGGAACTTTTTCACTGTCACATCTTACTGTTCAAACATACATGTATTTTACAACAACAACAGAAAAATTTACTTAGATTGGTATAAGTTTTTGGCTAATAGTCTCAAGCCTTTAAAAATAAAAAGTGTAAAAGAACGGGACAACGGAATAAATAAAATGCATCTACAGTAAAAAAATGTGAGTCAGAAAAAAAGAGGATGGATAAAAATTAATAAGGTCACAAATTTAGTAGAAAAGAGGATTTTTAGGATGTGGATTGGGGTTTAGGTCCACATAGTAAGTTTTGTCAGTGTGCCATGGTTTTGCAGTCTTTTAAACTCATGTAGTTTCATACATGTCACTTACAATAGCATAATTTTTTTTATAGATACCAACAGTACATGGTATAAAATATCAGAGACACTCCTTGCACATTTCTGGCATTTCATTACTGGAATTTCCTTTTTTTGATTGGAAAGTATCTGCCTATTTCACCTTTAAAATCAATGGTTAACTTTCTAAAAGCAGTGCTTAATATTTTGACACTAATGACAACCATAACACTCTTTTTTCTTCTATAAGATTTTTTTCCACCCCAGGCTGAATGTTCTTATTTTCTGGCTATTTTAGGCTGAAAATAATCTTGTAGTATTCTTAAATTAAAGCTTATAACATTTCCTTTTTAGAATCGATATCAACACCAACATCAATTACAGTAAGTGCAGGTTTTTTCGTTTTGTAGGCTAGTTTTGCTGTTTAGAGAAAGGAATGAGTTAAGAACGTATAATGTTGTATTGTATTCACGGATTTTCAACATACAAAATTATATCCTTTTCAAAATCTCAGCCTGGGGTTTATTCTTTAAATATTCTTAAAATGTTGCAAATTGCAGCCCCAATATTCCAAATTAATACATTCTTATAAAAAAGAGCATACCAGAGTGTTGTACTGAGTTATGGATGCTACATGGAGGGAGATCCAATAGCCTTGCATCTAGGGATGCACTAAAGTCCAGCATATGACTTTCAAATGCCATTCTTCTCAAAAAACATTCATTTATTTTATCCTTTAAATTAATTTTCAATATTCACCTTTCCTGCCAGGGTATGTGTCAGGATAAAACTCATAATACAGATCGGGTTGGTTAAAGCTCCCAAATGCCTCTAACTCAACCTCGGCTGTGCTGAACATCTGAAGTTTGAACAGCAAAGCTATTCTGCAGAACCAAACCTGCCATACAAGGAATGAGCCAAGTCAGTTTAAGTCGGTTAGTTTTGGTTACCTTCTAACAGTGATGAAATCCTTGTGTGTTATTGATGGCTGGAGTTTAAGGATCCCTTGCATAGTAATTTTCCCTTCAAAAGTGTTCACATATTGTGATGCCACATAAAGCACCTTAATTCTATTACCCCATCAATATAATCAAAGTTCAAAAACAAGGATCTTATGGAAGAGCTCACAGAATGTTGCTGCAGCACCCATACATGTAGTTAGCGACATATTTTTTTTAAAAATTGAAAAGCAAGGAAAGTTACTGACTCAAAGTGCCAAGAAATAAAGATTACTCAGTCACCTTCATGCCTACTTATGAAAAAGTATGCAAAGATCTCTGGTTTAAATATGAGGTAAGCATGTATGGCCTACCTGCAATGTCTTGTGAGTATGTAATGCCCTCTGTCCTTTCTGACCAACACCCTGTCCATGAGCTGTCAGGAATCTGGTAGTGAATTCTAAGGCAGCTCTCCAACATTGAGAAGACTAAAGACAAGACCAGGCAATAATCAGTTTTAAGTTCACAGTAACCTTGTGGTTGACAGAATGCTTTCTAATTTTATTTAAGGAATAAAATTGAGAATGTTCCCCTTTTTCTTTTTCACACAAGTTTACCTCGTTTTCTCGTAAGTTACTACTTGCCTTATTTTCATGTTAAAACATGTCAAGACTGTGATTTCTCGCACAAAAAATATTTGAATCTCAATCACACTTCCACAATCTGTAATTACTTCAAGTTAGTATTGAATAAGCCATTTGAATGAAAATCACTTCATAAAGAGGTTGAGAAATGTATAATAACAGAACAAACCAGCAGTTCTCTGAGTCCTGATTCATCCAATGGAACACTATCAACACTCAGTGTCTTTCTGTAATCAGCTTCTTGTCCACCCATAAACTTTGTTAACAGCTCCTTTACCGGGTCTACCTAAATTCAAAGAAAAAGATTACACTGTAAACCACTCTAGGTTCACTAGGCTATTTATTTCAATTACTCAAGATGAAGATGAGCCCCTTTGAAACTTTGGCCACACCGAAATGTAAGCCACTCTACTCTTATTTGCAAAGTAAATCTTCTCCTTAAAGAAATATGCTGCAAACAGTATGCATGACATCTCGCTATCAACATCAAGCCAGGCCAAGCATAACCCCATAGACTAAGGAAATGAATTGATTATTTGAAAAAAAATGAATCCACGAGTCGTTGCCACCATTGGTGATGTTTGACTGCAGCTTCTCAGTATTTCATCAGATTAAAACATCTTTGAATGGATAAAATTGTTATGAAGACGTTAATAAATATTTAAGAAAACGGAGCTGGAAGGAATCTCAAAACTACTTTGTGTCTAAATGTACTGCTCATTACACATGTAGGAAAGTAGAGATGAATCTGATTTCTACAACTACTGTACTAAGGGATTCAACCTTCAAATGATCATTCATTTTCTTTGATGGAAACTTGGGGTGGGGGGGCGGGTATGTTTGACCTGACTTGACTGTAAACCTTGGGCTGAGTTGTTCAAAGCCTAGCTACCTGTAGCTCTATTCCTTGATTCACTGAAAACAGACCAAACCAGCTGTCATAGCAACTTATCTTAATGTGTTAATCACCCTTTAAGCAACTTAGCTTTGGTCTCAACTACAATGTTGCTCCCATAAACAAAAAATTTTGTCCCTTTTGGTTCTAATTTTCTTTTGTTCCTATGAAAGAGACCAGGGACCAGTTTCTCAAAAGTGCCCATAATAACGGGCCCGTAAAGCTGTTGCTGTCTTCATGCAAGATGGAGGTTTCAATAGTTTTGTATCTAATAGTTAATTAAACAAAACAGAGTGGTTTGCTAGCCAGGACCTGTGCTCTTATTCTTTACATTTCGATTTGAATGTGTGTTTTCAGGCCCGAAAAGTTAGTGCGACTTTCGAGAAACAGGCCCCAGGAGACATGTTCTGAGTAGCAGCCAGAATCCCAGCCCTGGGCCCTTAAAAGGGAGTTTAAGATGTCACTACAGCAACGGCAACAGGAACGTCGAAAAAGCAAAACATCAACCCTGCTCATGAGTCATGGTAAATTTATTTGCCTTAACCGAGTGACTACAGAGTGAAATTTTTCTAATTTGATGCATTGTGCAGGATGTGAACACTTAACAGCAATTTTTCTTTCTCTTTCTGAGATTGGACAAGGTCCTTGCAAACTATCATTGGGAGAATACACCTACAATATTATTGACAAATTAATCGAGTTGCAATAATCGCAATACAGTGAGAATGAAGACGAATCCAATTTATAAGTGACGTTTTGGCTGCCATTGCTGATCTAAAATCTTGAACTCCCTAATGACAGCCCTGTGAGTGAAGATACAATACCTGGGGAGATTCAATAACCAGCCCTGGGGAGGTTAAGAACTGCTGACCCACATCTGCTGGATTCAACATTCCTGAGCCAATGGTAACAAGAAACTGCTTGGTTTGTGGATTGCAAATCCATGCTGAGTGCCGTCTTTCAGCTTCAGTTTGTTTTCTCTTCACACACTCCCCCTCAGGGGTTGGTGGTGCGGATGGAGGCTTTGTGGTCTGGGAAATATTTACATCCAGCAAATTAGGTCTGGGAGTTGAATGGTCAGTGTTTGACACTACATTTGCTGGATGTGCAAAGCCTTGGTTGATTTGGCTTGGCAACGGTGCAAGTGGAGGAACATGTCCTTCAGACTGCAAAAACTGTGATTCTGTGTCAGAAGCTTCCTGGGTATTCAGCTCCAAAGGCTCCAAAGGAGGAGGGGTAGGTTCCTGCGTTGGCTGGCCTTCTGATGGTGGTTCTTCTGTGGTCAATGCTGGCACTTCTGTCATCGACTGCAAACTTTGTTGTGCCACTTCAGCAAAAGGGTCAGTTGCACTTGGCGCAAAAATGGAATCAAAGAAATTATGTCCTTCCACATCCCCACTGGCAGTTGTGTTTGTAGAAAACAAGTCACTGAGGGTACGATTTGGATTGTCGGAGGTAACACCTTGAATTTCTACACTCTGAACAGAGTCATCTGGTTCTTTATTACTTGGCGCCATGGTGGGACTTAGCTCTGGAGAGCTCTCATTCATCCATTGACCCTCTTAGTTTAAAGAACAATTTTGTGGATGGTTAGTTAAAATGGCAAGTGATTTGTTGTACTATGTTGAGCATCCGAAACCAGCTTACAGCTGTACCTGCTTCCAACATCTATGGCAATCAATGGTTGGCATGCAATCAATCATTCAACATGCCTATTGACAGTTATGATAATAAATATTACTAACAGTACTGACGATTATTTGAAGGAAGATCATCGCAGTTATATACGCAACTTTTGCAGTTGCAAAAAGAAAGCCTTCTTTCTTTTCGCAACTGCAAAAGTTGCGTATATAACTGCAATGATCTTCCTTCAAATAATTCTTTACTCCGCAGTTCACATATATGATTTTCATATATTCATAATTTCAGTACTGAGATGGTAATGATTTTAAGTTTTTGCCATTTACATGGCAAAACGTTCAACCTACTTGTAGGTTTACCCTCACAAGCAAATCTAGGGTAACCCTTCCCTTGGAATAACCTTTCCTCTCATGTAAACAAAACTGGAAACTTCTTCAATGTAAACAGTAAACAGTGCCTTTTATAAAAGTCATGTAATAAACCAAGCTACAGTTGTTGGGACACTTTGCTATCTTCCTACCCTTCCAATGCTGGTGTGCAGATTTGGTGAGTTAACTGCGATAAAAAACATTGGAAGGAAGAGGAGATGGGCCAGAAGAGGAAAAAACAACGTTCGGTCAAAGAGTTCCAACTATTTTAGGTGGATGCTCTAACCACTAAACTACTAAGACCTCCAGTGATGAACAGGTCATTTGAGGGCTGACACGACAACCTCATCGCACAGTCACATTATGTCAAATGAACAGAAGGGTAGCTAAAACCTTTGGGGTAGAGTCAGGACAGTTTTTTGGAGTAGCAAAACATTAAATCATCAAGACTAGTGACATTTACACACACTATTGACCAACCCAGGGTAAGATCGTGAGACTGGAGATCAATGACTGGCGATTGGCCCATCTCTTTTATCACTTTGAAGGATTCAGGCATCTGATTATTTTATACAATCTAACCTTCAGGACTGGGACACTGCCATCCAAAGACATTATCCATGATCTTAGGGTTTCGATAGAGCCAGTTCTCAAACTCCTACAAACAGAAAGAAACTTTTTCTGAGTTAAACTGCAGTGTCATGTTTTCAACATGTTGTCAACATGCGAGTTGATGACATGATCAGTAAGCTGTTGCCACATTTACTATATAGAGGAAAAGTGCCAACCACCATCCAACCATTTCTGCTAAGAAAATACATTATGTAACTTACAACTTCTATCTTAAAATATGCAAATTCAAGGCACTTATTATTAAACACAAACCTTGGCAGAAAGCTTCCCAGTTTTAGAAACATTGCAGGTTTCAAATGCATCGTTCACAATCCTAGAATCAACAAAAAATTAAAATTCCAACAAAATCAGAACAATCATAAGTTCTTGGCACATGGATAAAGACTAGTCAACTACCGTGAACAGCCTTGTGGACAACTTGCCATAACAGACACCCCAATGCAAAATCAGCAGCAAAAATCATAGAAGTTTGACTGAAATAAAGTCCCACCAGAGTATAGAGGGAGGGAGTGGGAAATATTGGGAGTTCGCTGCCACTGGAGACTTTTCATACCCCTGAGTTTAAACATTCTGCTTTTAAACTGAAACTTTTGAAAATCACACATGGAACAGTAGCTAATCAGAGCCAGGTATACGTTTTTCGTTGTTGCACAATTTTTTACATGTGAGAGTTTGTTCACCTCTCTCCCATTTCTGAGTTACTGTGCTGTTAAACACATGCGAATTCTCAAGTTCAAAAGCCAACTAATGTTTGCATTCTTCGGTGCCATCAATCACCTTAGTGGACCTCTTGGGAAACGTTGTTTACTTCAATGAGTTCAAAAGTCATGGCTTGTGATTTGTGATTGGTGGATTTCAATCCATTAAATGGATTATCCATTAAATAATTTTGGTGTGCTTCTGTGTTCCAAGGTTTGTTATGTGATAATTTTGCAAATATGATTGATGGCAGCAAAAAATGCAATAGTCCAATTTTCAATAGATTAACACTTGGTTACAAGACAAAAGAAATGTATTATTCATTGCTGAGCCACAAGATGATTCCTTTGTTTTATTTCCCCAAGCCTCAGAGCCAAGTATGAATTTTCATATTTTGAAATTGGTCTATTGTAAGCTGGATTTTAAATTTCAGAGTTCCGATGTTATTGAAAGTGCAGTAAGTTACTTCACTCTTTTTTGCAGCAAGATAAGTCTTTGGAGCCAGCCTGAAGTTGCCAGGAACTTTTTATCACCTCTAAACAAAGCATTCACCTTGTAACTGTTTCAATCAGCTTGTCTGTTTCTTCTCCCTCTTCAGGTTGTTCAACTGTAGTATCCTCCATGTTGTCCAGTATGGTTTGAGCAGACTCCAGGGAACTTAACAGAACGGCTGTCAGCTCATCACGGCTAACTCCACCATCTTCTGCCTGTATTCAAAAGTTTACAATAGTTCACAAGAAATTAATTGTGAAAGTTGATTCACAAAGGTTGTAAAAGTGAACCCAACTCCAGCATTAACCTGTAAAAACCCCCTGGAGGGAGAAAAAGAAGAAACAACAAACTCAGCCTCACCTTCAGAACTACAGTGGAAGGAGAGAATAAACTGCTATCACCAATATGCTAACCTTGCTCTGGCAAAAAAAAAACTTAAAACAAGACAATTCTTGTTCTTTCTCTACCTCCCCTCCTCAGCTTGTAAACTAATTCAGCCAAACCTCCTGTAAACCAAACACTTACCTTGACCTAATTTATTCTGGACATCACAAAAACTAATTTATCCAATTCAAGGTAGACAGACTGCAAATTATAGTAATTGTTTATTATGTTGCTGTTTCAAGGCCTTGTCCCTAGTTAGAATTTTACCCTAATTTTAGCCTCATATGAGAGGTTCCAAGATTGTGCTTTTACTGTGGAATCTTTTGGTAAATTGATTTCATGTCAACATTGCATTGTATGTGTTTTAAATTTCCTTACCAGATTAAAGATATGGAATAATAATCTGCATTTATCTTTTACAGTTCCATGGAGGCACAAAGCTATTCCGCCAATAAATTCCTCCAAGTCGATTGTACCATTCTGTAACAGAAAGGAAAGATGGGAAACATTTAATACAAGGCTGCTGCCTAATGGGTGCCCGGTCGCCAGAGGTGTCTACGATCTGCCCTCTGGAGACCAAAATTTCAAACAAGGAGCCCGCACAGGTGCCTAAAACGTTTGATTCTTAAGCCAACTTCCAGTCAACTAACGACAAAATTCACTGCTCATTCTGCACTTGTGAAACAAAAACACAAAACTTTTGGTCATCAGCTGTAGGCAAAAAAATATTCCCACTGATAAAAAGTAAAAAAACAAACACTTGTCTTGAAATTTGCTTCTGTGAGCTAAGATCCCAGGGCTTTCCGCTGCAGTGCCGTTGAAGTTTCTTGTCTGAAAATGATCTTGCATGAATCTAATAGTCTTAGAAAAACCTTCGTTATTAAAATCTTGACCTTTTCCCCAGTGTTTTGCTTTTAGAAATGTTAGGCCGCTGTTGTATGTATCAAAAAGGTGTGATGGGTGTAAAAGCTGGTTTCAAATTATACATGACATTTTCAAATTTTAATTGCAAGCAGTGCACCTGGAGATTTCTTTTAATATTTTATCAGCGTTATCTATGCCTTTCTATGTTTTTCTGTACACACTGTGGTAATTTTTGAAAGGCTCACAAAAACATTAGTTTTTAATTCATGGCAGTTATTCAAAATCAAATCTCTTTTTGATATACACCCTTGCATGCAACACATGTAAAAATTCATACTTTCACATGTTATGCACCAAAAATAAACACATTCTTGATAGATCGAAAGACAGACTTTATACTAAAACAGCACTGTCAACTTATCAAGTAGCTTTCCAATGATCGTTTTCGATCGACATGTAACATCCTGAATTCAATCTGTGAGTGTGCAAGTGATCACAGATTATATCCAATTACTTTGGCATGACTAAAATGTCCTATTACATTATCCTATTAAAGCTGAAATCAGGACAGCTGATAGCCAACCAGATTAGAGAATTTTGCTATAGTAATGATAGCCAATTAGTTTGGAGAATTTATAGTTATGATTAACATTAATAATAATAATAATAATAATAATAAACAGAGACTGCACTTTTAAGACATTCGTATGTAGTGAATAGACAGTAATACCTCGTTTCTGTCAAACGCGTGAAAGAGGCGTTCGGCAATGAAACCAGGTAACCGGAAGCGTTCGGCAAAATCTTGACGATTTAACATGGACAACTCAACCTGTCTGGTGCCATCATCAGTTTTCGTTGAAATCTCGTTGAAAACCGCCTCGATATTTCCCAACTCTAAACTGCTAAGCTTTTTCACCGCATTTTTGTAGCGTTCTTTAGAGCTACCTTGGCCCATTTTGCTGAAATAGCCAAAAAGATTTCCAGGGTTAGGGTCACATCTTCGTTGATTTTGCCAAATGTGTTCACTCGTTCACATCTTTTCCAAATCCAAAATGGCGGCCGAAGGATTTGGTATATGACGTACTTACGCAACAAAAGATATCCGCTGACTCAATACAGCGAAACTGGTGCTCTGGCCGTATTCACGCAAAAACTTCAACACATCATGATGGCGTTTGGGTTTCTCTGTGTACAACTTGTAAAGAAAATAAGACTCGAAGCTTAAGTGTAAATGAAGTTGAAAGTTTAAGTTGAAAGTTGTGTGCAGTATCTATATCTAGCCAGAGTTTTGAGACTCGGCGTCCCGGGGGGGGTACTCCCATACATTACCTATACGGGTATGTGCCGCCCAAAGGGGTCGTGATTTTGAAGCTCCTGATTTAGAACGGGGTATCCATTTAAGAGGCCTTTTCTAGAACGGGGTATGATATTTCGAACGCACGAAAGCTCCACTTTTGTAAGCAGCCGTTTGAAAGTATTCAAGGACAGATTGCTTTTAAAAATACGGTAACAAGCAAACTGTTGTACTCTTGTTGCACCCTAGAACGGAGTATAAAAAATTGGCCCATTTCTAGAACGGGGTATCAGTTTTAGGGCGAATTCTAGAACGGGGTATAAAAAATTGGCCCATTTCTAGAACGGGGTATCAATTTTAGGGGAAATTTTTTCTAGAACGGGGTGCCAATTTGGAGTCCCGGGCGGCACATACCCACCCAAAAAATACCCAAGTGCCCCCCCCCCCCGGGCTCGACGTAAACCATTTCATTTGAGTGAAAGGGGCAAAAAAGGCAGGTTTTTGGGGACCAGGGGAGGTGGGCTCCCATATAAAAGTGAAGGGGATGCTCTTCATCTCGATTTGGGGTAGAAATCGGAGATTTTGGCCTCACTTAGGATATTGTTATGAAAGCCAATATTTTCACCCGATAAAGGTTTCGCTTAGCGTCGGTTGTTTAGAAATATCTATTTTAAAAAAAATCTCTAAAAAATGAAAAAAAAAAGACGGAATGAAATGGAGTCATAGTTGGTGTGTGGTCTCCTTTAGGTGTCAAATAAAGCCTTATTAATTTTCAGTGCTCCGATAAAAACGTAACTTTAACGCTCTTCATATTCCCTAACTCTTGAATCTCAAGCGCCAGATCCACTTTCCTCTGTATCAGTGATTGCTGCATGGGTTTGTTCGGAGCACTTGCTTCTAATTAAATGGGAGACCATAACCTTTTCAAAGTTCCCCATAAACAACCCAAGTCAATGCGTCGTGCCTCTTGTTGTTATCTCTCTGAGCCTGAACCTGCTACAGCCACATGCTATGCGTTCTCAAGGTGTTCTAGAGCCTGATGAAGGTTAGTTTTGCCTAACCGAAATATTAGGCAAATAAGTACCCATCACTAGCTATCCGATTAGCCTTGGCTTCAATTTTAAGTATTATTTTATATTGCTGATCCCTTTATATATGTTTTTCTTCATGTAGGGAGATTAGGTTAGTTTTAAAATTCTTAAACGCACGACCCTACAAGCTTTAATAGCCATAAAAACTATCGTGTTTAAACATGAAAGATAATGCATGTATGTATGTATCTACACCAAGAACCGGCTTTCCCTCGCTGCTGTCCAAAAGGTCCTTGGAGAATTGTTCTGCTGTTCTACATCCTGGCATAGTCGACACATTCTGCACAATGCTGACACGCTCAGATAATCTATATCCTGAAACACGTTTATCTTCAATGCCTGGTCTTGCGCTGCCGTATATTAGGCCTCCAGTTTCTTTCTTTAGATCTCACACTTTCATCAGCTCCAGAATTCACTATTTGCCACCCCTTTTTGTCTGCTTATTTATTTATTTATTTATTATTATCATTATCATTATCATTATCGTTACCGTTATCGTTATCGTTATCGTTATCGTTATGGTTATCGTTATCGTTATCGTTATCGTTATCGTTATCGTTATCATTATCATTAATATTATCATTATTATTTTTATTAAGTTATAGAATTATACCGGGCCCAAAAAATCTTATTCAAGCATGCGACGTAACAATCATTTGCGCGACTTTTCCCCCACAGTACAGTGACGTGAGCCCGAAACTAATTCATCGCGTCAGAAGCATAACTGACGGCATTAAATTGTATTTCGATCAAGGGCGTAATATACATTGCGGTTGAACTGAAAATTATTGATCAGATTTTTTAGTACGTGGGAGAATTTGCGAAATCGGCACTATATTTAAAAACTGATGACACTAATCAAGAACTCAAAACAAATAGCTTTGTAGATGGAGCAATCCGGGGGAGCAATATCAACCTTACAGTTCTTATAGTCCTTGTGGGTAGAGTTTTTGTTTTTTTACTTTTTTAGTAAAAAATCACGATCATGAAATTTAAGATTAAAGTCGGTAACCTCTAGAGGGATTTGTATAACATGAACATGCACGAACGTAAATCTACCTCACATGCTGTTCAGTAGGAAATTTCTTAATAACAAGTGCACTAGAATATTGCCCGTCAGTCGTTAACAGTTTTACCGACTGGAGAATATCGATCCTACTGTGTCGCCAAAAATTCAGTAATTCGCGGTTGGCCTTCATAAACGAAAATTAAATTAAAGAAGAGAGGTGTACAACTTTTTTTTTAATGATTCTCCGTTCAATCCCGTACTGAGGTATTCTGCAGCGTTTGTATCGACACGTGACTAATTTTTCAGACTTCTTGAAAAATGCGCTTTGTTTCAGGGATAGATGGTATTAGGTTCAGTTAGTAAGACAAGCAGCATGATGTCACTTGGTTTACTTAGCGCAACATTGAACAAGTGTAGTTCTGCAGTTTCTGACTCTTGGGGTGTGGGTCACTGTCAACGTGGTAATCACGCCTTAAACTTGAAGTTGTAATTTCCGGCGTCAGTAAATGATTCTCTTCCGCGCGTGACTTCCGCCTTTTTCCGGCACTTGACTAAAGATGCTTAAAATTCAAAAAATAAAGCTTAAATTCGATCATCACTCCAAGAAAAAAAAAACCACGATGATACATATGACACAGCCATGGTTATTAAACCCATACCGGGCTTTAAACACCAGAGGGAGGGGGGGGGGGGCACTCGAGGGAAGTTTGGGTAAAGGTCGAGGTGCTGTCCCTGTTTAAACAAAATTGTTCAATTGTCATTTTGTGACCCTGATTCGTTTCGTTTTGCCAACAAAATTAAGTAATTTTTCAAACTAACATCATGGATATAGATTTTTTTTTGAAACCACAAATGTAGCCTGCTCAACGCCATGCAAACCTTCACACAATTTTAAAGGCTTCTAGTTCAAAACGACACCCTGTTCATAGGCGTCGCCTTTTCTCGCGTGGGGTGATTTTCACGCGCGCTCGCGTTTCGCTCCCTCTACTATCCCTGAGGAAAAATGGGGGACTACTCGTAGTCTACCCTGTTCAAGACGCTAAATAGTGTAATAGTACACCCTGTACAAGACTCAATGAAGAACCTGAAAAACATGTCCTGTTCAGCGGTACATACTGCCCTGTTTAGGCCAAATAAGGGCTCCTTCCGGGGTTTTAACACTGGGAGCCGGCAGAGTGTTAACCGGGAAGAGATGCTTTAAAATATTACTTTCGTTTCTAAAAATAAAGGTTATGTTTAATCCGTAAGATTTTAGTAATTTATATCAAAGATTAAAACAAGGAAGCGGAAAAAAATGAACCTACTATAAGAAAGATAAGTAGATAATTCCACATACAGCTGGTGATCATCAACGTATGCTCAAAAATGAGAATCGGGACAAAATCCTTAAAGAGAGCAAAAAAACAAATGAAATGACACGGGGCTTTCACTACAGCAGGACTAAACAGTCTTAACGGCTTAATACAAAGAAAACAGTAACTAATTATATTGACTGAAAACTCTTATATGCTTCTGGATAAACATTATCAACATATATAATCAGTGGTGTATCCAGACCTTCAGATAAGGGGGTGGGGCGGTCATCTACACCCTGAGAAAAGGGGGGGCGCAAGTCTCAAAAAAAATTTTTTTGGCCCCTCGGGCCTCAGTTTGGTCTAATAATAAGGGGGAAGGCGGCCCCCCCTGGGCTCCTTCCCTGGATCCCCCACTGATAATGTTACAGTTTTACTGTTCAAAATGCTATATATTGTTTCCAAGAACAAATTTGTAACATGAACTATTATTATATCGTTTCAAATTGTTTTTCGTTGTTTCGTTTCCTCTTTCTCTCCGTTAACATCCTTAAACGTGGTGGTTTGTAGTCTCGAAACGTTCTAACACCGCGATTCAGCCTGCTTTTGTTTTTCTACAGCACACAAATTGATTGTCTCAACTTTTGGAAACTGAAAGACTTGCGAGGTCTCTTGATTTTCAGAAATTAAATTTTGAAATTGCTTCTGAGAAAAGGCTCTTGTTCTCAGTCATGACCACGTCATTGGATTAGATGTCATTGGATCAGTTCCACGAATGAAGGAGATAGTCTATTTTTGCCACATTTTGTCATCCGGTCGAGTACCGGTTCACCATTGTGATATTTATAAACCCAATGCAGAGCTAGGACGTTGGTAGAAATCATTGTAATCATCGACCAGTTATGCGCTTTTATACGAATTAAGTTAGTTGGGCAAAGTCTAACTAGTCTTTGTGGTATTTAAAATTAATAACTTGTATCGCGGAATGTTAGTGTTATTGGATCCAAAACAGGAGCCAAATCACAGTAACCCCATAAGAGGATACTCTGCTTACTACTACGATTTTTGATTTCCGCTTTCGACTCCAACTCCGACTCTGTCGCAAGTGAAAACCAGCCTTAAGATTTTCCCACTTTTCGTTTTGTCTACTTTGTCAAAAAATACAGCAAAATACAACTCCTATAATATTTTGATAGTGCTTTTAAATATATGCTGAACGTCTCCTTTGTGAGTGAAATCGTAACAGAATTTATTCGCTTTTCAGAGTTCTTTCTTTTCGGTACCGTGTCTTCTGCTGCGCAAACAGGACTGACGTCACAACAAATCGGATGGAATGTGGTTTTCGAAATTGGTTTTTCAAAAACCGACAGCACAACGTAGATTTTTTATTTTATGACGTTTATGAATGCTGATTGCATTGAAGTTTTTCCTAAGTCTTCGACAGAGAGACCGCCTTTTGAGAGTGAAAGTTACCTGTCACGTGACTAAACACCCCATATTAGTTCCCAGCAGTTCAGCCATGTTTGATGGCAATGTCAACAAGTGATTCGGCTAGAGAAGCTCATCGCGTGAATAAGCCTCCAAATCCACCTTTTTGAGGCCAGATGCCTCCTTGTAGATCTTACTTGCTGGAAAAGGAGTGATTTCCGCTTGGTGCGGATTGCTTTGCGTTGGAATAACTAGAGCTTGGGTTTGCAGGCAAGATGGGCGAGCGACAGAGGCGAGAAAATCTTGAGCGTTACGTCCGAGATCCTCGGAATGAACTGTATATCGAAGGGCTTTTGGTGAGTCAATTGATGCTCAATTGAACTGTCATACTGTCAGGTTACTCAAGATTTTAATTGCTTTGTTTCGTTTACCAGGACGGGATTCAATCGTTGGTCTGTGATTGTGACTTCCCTGCCCTCAGACGTAACAAAAACGTCGAAAACTTCCTCCAAAGATGTGAGTTTTAAAGTTTAGCTGTTGTGATATTTGCTTTTGACAGCTCTTGAGGCTCAAGTCCTGACGTTGGTTTAATTGCCTTTCAGATGAGAAGCCCAGTAAAGTAATCGAAAGCTGCCGTATGAATGCAGGCGACTTTCAGGTTGTGAAAGTCATTGGTCGAGGTGCATTTGGCGAAGTACAGTTGGTAAGCCACTGGCACATAACAACGAAATTGTCTGGGTTGTTTGGGACTTTATTGACAGTTTATAGTTGTTTGTGAGCAATTGTTCTCGTTAACTTTATATTAATTTTACAGTTTTTTGTCTGCTAGCTAAATTTCCGTTCTTTGCCTCTCCATGAACGTAATTTCCTTTGCTAATGTGGTAGCAGATGATTCCTTGAGGCTTGAAAGCTCTCGAATATTTAAACGATACCATGTTATTGAGTGCGGGCTTTATGATCGCTAAGAGCTGTTTTGTCTAGTGAAATAGCTGAAAAATCAATCTTTATTTCTTCTTTTCAGGTAAGGCATAAGGCGACCAAAATGGTTTATGCGATGAAACTTCTCAGCAAATTTGAGATGGTAAGTCGCTAGAAGCTCATATTAATAGCGCATGTTCTAGTCTTGTCCCTTATGGACTCGTTTTTATGTATGATTTGACATTTATAAAACTGCATACCATAGAAACCCCGAAAAATAATACAAAATCACGTTCCTCGTTCGTTACATCTATAGGTATGTGAGAAAGCTGTGCACTGCTTTAGACGCGTGTTTGTTCGTGATATTTTTGTGCTAAATTCGCTTGTCCGGTAGCTATGCTTCTTGTCCAAATGTAGCTAATTTCTAACTGTCATGCATATTTTCCTGATATATCGAAGTTAGATCCCCAACAAGGGGGTAATCCCTTCTTTTTAAAAGCTGTGGTTTTATGAACAAACTGTTAATTAATGTAGACTTTTTGAAAAGTACCGCTACGCTTTTATCCTCGTACCAAAATTTACATTTTCGCGGATGGTTGTTGTTGTCCGTTAGTGCAGTTGTTCGCTATGTTGTAATGATTTCTCTACCAGTGTACATTAAAACTGGTCTTATATATATTTACCTCCAACAACGAGCATATTTGTTTGCCAAGAGTTCAGGATTAGTCTTTAACGTTGTAAACAAATTAGCGAAAAAATCACCCTTGGTTTCAATTCTTGAGATGCCTTGGACAATTTCGGAATGTTGATTTATGCTATTTATTGTTGATTTTTCTGTTCTGCTACCCGCAAGTCAAAACCTTGTGTGTTGGTTGCTCTTTTTAATTCTTTCTACCCCACTGTCGCCGTTAATTACTATTCATATCGAATTTTACAAAGGTTAGGCAACTGCAAAATGTATCATGGTGTAAAAAAGTTAATATAAAAAAATCCTGTTAATGAGCTTATTAGTACTCTGTAGTGAAAAATTGTTTGCCAAGACAGTAAACATGTCTTAGGAGTTCCGAGATAGGTCATGAATTTTTGTGAGCCCCTCAGATTATCTGGCAAAAGTGAGTTACGCATTTTTTTGTGACCAGATCAATAGTAAGAAAAGAGAATAGAAATCTTCTAAATCAGCCAAATTTATAAGTACTTCATAACAAATTGTTTTCATTGGTCATTAAACATGTGTTATGGGTTACAAATCAATCATAAATCAATAATAATTCTTTACAATCAAAAGGTAAAAGCTCAGTGAGTGGAACTGAAAGTGAGGTGTTACCAAACCAATTAATTTGGCATGTTTTAATTTAAGTGTTGAGTGAAATTTCAGTCATTAATATATTTGCTTTATAGGATTTAACACATGACAGATTGTAGAACAGACACAACCAAACTCTTTTTATACTAGATAAAACAGAAAAGGTTCACTTTTAAAAGAGATTTGGCTTAGAGGAGAAAACCTGGTGTACAAATTATCAAAAACTCTTTTGTAACCCAATGTTGTAACCCTTTGGTAACACATTAAGGTGAAAGTAGTCAAGTTAATTTCTTTAATTAGTTAGTTTTTGTTCTTTGTTTTGCCTTGTTTTCACCCACAGTGTAATGAACTTTACCGTGGGTCACCAATAACTGCTAGGTGAAGATATTCTCTGTGCTTAAAATTTCATCTTTAAGTCTTGGTTCAGTGGCCAAGTTACCTAAACAGTTCAGTTGTTTCGCTGCTCACTTACACAGCATTTCAGTCTCTTTTGGAACTAACCCCTTTTAGGGTCAGGCACTGCTCATTTAACTCTGCTATTCGGGTGGTCCATAGTCTTGTATAGGCCATTCCTAATATTGCCGTTACTTTACTTAGTACCTTTAAAATTGATTTCATTTGCTCCGTTGGAGGTTAGACGGTCACTTACAAGGCTGAATGCAAAACCACATTTGTATAGTCTATGATGTGCCTGATAGAGATAGTTTCTTGATCGTGGAATTTTCTTGGAGTTGTTTTCCCTTATTTCCATCTTTACCCTTTTTATATTTTGTCGCAGATCAAGAGATCTGACTCTGCATTCTTTTGGGAGGAACGTGAAATTATGGCCCACACAACAAGTTCTTGGATTGTGAAGGTAATGTTCACATTTTGCTTTCTTATTTAGACTGTAGTCAATCTTGATTTCAGTCATAACTATTCCTATGACTTTTTGTTTTCAATGTTACAAGGGTCTTAAACTGCAGAGTGCCATGACGTGAGAGGAGACATGTTCTCAGTGGATAGCCTTTGCTAATCTAGAGTCCCATTGAGCTAGCATCATTACATTGCAATTTATCTGATTGGAAAGCAGCATGACATTGAAGTTTATTTTTTCATGGGAGATAGAGTATATGTGCAATGCAGAAGAGAGTTTCCCAGAAAGATTATTATTTCACCTTGAATGATTAAAAAATCCTTAATATGACAAAAGGTTTGACAAACTGGACATTTTGATGCTTTATGTCAATTAAGTTTGACTTCTGAATCAACCGTCGAACTTATGTCATTTTGGGTGGACCTAAATAGGTATTACGTTGGTATAGAGTTCCAGGAAATAAACTGTAGTATGTCCATGCAGGAGCTGTGAATAATCAGGTTAAGATCAACAGACTGCCATACAGTATAACATCTGCTTTATCGTGCTTGCTTTATGATACATACACATCAATAATACAAACAAGTGTTGATCATGGGACGTCCTACAAAGTAAACAGTCAATTTGTATCGTAAATTTAATACTAGCTTTGTGAAACCAATGACAGCCCTTGTTGCAAATGGTGTTATAGCACACCACAATAGTAGTATGTTGGTGTCTTCATATGCTGGTTAATGTACTCTCAACTGGGAATTAAAAAAAGAAAATTCCTTAGAAATGCGACTAGTGTCTTTCCAGTGAGCACATCTTGTTTGTTTTCATGAAAACAATAACATATTATTAGAGTTATTGTTTCCATGAAATATCAAGACTACTCTGACCATTACTTACAAATCGTGAATTATTACACTGTTCTCCACCTGAAATTCAACACGGAAATGATTATTTTTTGCAGTTACACTATGCCTTCCAGGATGCTAAAAATTTGTATATGGTCATGGATTACATGGCAGGTCAGTAATTAAGAATTTTGAATAAATTTTCTTCTTTGAGTGGAAAAACCTGAGCATTGATAGGGAATGTGCCAGTCTATTCCAGCTCTGCCCATGCCCCTCCTAACCCTAAACCCCTCTCTCCCCCCCCTCCAGGGATAACCCCTGGGCATTTTTTTTGGTAAATGTGACATCTTCAGCAGTATTTCATTCTGGTCTTTGCTACATAAAGTTAAGTGTGGGCATGATCATCATGTTTTAGCCTTCTTGAACATGTACCTTAGCAAGACTTTTTTCTGTAGGTGGTGATTTAGTAAACCTTATGAGCAACTATGATATACCTGAGAAGTGGGCCAAGTTCTATGGTGCTGAAGTTGTGTTAGCATTGGATGCCATCCATGGCATGGGATTTATTCACAGGTATTCTAGGTTAACTTCTTTAATAAATAAACAGCTAGAAAGTCTACTTATATATTACTTGACCTCTCTTATGATAGTATTGATCGAGAGAATTAGAATTTGATTTCAGTTTAATTTTGATTCAACTTTAGTAGGCAAAGGAAGTTGAGAATCAACCTAGGTTAACAAATTTTAACCTGATAAAAAATTTGACCTGTAATATTTTCAACAAATTTGGTCCTAAAAATTTAAAGCTAATCACTGTTTTTTTTAAAACAGAGATGTGAAACCAGACAACATGTTACTAGATAAACATGGTCATCTCAAGCTTGCAGATTTTGGAACATGCATGAGGATGGACAAGGTTGGAGCTTGTAATATTTCACTTTGATTATAAACATTTTAAGATGGAATCCACGAGGAAATTCAGAAATGTTAATTTTCAGTGGAAAAAACCTTGTACCAGAATAATTTGAAGCATATTGCATTCATTTTTCAAGGGCTAAAGGTGTAATTAGTCATCTGTAGTAACACCAAAGAAAATTTTCTTTCATGTTACTGCAGATGACTAATTAAATCTTTAGCCCTTGAAAAATTTAAAAAAGAATGCAATATTCTTTAAATTATTCTGGTAGAAGGTTTTTGTCCACTGAAAATTAAACATTTTGCTGGAAATTTGGAATAACAATGCAATAATGCCATCAAATTGATGACCGAATTTCTTACTGCGCAAGTAATGTTTAAAGCTTACTTGCCCCATGGACAAGAGTCGTGGCAAGCCATCTTCTAACAAAATCATTAACTGTGAAGAAGAAGAATCATTGACTGTGAAGAAAAGGCCTTGGGCAAGGGAAATGACTAGAGAGCTGGGTGCCCAAAGTACAAGCTAAAATTCAAGTTTTTTTTTAGCCCTGCTGTTTACATGAAGGGAGGAAGATCCCAATTATAGAGGGCAGAACAACTTTTTGTTAAGACATTTCAGTTACCAAGTGGTGGCAGGTGACAATAACAAACATGAAATTTGACAGTGCTTACTAGCATTAATAACCTCCTCTTAACAAAAGCTGGCTGGGGCTTGTCTCTCACCACATTTAGGAGATCTGGTGTGCAGAGTTTTTGACATTGTTTGTTTATTGATTGCTCGCTGCTTTACATGGTGTACATGGTTTACATGGCTGTTGTTTAACAATGCATATTTCTTTTAGCCTTTGTTGTGCCTTACTGTAATACAGAGTTTTGAAGTCTGTCTTCAGATTAACTGTCTGGTTACATAACCATCCAAAGCATTTTCAATTTTAGACACATTTTTTTAAATTGAAACTCATTGGTTCTGGACTGGGACTCATGATTTTTCACAAGATCAGACATATGACTCACCGTAACTATTTATAACAAAATTACTCAGCCTGGATACTGAGAAGTTGTAGCCAAACATGCATTGCTCATATGCATTTAGGAATGCATATGAGCATATTTAAATAGTTGATTCATTAATGGAATCTATGCAGGTACGATTGACCTGGTGTGGCTGTAAATATGTACCTTATCCTCCTAGTGCAACTCAGTTTAAATGGTACAAGGATCTTTCTATCTCCCAGCTACAGCGATGGAAGATTTAGAAAAATCTTTCATGTAGTTCTGGGGCTAAGTACAACCTTTCGCACGTAGACTAAAAGCAGAAATCATATATGATGTAGCCCTAGGATGTTCTACCTTCTTGGATTTTTCATCCTTCAGGTAAACAGTCCCTTAATCAAAGTGAATAACCCTAACATTCACAAATTCTTAACTTGTGACACTTGTAGGATGGTATGGTGAGATCAGACACAGCGGTGGGAACACCAGATTATATCTCTCCTGAGGTAAGAAGTTTGTGCAAAATACACCCACAGTTGACGACTTAATAATTATTAGTTGAGAGACTTAGTCCTAAAGGGCCTTTCTGACTTTTTGCTGACTTAAAAAGGGGAAAATTAAGCTTTCCCTCCCCCAAGAACTTCATGCATTGTTGTACAGCTTTTCAACCTACGAACATCCCAACTTATGGAATGTTTTGTTCTCCAAAGTTACCTTGTTTGAGGACAATGTCTCAACAATTTTTCACCAATTGTAGGTTTGCACTGTAAATCTTTTGTTTTGTTTTTTAAGAAAGTAGGCAGACAATGGATCATAAACTTCAGTTTTGTATTTACAGCTTTACTCTAAAGCTACCTGTACCTCTGTCTGGTGTTTTTTTCTTTTTGATGAATGTTTATCCATTTTAATCCTGAGTTGTGTTGTTTCATAGGTACTCAAGTCCCAGGGTGGGGAAGGTTACTATGGCCGTGAGTGTGACTGGTGGAGTGTAGGAGTCTTCTTATATGAGTTGTTAATTGGTAAGTTTGCTAACTAGCTCTAAATGATTGCCTTGCCATTTAAACTTTTTGTTCTCAGTCAACCACCCATTCTTTAAAAGGTAATTTTTTAAACCAACATGTTAATTTATTTCCTCTAAGGTGATACACCATTTTATGCAGATTCGTTGGTAGGGACGTATGGTAAGTACGACAGAAGAACGCTTGTTATCAGTCAGTGAATTTAAACAGTTATTGAATAATGGTAATTTTGGCACATTCAAAAATTAGCCAAATATCATAAGCATGTTTTTGCACTAAGCCCTTTATTCTTTTCTCTGAGCCTGTTATGAAAATAGATTTCTTAACTTACAAAAATTCCTGTAATAGTTTGTCTTACCTTTTTTTGTAGGAAATATTATGGACCATAAAAATTCACTTAAGTTTCCTGATGATATTGAAATTTCAAAGGATGCCAAGCATTTAATTTGTAGCTTTCTTACAGACAGGTAAGTTAACAACTAACATTAACCATCAATTCTCATTTTTGGGGATTTTATCTTAAGAGCTGTGTTTTGTTTCTGAAATAAGTTTCTATGAATACTTTGTAGAACCCAAAGAATTGGACAGAAAGGAATAGAGGAAATTCAGAGGCATAGATTTTTCATCAATGACCAGTGGGACTGGAACAGCATTCGTGAAGGTAATGACCAGAGTGATTGTTATCAAACCCTTTACCCCTGTTCAGTAACTCCTTTTTTGTGAGGGCTATTTATGGCTGTGCTCTAGCAGTGCCTGGTGGCGTGGCTTCTTACTTTTGCTCATGGGTGACTAGGAAATCTTGGTATTTTTCGTTGAAATCCTATGCAGGGTGCCCTGGAAGTTGCAGGTTTAGAGCAATTTTCCGTAAGGCACAGCCTTGGCTATTAGCTTGAAGCAAGGGGATTATGAGATATGTGTACATTCAATGAGGGTGCGACCTGTGGTGAATAATGACATCACCACAAGCTGAAAGCCTGATAAATGGCTTATTTATTTTTGTACTGGTGAGAAAAAAATGTTCCAAAAATTTACTGTTCACCTTGTTTGGTGATATTAGTGGCATTAACAAAGCTCTAGACTTTTTAACGATATCTGGTGCCATACATGTTGCTTTAACTGGGGGGCATGAATGCCAATATTATTATTAAATTTTATCGTAACAGGGGTTGATATATTTAGTGTCCATGCTTATCAAATTTTTGTGTATCAATGAATAAATCATTACAGCAATTCCCCCTGTGGTTCCTGAGCTCTCAAGTGATGATGATACTACACACTTTGATGACATTCCTGAACCTGACAGTGGAGAGGAGTTCTTTCCCACCCCAAAGGTACATGATTCAGTTATGATAGTTGCGTATCCTCCTAAGCTACATTGCCTGACAAATGAATGAGTGAACAGGCACCTAATGTAAAGCTGTAAATTTTCTCTAAATAAGACTAAATTTGCCTTTTATCCACGAGAACCGTCTTTTGAACAGCGAAACTTGCTTGTCAATAAGATTCAACGTTTTGTTGAATTCCTTGGGCATGGGTTTTTTTCTTTAATTGTTTAACCTAGAGCAAGTCTCACTTTTATTCACTTTTAATTTGTTTTATGATCTCTTCACATTTACATGTGTATAAGAATTTAATGGTACTAAAAATGAAGGAATTTTGTCCCTGTCATGCACACATTTGTATTTGTATTTATTTATTTGCCACACGATTACAATTAGTAACAAAAAGATGCCAAAAAAAAAATGTAGGAAGAAATGGCGAGGAGGCCTAAAGGATACTATAAAGCTCATGTTAATTAGGCCTCCTCATTTACACTGTATCTGAGAAATTAGTGGTCAATAAATTTCAATTATTTTAAAAAATGACTTGACCACAAATTTCCATTGTTTACACTCTTTAAATTGATCATAGAAGTGATATCAAAATGTTCAAAACTTTGCAGTGAAACTTCCACTTGATTTGAAAAGCTTGACATCATCTCTATGATCTCTATGAGTGTAGACAAAGATTGTGTGGTGCTAAGGCAGTGACCACTTTTGGTGATTTGCTGTTACTCCACACAGGCTTTTGCTGGGAATCATTTACCATTTGTAGGATTCACATACTCAGAAACTGTTAGGTAAGGAAGAAAAAATAATTCTTCAGCTACTTTTTGCTTTCTGTTAAGAAGGCAACGTGGCTGAGTGGTGAATGGGTCAGGCTTGCAATATAATGGTCCTAGGTTGGAGATCTTCTCTGACTATTAGGTGGATTTGTTTCTTGGTAATCTCGAGTCCAAATCCTTCAATATTTTTGTCATTAAGAGAGTAAGAGAAAAATTTTCTCATCCACTTGTCCCGTGGACAAGCCCTGTATTAAAACCCAAGAGTTCTTGTCCAAAACGTTTTGCCAGGTTCCTAAGCCAAATGGAGATCATTAAAACAAATGAAATGGCCATGTTATGGCAAAGTTAAAAGGATTTTTAACCTCATTTTGTCAAGTATAAGGTATGCTTTTATGACTGCAAGGTAAATTTTAATTCTACTGTAATTTGAGGTTGATTTTCAACTGTTTCGGTATAATGTGCTAGTCCAACAGACAAGTCATGTCAAAGGTTTGCATGTCCAAACTAAATTTGTACCTGTCCTGGACAATTGGATGTAGGGTTTGGTGCACCTGCATTAACCAACTGGTTTCCTCCTGCCAGTTGGAGATTTTAATCGTGTCATGTTAGTTTGTGTTGAATGGCTGTAAAGTAGATGCTGCAGCCAAGTGCAGTGCATTTAATTATCCACAACTCACTTGTGTGTCTTTTTTTGTTAGGTGGAATGCTGCATCGAACAAGGGTTGTGATGGCATGGTGAGGATGGTAAAAAGAACAAACCTTTGTTGATACTTTTGATTTCCCTTTTGCTGAGGTAATAAGTGATCCCATGAAAACAGAACGTTTTGTTTTCTTTATTAGGATGGCAATCAGTCTGGTGGCGGTGATGAAAGTGGTCCGAAGGTATGTGTTGTTTTCTCCACAGCGTGCAAAGAAAGTAGTGTCTGATAGTCCGTGGCTGGTGGATTTTGCTATCAGGCTAGTGAATTCTGTTTTTAACTTGCCCAACGGGCAAGTGATGTTTTTCGAGGAATTCGAATAACAGAAGAACTGTGAAATCAATTCTGCTGGGCTGGTCAAAAAGCTTTTGGGGCTAGTTGAAATGACCTCTGGGCTAGTAAATGCTACATGTAGCTTCAGCTTGCCCGAATGGCAAGCTATAAGAATAATTTTCTTTGCACCCTGTTCCATCTACATTTTCAAGTTTGGTACTGTTTTACACTTGCTTAGATATCTTGTATGAGATGAACAACCCCTGTAAGTTAGACACACTGTGCAGGGCAAAAAAATTCTGTTCATTTTACTTGTCCCATGGACAGGCACTTACGAGGTCCAGAAAAAAAAAAAACAACAACAACAACACAAAATAATGGTAATAATAATAATGATGACAACATTAATAATAATAATAATAATAATAATAATAATAATAATAATAATAAACTTTCAGTATGTCCTTGTTTTTATCTGTCTACTTCAAAGCAAAACTAATGGCATTGACTTTAAAAACATTTTTTTCCCAATATTTATTTGGAAAGTTGTTTTGTGCTAGTGTATAAGCACGTATTCTGACTAACATCAAAATTTGTGCTGCAGTAGAAAGGATTACTGGTTGGTTTTAGTGTAACAGGTTTATTTTAACAATCATTTTATTATTTTGTATTCAGCTTGAAGCAGCCAGTCGTCGAATAAAAGAGCTGGAAGAACAAGTTGCATTAGAAATGCAAGCTAGAGATGAAGTGGAACATAATTACAGGTTAGGCTAGCTATCATTTTGAAGTCTAGATAGTGATGAAGTTAGTTTAATCCTGAACTGGATAACTGGTGGCCTTTGGTTTTGATAAACTTGACATACCTTGCTGACAGTTTCCTCTGCTTGTAGAACTGTCAGCACCAAACTGGAAAAAGTCATGAAAGAATTAGACAATGAGGTGAGAATTTTTACGCGTGTGCACATTGTATAAATAGCCAAGCATAAACATATAAGTCTAGTGAGGTCCAACTTTAATGTTTAGGCATGACTTTCCATATATTGCCTTTATTTTATTTACACAATAAAGAATTGTGCAACAGTGGAAATCTGTCTTTTCTCCAAAGTTGAGTAAAGGTTTGTGACTCATTGTAAGCCAAATCAGATTTGTTCTTAATTGGCATTATGAAAACATTGCATACCGCAAATGTTGCATGGTTTAGACCTGCCTGTAACACTTCTCTCTAGATAGAAATCTGACTATCTCAATTTGGGTTTGTAATTTTTTTCCTTGTTTATTTTCAGTTGGAAAATAAGAGAACAATAGAATCAGCAAATAGAGAACTTGAAAGAAAAGCTGCACTATTCAAACATGACTTAAAAGAGGTAGGTAATTTATCTTGTGTGGTTTGTTCTCAACTTTGTTGTTTTGCATCATTTCTATCATTATTTTCGTTATTGTATTTAATGTTGAACTTCTAACATTTTTTCTGTTTTAACCCAACAGGTGCAGAGGCGAGGCGAGTTCGAAACTGAAGCCAAGAGAAAGGTTTGTGACTGAATTTCATTTGTTGAAAACAACAGTTGTGTCAGTGTCTTCTTTACTTTTGTTTTACCATGTTACAGTCCTGCTTTCACTCATTGAAAAGTTAGAGGTAATTTATAGCACCTACTGTACTTGAGCTTTTAGTAAGATGGTCAGGTTGCACACCTGTTAAGCTGTAGACTGTACCTTTGAGAGACTGAGTACTAAAAGGTTAAATGATTTCTTTTGGCAATTCAAGAAGCTTTATGTTGTTTTTCGTTAGAATATTCTGAAATTTATTAGCTAGTATTAGCTATGTAGTTTTAAGAATAATATTCGTGATTTTATAAACCTTTTCAAAGCTTGAAGCCAAAGTGCAAGAATTGCAGAGTCGCCTTGATGCTGAACTAGATGCTCGAGACAAAATATCCCAGACCTCACACAGTGTACAGTCAAAGATTACTCAACTGGAGAAACAGGTTTGGGACCTGACAGAAGAGCTGAAAAAGGAGTCAGATGCACATGCCAAAACCAAAAAATCACACAGTGATTTACAAAAGGTCGGTGTATAATGATATCTGCTTCCTATGTCACTGTCTTTATAAGGGTCTTTGAGTAAAATGTAAGATAAGAATGGTGGCTGCTAAGGTTTTTGATGAAATCTATACATTCTTAGCATCAAAGAATTCTTCTGACTTCATCATAACATTATCTATTAATGAATTGAAAAATATGAAAATTATAAATCATATTTTGAACTGTGGATAAAGATATGTGAGTGAACATGATGCTCGCAGTAGAATGAACAACCTAAGTGGTTGAAAAAAGAACCTGAAAACTTCAGGTTTGACCAGGATTAATGTATTAATTTTGAATCTGTGCAAGTGAACAAAGGTTGAGTTTATTGAGTTATTGTTAGGGTCAGTTTGTCTGCTATAGAATGTATGTTACAGGATGAAAACTATTCATTACTCATCTTAAGCTGCTATAACTACTGCAGTCGTTAATGGATCTTAAATACTGTCAGGATTTTATAGTTTGTAGCAATAAATTTTGAAATGTTTCCTCTATTTTACTTAGGGATGGTGTTTTTTTAATTCTCTCTGTAGTCTTACACTGTAATGGAAAGATCTTATGGAGATCTACAAGACAAAAACAGGATTATAAGTGACCAGAAGGTAACACAATGTCTCGATTTAATAGCTTCAGATATGTTTGCGTTTTTGAATCTTGCTTAAAAAGTATTTATTCTTCATGGGAGCAGTTTAGCTCAGGGGAGGGGGTGTCTGTACACAAGCTAGAGCAATTTTGTGTGGGAAATTTATGTTCCTGTGTATATGACCCAGCAAATGTGGAAAACTCATTTCACTAGAAATTGCTCCGAACAGCAGAGACATGCTGATGCATAACATCAACGTTAGGGGGCTAAGATGCTGTAAGGGAAACTTGGAAACCACCGTCAAATCCTAATATATGTAACAACCTATATGCAACAAGTTGTGCACTAAAAAAAGGTTTCCAATATGTCAATTTTTCTTCACCACAAAAAAGTGGTGTGTCAGTATTCCAACAACTACATTTGCCAAATATATAAATGAGGGCAAATTTACTCAACTGCATAAAAAAAATATATATATATATATGCCCCAGGGCAAAATTTCTGGTGTGAACGAGGTTCACAAATGAAGTGAATTACTCGAAACCTTAATCCAGTTGCTGACTTCTATTGTCGTTTTAAACAGCTTGGCTTAGAAAGAGAACTTATCAAGGTCCAAGCAAATCTTGATGCAGAAATGAATATGAGAAATCAAGCCAACACTGCTAAAGCAGATTTGGAAAGTGAGTAACAGTTTTCGCTTCCTTTATGTTGTTGGTCTGGTTGGCCTGACTGTCAGACCTGGTGGCTGTGTTCTTAGCAGACTGTTATTTGCTTACGTACATTCACAGCAGAGCTCCACGCATGCGAAGCCTTATACTTAAGAAAATTTGGTCATCTATTCATCTGAGAAATTTTGGTAATAATGTGACCATATGCCCGTCCGTCCACACCACAGGGAAACCAACGTGAAATGTCAAACTTTCTTGCCAGTTTGGGAGCCTGTAACCTGTGTTTAACTTGATAATAGACATCCATATTATGGTCAATTGACAGCTGTCAAAATAGGGTATCTGCTGACCAAGTCACATGACCGTATCTCGGGCTCCCATGCCAACTCATGGAGGTCATGTGTTTTTTTAAGTATTCTGCTGACCAGTTGTTAGCTTTTAATTGATCGCAGGCATAAGTCAATGTTTTCAGTCATGTTTCTCCCCCAACGTTAAGTATGGAGTTGAGGATTTCTTTGCATTGGTGTAAAGTCTATTAGAATGCATAAATGGGAGCTTCACTTTTAGCTCTGGCTAAATCTATATATTATAGCCTTACATAGATCTGACGCACGTAGTTGTAAGGAAAAATGATCATCAGGTGCCAGGTGAACAGTCGGTTGTTGTCATGGTAAATGAGATCATTGGGAGACTGTGCTATGTGGTGTGTTGGACATGTCAATGTTCAATTTTGTCCTTGGTTTAAATTTTATTTTCCTTTCTTTCCAACTACATTATGTAAAAGCAGAGGAAATTAAAGTTTAAACAAGGATAATACCACCACATATAAAGGTACATTAGTGGTGTTGGTGATATTGTTGATGGTAGTGGTGATGGTGGGGGTGAATATTATGTTGGTGATAACTGTATTTACAATACTGCTCCTGTTGAACGGTTATTACTTGTCTCTTTTTTGAGAGTATAAAAGAGATGTCAAGAGTTGCCATATTCCCACCAATAAAAGTTGAAAAGGGATTATTAGTAAACATCTCTTTCCCCATTTTCCCACATAGGGTTGATGATATGTGTTGTGGTTCAATTTTATCCTTGGTTTGAGTTTTGTTTTCTTTTGTTTTTGGGTATGGTAATATAGGGTAATGAGTTTGAAACTAAGTAAAATAAAATTTTAACCAAGGGTAAAATTGAACCACAACATATGCACTGTGGTATTCACAATATTTATAACCAGCAACATATGTGATCGGTTTTAACTTTCTTGTGTGCTCTACTTGTAGGTCAGAACAGACTTTTAAAAGATGACCTTGAGCAGCTTAAAGCAAGAACTGCATCAGATGCCAGATTACAGCAAAAACTGCAACAAGATCTTATTAACCTTGAAAAAGTGAGGTTATTGTTAAAGTTAAATTGTCCAGTGCATGAGTTGACTCGCTCCTCTCTCTGGTTAAATCAACTGCTACCCTAGTTTGTATTTGACGTCTGGCTTTGAAACATTACTGGTTACTTTTATTCTCGTTCACAAATCGTGACCCATGAAAGCAGAATAGAGTCCCGACAACCACGAGAACGAAATTTGATTTTAAGTTTTCGTTGTTTATTGTCAAAAGATATACACCCCTGAAAGCTTTACTGTCATTTTTATTGAAGGAGGTTAAGGCCCCTCCCGATCCTAAACTGATAAAACTTCTAACATTTAATGACGTGGGTCGTTTAATGGCTAATCACATCAACAAAAGCCGACCATCTTGTTTGGCGTTACCACGAGCAGATTATCGTTATAATTCTGCTGAAAAGTAGGTTTTAACGCCGGTTAAGAGAGCACAAGGGCCCAGATGGCATTTTTGTTTTTGTCGCCCGCCATCTTTTTTCCTCTTCTAACTGGTAACTTCAGGGACCGAAATTTCTTTAATTATAAAAATCAGTTACCTATCAGTCCTCCTTTTTTAATCGCAGTATTAAATTATGGAACCAAATATGTAAATTAATTGAGCCCAGTGACTTTCTAAACATAAAGACTTTTAAGAATAGTACAACTAACTTTTGCAAAGATGAATTAGCAAATGTCTTTGAACCCACTAAACCATGTTCATGGGGTCTTGCATGTAATTGTGGGTGCCACTGGCAACAATAGTTTAATAAGCATTTCTTAAGATTTTTACTGATTTGTTTGGGAGGTGCCCTGCATGGGACTCCAGGTCCCGTTTGCACCTTACCTTTTGGTTCTTTTTTTTGTTACTGTAACTATTTATTTAGAGAGACTCAGACCAATAAAGTTGATAAAACAAAACAAAACAAAAACAAAACCCAACCAAAAGTTGTTCTGCCTTTTAGGATTTTCCTAGTGCTAGGATCTTCCTCCCTCCAGATAAACAGTCCCTGAGAATTTATAAGATGAAGACGGGTTAATAGGTGAGCTCAAGGGACATGAGGGTACATTGGCCATAATTCGTTGAGAGGATGACGCATCCAACAGTTTTAACTTAAAGGGTTTCTTGTTTGTGTCTTGTGGAGAAAAGAAACTTGGGTTCTACTTCTTGCACTTAATGTTTTGTTTGTTTTTTTTTTTAGGCAAAGGCCAACACAGAATACGAGCTCAAGTCGACAAAAAGCAAATTTGAAAAGACTATGAATGAGTATAAGGTATAAATCATTTTCTGCATTTGTGTGAGGCCGTTTATTTCAGTTTTTGTGATACGTTCTTAGTATTTTAATGGGAAAAATCAGGAGTTGAGCATTGGTTTTGTTCTCTCTTTCAGCAACAAATAACTAGTTTCCAAACAGAAAAGAATAGATTATCACTGACTCTGGAGGAGAGAACGGAACAAGAACGCGCTGAACAGAGCAAAACTTTGGAAAGATTAGAGCAGGAAATCGAGTCCAGAGGAAAGGCTGAAGCGGCTGCTGCCGAGGCTGAGAGACAGAGATCAGTATTAGCTGTGGATCTTAAGGATATGCACCAGAAATTTGAGAGATTGCAGCAGGAATACAATGCTGTTCTTGATACGGTAAACACTAGAATGCGGCAATCTTGCACCGCAAGACTGACACGCACAACAGAGCTGCAAATAAAACTTATCATCGGATAGTGTTCGACTAAAGTGGCCCATTTTCGAGAAAATAAGGAGCTTAAGATCAGAGGACAACAAAACACGCGAAAATGTCGCTTAAAAAGTTAATTCACGCTCGCTAAATCTTTATCGCGATTATTCCAATTCACTTGGTCAAAATGGACGAACTCTCCTGGAGCTGAAGTCCTGAGAAACATATCGAAGTTCAGGAAGAGAAAGAACATTTCGTCGTCACTTGTTTATGACCTCCAGTCCATACAACGTGAAATATGCATTTTTACGTCGTAGTCGTGCAAAAAAAACTATGATGCTTGTGTAAAACTTGTCGGCTGCATATTTAACCTACTGCATTTTTGAGGTTCTTGTTGCTGTCGCCGTCGTCGGATTTTTAAGGTCCCTGAATCCTACCTGCAATTGGACACAATGAACAGTCCAATTAAATACCAAGGGCTATCATGTTTTAGTAAAATCCAACTAGTGGTGTATTATTAATGCTGCGTTCTAGTTGGTTGAGCTACTACTGGCTATATGTTATAGCCCACTAGTAGCGAAAAGCGCGGGCTTTTTGACGGCAAAAAAAGATTAAAGTCTAGCTTTTACTAGCTAAATTTTTTTTATTCTCGATATTTTTTGACCAACTAGTTGGATTTTACTAAAACAATTATTCCTCTCGCCCTCATGGCCTCTGAGTCGATAGCCCATTCGGCCTTCGGCCTTATGGGCTATTGACTCAGAGCCCATTCGGGCTCGAGGAATAATTGTTAAGTAGCTGAAGATTTCGATAATTATTAAAGAAATTAAAAGTTAATTAACTTTTGTCAGACAAATTCCGGTTCGTCTGACAAAAAGTGGTCACCTGGTCGGAGATACGTCCTTTCTAACAAGGAAAATTATTTTCAGGCCTGCACAGGCATCGTAGAATTTTGATCATCTCCGGTATCGTCAGGTTGTCGTTCAAGGCGCTGTAAGCCCCAGTCTCTAACAGTACGTGAACTAAGATTTCTGCCACTAAGTTATACTGTTGTGAAAGGTTTTAAAGTAACTAAGTGATTTTTTCGTGTTTTTGCCTTTCAGAAAAAAAGTTTGAATTCCAGACTAGAGGCTGACAACCAGAAACGAACACAGCTTGAAAGTGAAGTGAAATTAAATGCCCAAGAGATGGCAGCACTGAGAACAACAGAGAAGCAGCTGGCAAAGGTATGTATATCTCTGTACTGAAGAAGTTAAATGGCTCGTAGGAACTCACTTGAATAACTTTGCGCTAATAACGTGACGTCTAACGTAGACTTCGAGTGGTCCCCCATTTTTCCTCAGGGACAGTAGAGCGAACGAAACGCGAGCCGTATCTGTGAGATGTATCGATCAGATTCAGATTTAGGTTCAGATTCTCATCCTGGGATCAGATTCACATCCTGGAATCCTAAGAAAAGAAGTTCTTATAACATTGTTCGGAAAACACAATCTTTTTCTGCCAAATAGCCGAAAACTATTTTACGAAGTATAAACGAAATTTCGTCTAAAATAAGACTCGGCTTAGCTAAGACGCGCCTTATTAGATAAGACATGCTCGTATAAATGGTACACCTCAGCTATTTTCAGTTAAATATTCAGTTAATTAAAAATACCGGGCAATATTTACTGACTATTTTTTGATTCTCCAGCAAGTAGAAGAACTGATGGATGAGCGAAAGCAGCTGGAGGAAGCCTGTGCAAAACTAAAAAGGTATTTGTTTTCAAGATAAACCTTGGTAATACACGCATTCTTGTAAAGCACTCATTTTCTTCGCCTAACACGTTATTTATTTCAGTGCAAGTGCTGTGGATGACTTGCAGATGAAGGAACTTCAAGATCAACTAGAGGCAGAAACATATTTCTCGGTAAGACTTTTATTGTCGTAATTAACTTCTGACTTCTGAAGCATTAGGTTTATTGTCTTTACATTTCAACCTGATTTTATCTTTCCTTGATAGACTTTATACAAAACTCAAGTAAAGGAATTGCGGGAAGAGAACGATGAAAAAGCAAAACAGGCGCAAGAGTTGAGCAATGAGATTCGGCAGCTTAACGAAGAGAGGTGAGAGATCCGTTCTTCGTTTCCCTCCTAGAGTGGCAAATTCAAGAATTCAGAATTTCATTTGAAAAATGCTGAAAACAGAGAAAGTGTACCATAGAAAGTAGTGCTGAAGAGGTTTCATTTGAATGGTCACACCATGGATTTGGTTCACGGTCTAAAAAGCTAGAACTACTTACTAAATCAATAGTATGATGTAAAGGTACTGCAGAAGAGGTTGACAACGAAACATTTCTTCTACAGACTCCGTAATTGGAACTACATACTAAATAAATAGTATCTGTCCAAGCACTGTTGTAGAGGTGTGGTTTGAATGGTCACATCTGATAGGATTTCCTCCACAGCCGCAAAAGTCGAATTGTAGGACATGCCTTTTGCTAAGAGAACTTTTGTATTGATGGCGGTTATTGCTTGGTTTTTCAGGGAATCACTTTCCGCCCAATTGGAGTTGACATTAACAAAAGCCCACTCAGAACAGTTGGCAAGATCAATTGCTGAGGAGCAAGTAGGTGGTATTGTCTACCGTCCCCTGTTCAGTTAGGTTTCTTGATGTTCGATTTCAAACTTACTGGACTCACGTCATAAGTTGGTTGACTATGACGGTGATGATGGGTAGGAGTGATCGTCAAGTGGACTGTTTGTGAAGGTGACAAGATCATCGAATGATTTGAGCGCTTGAGGAAAAACATGATTGTTTCCTCATTTGTTGACTCCAAAGATCTAAAGCTACTGTAAAACTGAGGCCCCGGTCAAGCATCGAACTTCACGTGTCGAACCTAATGCTGATGAGCAAAATCGATTGTACCAACTCATTCGCTTTAGATTCGGCGCATAGGCGGGAAGTTTGATAGTTGACCCGGGCCTTAGAAAACCGTGAACACCACACGGTGTGATTGCGTTGCAAGGAAACAGCGATCAGGTGTGAGAAAACTAAAGGGCAAGCGGTAACGGTAATTAATTTTTGGGAGCCTTGAACTTCATAGTGATGGGCCCATGGACAAACAGCATTCCTGAAATATTTGAAATATTAAAGAGATTGTTCAAATTTTCGCAATTGATTTCGTGAGATAATGTTGACCTTTATACTACCAGTACGCAGATCTGGAAAAGGAAAAGACCATGATTGAACTGGAGGTCAAGGAATTGATTGCGAGGCACAAAAGTGATATGTCAGAGAAAGGCGCACAGATCACCCTGCAGGAGGATCTTAACCAACAGCTAACAGAGTCCTTGAATCAGACAAGAGCGGAGAAAAATGAATTGAATGCTAAGATAAAGAACATGCAGGAAGGTTGGTTAAGTGAAGTACACTATGTAATTATCTTTCAACCAATCAACCTGTAGAGAGCTCAAGGAACAATAGTAGTCTTTGTACGGTCGTCCATACAAAGGCTACGAGTAGTCCCTCGTTTCCCTCAGGGATAGTAGGGCGAGTTAAGTAGGCGAGCGCGCGTGAAACTCGTCATCAACTAGCAAGGTGACACGTCGAGGAAAGAGACGAACTGAAGGACTACAGGCTAATCCCAGGTATTTGACTCTTTGCGTTGCTTTTACAACACAAAACTTTGATTAGCTCTTCCTTGGCGACCTGGCATGAGATGTCTTAAACCCGCCAGCCACTTTCAACACTCGAGATGATTGGGGTTTAGTTTCACTTGACAATCATCAAAACAGAGAATCGCTGAAATCAGAGCGTAGGTCTCATATTCTCTCTTGTCCCGCGAGTCACCTCTCCAGCAGGTGGCGTTTTTTGTGCGCGTTTGTGTATTTCGCTTGCCGTGCTATTCCTGAGGAACTTGATGGACTACTTGTTCTGTAACCATGCATGTTTTGAGAGAGTTTTATTCTTCAGATTACCTCTTCAGTTACGAAGAGCGTAAGGAGCATTGGTATAGATAACAGCAGTGCAATTGTTTCATTTTTTAAAGATCATCGTATGTTTTTTTCCGTTTTTCTTTCTAGATCTCGAGAAAACCAAGGACATCAGCAAAGAAAATGATGGTGCTACGGAAAAGATGAAAAAGCAGCTCGCTATAGAAAGAACGATGAAAATCCAAGCTGTCAACAAACTGGCCGAGATAATGAACAGAAAAGACTTGGCGAGAGACAACAGTAAAAAGAGAAAGGCTACGTCAGACGATTTGAGGAAAAAGGAGAAAGAGTGTAGGAAATTGCATCAAGAACTAGGAGCAGTAAGTACACATTCCACCCGAAAAGTTTCTGTAATAAAACCAAGGTGCACTAGAGGCTGCCTTCCCACCCCACCCCACCCCTTCCTGCTACCCAGCAAAAACTCCAGTCAATTCCCACACCAAGTAGACTCTTTCGGCTTCAATTTGTCTCTTCGTTGATAGCGGAACAGTCCACCCTTCATGTAAGCCGGGGTGGGATTTTACATTTCAAGCACCCGCGCGTTTCGGCAAAAAATCGCATGACCACCCGGACGTTTAGAGAGAAAAAAAAAAACAGCAAAGCCCAGTCTGTCTTTCCACTAAATTTTTATGTCTACATAGACGTGGATAACAGAGAAAGAAAGAGCTAGAGCGAGGGTAAAAAACAAAGGAGTCCAATTTCGTTGGAAGAAAATTATGAAAACTTTGTGGCGGCGGTGAGAATTGGGTAATGCTAGCGGCCACCAAGGTGAACATGAGCTGCAGTGACAAAAAAGTGAACAGGAACACATAAGGCATTTCCTCCGTAAAACGTGTAACTAGGAAGTTTCTGTAGTCGTACAAAACAAAGGCAGAGAAATTTACTAAAAACGTGTGCTGCACGTGCAAAGCTTTTTTTTTTCTTGCCGTTTTCGTTCCCATCATCGCTTAGCTTTACGCGATTTTATATTAGTTTTGGATGAGTTAATTATAAATATTAACGAGAGTTTTGCTTTTAGCCCTCGCTAAATCTATATAGTATTCATGGTATATCCAGGCCTTGTTGTTGATATTAGCTAAGATGCCATTATGACCGGCTTGACAGGCCCCTCCAGTTTGTTACTGAAGTGCCGGGAAGAATAGACTGTATAGCAAGCCTTAAAAGAAGAGGAGAGATGATGAATGGCGTTCTCCCATTGGGGCAGGCTACTTGATGGAAATAGTACCCATAGCTGGACATGTCGTTTTCTTAAAGATATTAAAATAGCAATATCTAACACTCTCTTTAATTAGGTTATTAAAATTCCTAACAGTATCAGTTACTTGTGTGTTTGAAAGGAAAACGTTAATTTCATAGAACATTCATGTCCCTCTCAGGCTAAAGCTTGTTTGTCGACTAAAATCAGTGCAATTAACAGCCTCAGTCAAAGCTTTTTGAACCCTGTAATATTAAAATGATTTAATCTTTCACTTTCCTTTTTTGGGGCAAATGGACCTTCGGTGTTAGCGTGCAAAGAAAGTAGTGTCCGATAGCCCGGGGTTAGTGGATTTTGCTATCGGGCTAGCGAATTCTGTTCTTAACTGGGCAAGTGAAGTTTTTTGAAGAATTCAAATTACAGAAGAACTGTGAAATCAATCTGCTCTTCAAGACGCTTTTGGGGCTAGTTGAAATGATGTTTGGGCTAGTAAATGTTAGCTTCAGCTTGCCCGAATGGCAAGCTGTAAAAATGGCTTTCGTTTCACCCTGGGTGTTCTCATGGAGATGACTTGGCGTACCATCGAGACCCACTTAGTAGGTCCGTTAATCTGGTTGTATTGATTATAGTATTGTTTGGTTTCAAAGCACTATGAGCGTTGTTGACTTTCGTATGGAAATTGTGCAGTGTACTTGGGCTACGCTTACTCTCTTACCCGCTGATTTTCTAGGAACGAGAGAAGTACGGCCAGATGGTGACAAAATTTCAGGGACAGATGGCCGAATATCAACTGAATCTTCAGATGGAAGTGGAGCAAAGGCAAAAGATGCAGGTAGCTACCCGTTCTTTATCAAGCCCAGTGAGTGTGTTCTTGCATAGGAAACGTGCTCTTTCACAAACGCGAACAGCGTCTGAGATAATCTTTTTGATTTCAGATGGAGCTGGATTCTAAAGATCTGATGATTGACCGGCTCAACTCCCAGATCAAACAGCGGTCACTAAACACGAGTATTACCGATGACGATGCTCTCACTGTACCAGGTAACTTTCTATTGAGCAACTGGTCTCTTCTCGCTGAAATTGCGTGCCAGCCTAAATGACGGCATTGGCTGTGTTTGTAACTAAGCAATTTGTGGTTGCCGAGTAATTACAGTGGAACCTCGCGATAACGAAGTCCTTGGTATAACGGTCCACTATATTGAGCTGCGTCGTACATGTAAAAATTTCTTGTGAGTCAAACCTCAAGTCAGTTACATATGTGGAACTATAATGCTGTATCAGATAACTGCCTAATTTGTGTTTCTCTTGATGTTAATTTATTTTTTTCAATCCTTTTCAGCCCATTTACCAAAGGAAGGCTGGGTGTCGATTCCAAACAAACAGAACATCAAAAGATATGGTTGGAAGAGACAAGTGAGTTCTAACTACCTTTCAGTTTAACCACTTTTTTAAAAGCTACATATTGATAATTATCCGCGTGCTTTTTTCTTGCAGTATTTAGTTGTTAGCAGCCGAAAGATTTTCTTCTATAACTCTGATGCTGATCACAAAAGTAGTTCAACACCTTCTATAATTCTAGAAATTAGGTAAGTGTAATAGTCCTTAATTTGAGTGACTCACTGAAAATCTGACTCTAAATCGTACCATGACTTACCATCGTAGTGTCAGTTTAATGGTGGCCAAAAAAACAATTGAAATTTCTTGTTGGAAAGTTCTTAGAAATAAATAGCACTGTGCAAAGTTCTACCAGAGGTTTTATTTAAATGGTAATATTCCTACATTGTTCAAAGTTAGGGCCTGTTTACGTGGAGGTGTGGGACCCAAGGTAGTTGAGGTAACATGCGGCGGGTCACAGCATCTATCATGTTAACGTGATCAAATTCAAATGAGAGATTATATGGACAGGCGGGTTACACACCTAAGCGGGTAACCTCACCTACCTGGGGTCCCCCACCTCCATTTAAACAGGCCCTTGGGATGTCAAATAATTTTTTATTCTTGTCATAACTTGGTCTAGGAATTAAAGAGTCAAGTGTTTTTCCCACCTGATAAATTATTTAGTACGTGTATACAAAATCGCCGTTGCGAAGAATTTGGGTTTGTCATTGAATCGCCTTGTCATTTCTTGAATCA